ACTTTTATAAAAAAATATATTATCCAATTGGTTCTTTCCTAGGCAAAGCCACAAGTTGTACTTGTGAACAGTGCAAACCCTATACACTATATAGTCCACTGCAACTCAAGAAGTAGGGCGAGCGACAGGAAGGCCGGGAGGAGGAAGCAGACAGAACGCCGGAGAGGGGGAAACCTCCTCCTCTCCAGCATTCCGCCTGCTTCCTCCTCGCCAGCCTTCCTTTCTCTCGCCCTACCTTCTTGAGTTGGAATGGACTATAGTCATAATGGATGAATGGTAATGGCTATACCCTTTGTAACGGGCGGCAGCTTGCATCACCTAGCCTAACATTTCGTCATCCCCTCTTTTCAAAGTGTTTCCATTGCTTATTTTTATCAGTATTTTTACCCCTCCCTAGACCTTTTCCACCAATCTTGCAGTCTCCTCTTAGTTACCGCAATTCTTTCCTTTCCATTTGTCTAACCATGTCTGCAAATTCCAGTGCCCCCTCCAAATCCGTAGTCATTCCCCCCAAGAGGGTGGGACAAAGTGCCGTGCACCTTAAAATTACATGTTCTATAGTTTCCCCTTAGTGATTGCATATGTTCTCTCTCAAGGTTGCCAATTCTTTCCTACAAAAAGACTCGTTTATGGTTGCACAGACTTTGCCTTTAGTCATGCTAAAGCAACAAGTATTATTCTAGAAAGGGGTGAAAACATTTTACGAGCAACTATTGAACCTGCCGACGTTTGATATAGATGACACATTAGAGTGACAGTCTGTTACAGTAACATCCAATAACTGCTTAATGTAACACCATAACTGGTTATAACTTGCCCTTCATGTGGCCCTCGATACCAAAAATTGTTCCTCTCAGGGCATAGAAGTCAATGTTGATTAATTAATTACTTAATTAATCAATAGCTTATAGCTAGGGCTCCATGTTTTAACTTTTTTTAATGCGGGGATGTTTTTGGGGGGTTAATTTTTTTTCCAAGAGATTCTGTGTTTTTTCAGCGTCGATTTGCAGTGTTGGAGCAAAAAATCTGTGGTTACCGGGGCTCCTGCTGAAGGAAACATGACACGGGCGTGGGATTCCCTGACCGCAAGAGAACATGCACGCGAAAAAATTATGTGGGAAATGTCATGCACAGGCATGGATAACAGAAGGGAACAAGGTAATGGAAGAGGTAAGGGATAAGGACAGAAGGAAGGAAGGGGTAAGCACACAAGGAAGGTAAGGGATACGGACAGTTCAGTGAGGGGTGTGTTGGGACTCACCACAAAATTAAGCTGTAGTTACGATTTCCTTCCACGAGGCCGGGTTTCCTCATTAAAAGGAATCTCCAATTCAAGGTTCTTTTGGTTTTTTCCTGATTTGGACAAAACCGATCCTGGGTTAACTTCCAAGGTTTATCGGTGATTACCAAAAACATGAAAACGTAGTGATGACACCTCCGGTTAGGTCGCAGCGACCCGAGTAAGCCGGTGCCGTTTGTGTCTGATTCCATAACCGTTACGAATTCAAAAGACGCGACATAAAACAACTTCTGCTATGTCTGATCTTTTGTTCAAAAACCGTAGCACGGCAGCAACACTTAAGCAACTGAAATGGGTTTCGGGCGTACTACGACTCCTAGTGCAACGTGTCTTTTAATGTAACAGCTGCCACTTTTCGTGCCCATCGTTTTCAACGCGGAAGCTCACAACGAGAGAATTGGCTCGGGTAAACGCTTCCCTTTTGTTGCATCAGGCTAGTGTGAGCTACTTGAGTTACCGTGAGCACAAATGAACATCGAATTCAACCTGAAACTTTACGTCGAAAGCTGTCGACTTCAATAGGAAGGAAGAGTAGTACTTTATTGTCGTGGCTTTATGTGCTTTTGGTTGAAACCAAAACATACTTGTCTCGGTTTAAAGTTAGAATTTGCCAGACAGCAGCTCAAACTAAAGTGTATGTTTAAATCGCTGATATAACCGACTGAATGCACAGGATCTTTTTTGACAGGAGTCGGCGGACTGTATGTGTTTAAAAGCTCAAATTTTATGCGGTGCGGTCTATCTACAGGTGCGGACAATACAATGACTTGTTTTTCCTCGATTGTTCGTCACGACGGCATGTGGCAGATTTTGCAGATGACAGGATATGCTCATAATGATTTCTGATAATGCAAGCTTTTTTCGTGTGTGTGTGTGCGTGCATTAGCAACGTAGGCATTTTTCAAAATGTGCTCTGTATAAGAATCTTTTGACAGATTATAAAAGCGGTCTGGACAGTGCATTACATGCAGATTATGCGCCCGGTGCAGACTGTAGTTCGGAAAATATGATACAGGCCCAGCTTGGGAGCGCGCGTTCACATAGCAAAACACTAAAAAAAAAATGCATGCAAAGTGAAGCTGCTTGATTTATTTCCAACAGCTATTGACTTCACAAGCTCTTTCTCCCTACTGAAGTGCACTGCAAACCTCCTGGCTGTAAGTACCAAGACTGTGTTGACTCGGATGGCATTATAGGCTCCTTGCACTGACGTCACATCGCATACTTTTGAACACCAAGTAAAAGGAGGAGAGGGAAGCTGCTTTTGTAAGAATTTTGAGCGACAGGTTAATCTTCTATAATCTTCTGGGAGGAGAATAGCAATGCCTGTGCAAATCAGGGAAGCAGAAAGGAGGATCCTGATAAGGGGGGAGCTCCCTCTTCCCCTTTTCTGTGGAGGGCATCGGAAATGACGTCACGTGCAAGCCACGTATTTCTTTTCACCCGCTACATGGACATCGCTTTATTGATATCATGTTTGCAAAACATGATATCAATAAAGCGATATAACAAAACATTGCTTTCCCAACATATTTTAAGAGAACTCTCTTCGGTAAATGTATCGACGAACGTTTTATATAGCACAAACATATCTGCTTCTCTCGACAGCATTTCGAATACTTGAGGGCGCCCTTACTTTCAACATTCTGCCTGCTTTTGGCTTCACCACTGGCAATATTTTAAAAATAGGGGAAAATATTTTAAAATATATAAGAAACAGCAGGCAACAAAATTCCTGTTGAAAAAGAAGAAAAACCTCAGATGTTTGAGATCACAGTGATACAAACAAGAAGTCACGGATAGCTCCTTTTTAAGTAACAGACGATCAATGAAAGGAGGACTCGTTTACAACATCCATATAAGACAATGGGTGATAATGTATTTTTGGGCCACGGCTGAAGCTTATTGAAGCGTGTTGTGCTTCCACTGCCCCGGTTTCGAGTTTAGACCGCGCCATTTGGGCTTCATATGGGAGGAACTCACCAAATAAGGAACGCTCAGAGCAGAAGTCCTCAAACTTTTCCATCTCGAGGAACCCTATTCGCCAAGACTGACACCTGAGGAACCATCACGGTCCCGGCAGTGATCCAGTAAAGCAATAACAGAAGCCTCCAGAAAGAACAAACGGCGATGCACATAATAGCGAGTGTTCTGGCTCATAGACATGCATCAATGGCTGGCTCAAATTTGCTAAAACTTCGCATAAACTGGGAAAATGTTTTACTTGAAGGCAGGGACAGTCGATGCAATTCCAGCACCCCCGGGGTACACCAGTGTGCACCTAAAAAGAACCCTTGGGGAAAATCTTTGGGGAATCCCAGTGTTCCTAGGAGCCCAGTTTGAGAGCCCATATGGCATTGAGTGCCTCGGCGCTGCGTTCCTCGATTTCCTTGTGGGTACTGCCACTTTGGTGCTCAGTGGAGAGCAGGTGCAACTGGAGACCGTTACGGTTCGAAAATGTGACTTCCCGAGCTTTCAACGTGGCGTTGAGAGGCTCGGACGATACCGCTTCAAGATTTCTGAAGGACGGAAGGGCGTTTCCCGCAATTTCAAACAAAGCTGCAGATAATTGGCAGAAATAATTTTGTGATGGCAAATGACTGAGGTGCCATTACTTCAGGACATAGGTTATTCGGTGGCCCCAGTTGTGACACGTCGCAATGCATCCGAAAAGTACACGAATCGACTGCGTTCCGACGGAGGCAATGCACAGGTGCGCCTACGAACAATGCCTCGCGTTTAGACATGTTTGACAGCATGAAATGTAAGGACATGATCCCGCAAAAAACTATACACGTGGCCCTTTTGATTCTAGTTCACATTGCCCCGTTATCTGCAAGGTTTTTTGCCTGTGCTGTCGTGTTGCTACGGCGGGAGACAATGCGAGATTTGCAGACTATAGGGTGTTTTCACTGACGTAATTTCGTCCACCATTTTGTTGTTGTGAGCTGCCTGGCGTGTGCCAAACTCGAGCATTCCAAGGATTTACATGCCCCTCAAACGCGTACAGCACCTCTGACATCATCTCAACCGGTTTCGATGTAATCTTTCATAGTACTAAATTTGTTTGAAAAAACAAACCAACAACAAAATGGCGAATTGACGTCATGTGCAAACAACCTATAGCAGAAGAAACGAGGGCTTTCTCCACCTCTGCCTGCAAGTCTGTTTCTAATATTAGCGGAGGAAAAAATCTTGGACTCACTTCGTCGGCAGTTTCTGTTTTCTTTTATAATTAGAAAATAAAATTTTAACATTGTATATAAAATTGACCAGATCTTTTTTATTTTATTTTATTACGTCAAAAAAGCACAAATTGCCAACTTTTTTTTTTTTTTTTTGCTTTCATTTTTGTTGTAATACAAACTCATTAAAATGTTAATTTTTTTTTTTTTTGTTATGTTTGCCGACAATACGACGCGACGACGCTGAGCAACTGCGCAGTTTTCGTTCAACGAACTGCTACGCCGAACTGCAAGACACGAGCAAGCAACTTTGAGACGACTCACACATCGTGTGTGGCAATTATTAAACAAATGAAAAAGAAAAAAGTGGCCCTCTAACGAAACAGGAAGAAAAACGGGCGGGCACTGTCAAGCCGCTTGCCGCTACCGCTGCGTCTCTTCCTTCAAGCTCTCAGGTAGACGAAAATAAAAGTTGGGACAGGGAATAAAAGTCGATTTGATCGATGGGCGTCTACCTTGGAGACGTTTTCGCAGCGTCGCCGGAACAAGACGTAGCAGCGGGTCGTCAGGCATCAGCATATTGTCAGAGTCGACGTGGACTTCGGACACTACCACCTCGCCGTCTTGCATCGCCGATCCGTTATTCAGCGAAATTTGATTATTCGGCACGGCAAGGTCACTGACCACATCAAACCAAAACACTTCGCGATTGAGTGGCCCCAATTCTGGCTTCTGTTGGCTTCCTATGTGACTTAGGTCTTCAACTGAGTCTGCGATATGTGCGATACCTCTGTGGATTTCACGAATATTCGTAGCTGCGTAAAAAAGTCCGACTTTGGACGCGTTGGGGGACAATATTTAATTAACTGGACTGCTCCGTGAGCTTCCTAGTTTCGTCGATTCCATCAAACAGACACAAACCAAACGAACAACGCGTGCAGAGAGTGACACGGAGATTACCCTCCCTGTGCTGTTTTTGGTTTCTATTAGCGAGTTCGTTTCACACGCACCGGCCCCGTTCGAGTTCTCTCCCAGAATGCAGCGCACTCGCAGAGTGTTGCACGGAGAACTGGACTCAAACGAACTCGCCAAATGCACCGAGTGCAGAAGACTGATGTTGCCGCCATCTATGTTGTAGAAAATGTACCGACCTCAAACCGAAACTAGCGCCTTTCTGTTCGGAGTGATGGTTGGGAATGCGAGAGTGCAGTCACTACCAACGTTTATCTACAAACGTTGAACGCTACAACCTGTAGTTTATAGTTGCGATGACTTCAAGCAACTCGGCTGTCGTAGAGATAGTTACAGCCGGCGTAAATTTCCGCACCCAGCTGTCTACAAAGCAGCTGGTTGCGATCTTTCAATTCTTATAACCGTTTACACTGAAGAAAACTGATGATGCTGTCCGAGCAGAAGCTTGATCCGTTTGAGCATGGTATTATGCGTGAACCACTGAAAGGGTACGGCTTAAAACTAGTCTGTTGGAATATCCAGCAAAACTTTTCGTGGGACTTTCGATTTCGATCGTCATTACAAGTGGATCAGATGTTAGCCTTGGTGAGGACGTCGAGAACGAGAGCTTTCTCGAACAAAATACGACGGGGCAAGTTAGCTGACGTAGGTAAATGTTAAACATGATGATGTTGCCCAGGCTTCGGGTAAAGTCACTGTTTAGATTTCTCTGATGCTTATTTGGTAGTCAGAGTTTTCTGCTGAGCCAGTTTTGCCGACAAATGTTCAATTTTTCACCCGCACACGGATGTTGATAAACATCACGGGGGCCGCTGGTGCGTTTGTTCTGAGCTTTTCTTGACACACTGGTATAGTCCAGCGTTTGTACGGCAATAGAGCGACTTAAAACTGCAAATAAAGCACGGGTTGTCAATTGCTTCCTTCACGAAATAGCAGACGCTCACAATTCAAGCTCGCGTTTGATTCCGTTGCCCACGGGACGCGATTTCTATCAGAAAATCTACTTTTTTTCCTTTCGGTTCCGCGACACATCGTAGCAGACGAACCCTCGTCGTCTGCTCTCGCTCCTCGCCGGCCTCGCCGGAGCGAGGCATGACGGGATTGCATTCTGGCGCACGCCCGATTTTCTCGGTGCAGCGAGTGCATGCACGCGTGCGGTGCCGCCACTGAAACGAACTCGGAGAGTGCAACTACTCGTGGAGTGCCTGCCGAAACGAACTCTCTTTACGCCGCGAGTGGGCACGCGTGGACACGAGTGCCGTGAAACGAACTCGCTATATGTAAGAACGCAAACGTCGACAGCTGCGGTTATGATAGCGTGCCGATGAGAATCGTAGCTGTCAACCTAGCTCACGCAGCACGTTTCATATTTTTTCTTCGAAAGCACTCGACGACTCGACACCGGGAGGGGGAAAAAAATTGTTTAAAAACGTTTCGTGAGAGCGCGAGAGCGTCACGTGACCAAACGCCGTCCAATCGGGCTTCAACACGAGTATGGCGACCCCTCATAAATTGAGCATGCGCAAACGCTCCGCGCTAGCCTCTGCCACGTTTGTAACACTCGAAGGCTGGTCACCGGTGCCGTAGGAGGGGAGCAAGTTAAAACAAACTTTCTTTTGTACACGCGACATAGGAACCATGTTGTCGCTAAAGTTTGTCACGTTACTCTGCGCTCTCGTCGCCGTCCACTGTGAAGACTACGAGAAGGACGAGCACGTCCTGGTCCTGAAACAGACCAACTTCGACAAAGCAGTTACCGAACACAAGCATGTGCTGGTCAAGTTCTGTGAGTGCCTCTTTTCTTCCTCACGTCGTTTTTTTCCTGCGAGAGAGGTTAAATACGTCGTCGCATAGGCTGGTAATTTGTCCCGCCTCTCTTATGGATGATTGTTTCCTTGTTTCGTGGGGAAGAAAGCGAATGATGTCGGCGTTTTGGTGTGGCCATCGAAACGTCCCACGTAGTGGATCGTGAGCTTGGGTGGTAGCCGGCGTCGTTTAATGCCCGCTTGGCGACGGCGGATGAGGCCTTATCTCGGTCTCGCCGGGCGGCATCGGCGGCGATTAAAGGTGGCGACGTGTGAGTAATTCGGCCGTGACTAGCGGTTCCACTTGGCTGCCCGCGAACGCATACAGCCGGGTTAACGAACCTCTGTTTGTGTTGCGGTCGACGCGGCTACAGTCGGTCTACGTGTCGTTGTCGATAATCGCGTAAGACACGTCACTACTGATGCTGGTCAAGTGGGCGGTTCGAAGTGGACAACTTTTCCTCGTTCGTATTTGTAAAAGAAATAATCGCAGGGCAGCTCGCTGCTGAAGTAATGAGATGCTTATCGAGTATGAGAATAAAATTCCAAAAATTATGGCTGAACTTGGTGTTTGGCATTGCCTGCCATTCGTGGCACCGGGTAACTGATAAAGCTTTACCAGTGATGGTGCTTATCCGGTTTGTCAAGCTTGACCCAAGTGTCTGGTGTACGGAAGAATAATTGTAAACGTTGAGTCATGCCAACTGTATTAGTACATTGCATAGCTTTCTCATTTCACAACTTCGTGTTCCGTATCCTTGTACGGATGAATAATTAGTTCTCTAATTAACTGGCACCACTACTAAGCTTACTTTACAAATGAGCATTTTTTTTTCTTTTTCTGGTGTGCATGTTGCAAGGATGGGGTCATACATTGGATGAAAATGCTCTGTGAATGCTTTCTGAATGCACTGCACAAATATGGTAGTGAAAAGCAGGTAGCCATAACTAAAAGAATAAGGGCACTGGGAAAATGGTAAATCACAAACGTAACATAACTGGGGTCTTGGTTTCTATTTACATTTGAAACCCATACAATAACATGTTAGCATAAATACAAGTCGAGATTGGTACGCAATGTGAAATGTGGATTCTGTTGCTCAAAATGCTTGTCCTTTACTTCTTTACCAATTTACCGGCACTCCGAGCCCCCATTACATGCAATTGTACGATAATGTGCCAGCAGTTTTGCAGAGGTTACCAGAAAAAAAGTTGGCAGAAGTCTAATTATTGGCGCAGGTCTTGCACAAGTCTCCTTGCTGCAAGATAGTCTTGTATGACTTCATGAGTACAGCACAAGCCCACCTTGTTGAAGCTTAATTGCGGCAAAGATTGCGCCAGACATACACCACCACGTACTAGCCGCGGCATTCAATCGCTCCGCGGACTAATCAGGGGAGGTGATAACCGTGACAAGTTCTGCGACGTGCACCTCTGCTGCAGCTTATTCGTGCATCGTGGAGAAACTACCTAACAATAATAAGGGTTTTCGAGGAGGTTCTAGCACACCCTTAACTCGTATCAGACTACAGTTATGCATGCAATTTCCAAGCAGCACTGCACATAAGCTGTACGCCGGTCGGGATGATGAGCAACAATTGTGTGGCACCTTCGCAGATGCCCCCTGGTGCGGCCACTGCAAGGCAATGGCGCCAGAGTATGTCAAGGCCGCCAAGCAGCTAGTGGACGAAAGCTCGGACATCAAGCTCGCCAAGGTCGACGCCACGGTAGAGACTCAGCTTGCCGAGACCTACGAGGTGCGAGGCTACCCAACCCTCAAGTTCTTCCGCGATGGCAAGCCCTACGACTACAAGGGTAAGCTGCTTGGATCGCTTGGCGATTGAGTTCACGCTGGTATAGGCAACAATGGTCGAGAGAGGATTGGCGATATGCCACACCAAGTGGTGATAGTTATGAAATTGCAGAGGGGAAGCCAATTGGCAAAGGAAGAAAATCATACTTTTGGTTTCTAATTTCTAGGTTAGGTGGCGCAAGCTACTGCCCGTCATAAAGGGCGCATTCATCCATTCGGTGTGTACAGCAACATCTTGTAGACAACTAGGACATAGTGCCGAGTTTCCTATGTCTCTTTATGGAGGCCAGTACAGGGACATGAGTGCTGCTTCAATGTTTGACTGGGACTCGTCTTCTCATTGATTGGACAAGCCCCAGGTGACCTGCGACGCAGAACTCGTGTTCATTCTGTGTCCCGAACTCGCTTCCGCTAGGTGACAGAGAAATGCAGGACTATGCAGTCTTACCTAAGAGGTGATGAGTGTAGTCCTATCTTATGAGGCATATAGAGGGTCTCGAGTTGCCATAAAGTTTGGTTTGCATAGTATTTAGATTTAAGGGACCCAGGATCATCTTGTTAACACTAATGCCCCTTTCAGGCCATTGATGGTGCATGTCAGAACTCTGCCTTATGGACATAGGGACAAGGAGGCTGCTGTCTTTGAGGGTTGTAGAATCTGACTGATCTTCTAGATGGCTGGCACGGGGACTCAAAAGGACTATTTTTGTTGATGCTGTTTAAAGTAAGCCAGAGTCCCCAGTTTCACGCAGTCAGTCCCTCTGCTTTAGGAAGTGAACCTTAACCAAACCCTGCAGACATACTACCACTCGAGGTTGATGCTTTGAGGGTTTTCCCTTGATTGCACTCCAGGTTGAGATCCACGCGTCTCTTGCAGGTGGCCGTACCGCCGACGAGATGGTGCGTTGGCTCAAGAAGAGGACCGGCCCCGCAGCTGAGGACCTCAAATCCGCCGATGCTGCACGTACCTTCGTGGATGCCTCCAAAGTGTCTGTGGTTGGCTTCTTCAAGGACCAGGCAAGCAGCGAAGCCATGCAGTTCCTAGAGGCTGCGGAGGCCATCGACGCTCACCCCTTTGCCATCACGTCCGACGACGCGGTCTACAAGGAACTGGGAGCCTCCAAGGATGGAGTCATACTCTTCAAGAAGGTGGGTATGGGGTAGACCTTTCTTGTCAATGGCCTTGTCCCACAGAACATCCGCAAGTTGTATGCTGGCAGCGTGCACTTGAACTGTCCCCCTAAACCAGGTTGTACCGCTGCATTCACTGACCTCGCTCCAATTGAGGCACCACCCACTTTCCCAAGGAACGCACGAAGGCCAGCTCTGGCCAATCACGGCGAAGGATGGGCGGCCTTTGTGCCTTCCTTGAAGAAGTGTAGGGGTCTTTCAATTGGAGAGGTAAAGGTGCTTGTCATAGAAAGTGTGTTTCTACATCTGGGCTCACTGTGTGTGTCCCACTTCAGGTGGTACAAGTCCTAGAAGACGTCTTTTTCAACATAAATTTAGGGAGGAGATAGTTTAGTCTGTTCCTGAATGCCTGAGGATGGCAAGTAATGTTCAGCCATATCAAATTTAAGTTTTTAGTTTTTTTGTTTTTTTTCGTGAACTTGTCAGACTTGCAATCTCGAAAGCTGCAGACAAGAAGGCAAAATTCAAAGACCCAGGCATCTTATTCGTGCCCACTGAGCAGTTGTTCCTCTCATTTCTCTTGAAGGAAGGTGGAATGGAAAAATTGTCAGCCCGGCCAAAGATCTTGCAGACCGGCTTTGAGAGCTGAGTGCTAGACACCGGAAGCTGAAAGTTTGTCGTTCACGGCGAATTGAGTCCGTACCTTTCATTCCTGCAGTTTGACGAGGGCCGCAGCCTGATGGAGGGTGCTGTGACGTCCGAGAGCGTCCAGTCTTTCGTCAAGACCAACAGCCTGCCTCTGGTGGTAGAGTTCACCCACGAGAGTGCCCAGACGGTCTTCGGCGGACAGATCAAGCTGCACAACCTGCTCTTTGTGAGCAAGAAGAGCCCCGGCTTCGAGGACATTCTCAAAGACTACCGAGAGGCCGCCAAGGACTTCCGCCACAAGGTGCTCTTCGTCACCATCGACGTGGACGACGAGGACCACGAGCGCATCCTCGAGTTCTTCGGCCTCAAGAAGGACCAGGTGCCCGTAATGCGCTTTGTCAAGCTGGAGGGCGAGATGACCAAGTACAAGCCGGAGAAGGACGACCTCACGCCCGAGAATGTGCGCTCATTCGTGCAAGACGTGTTGGATGGCAAGCTGAAGCAGAGCCTCCTGTCTCAAGACCTGCCTGAGGACTGGGATAGGCACGCCGTCAAGGTCCTCGTCAACAAGAACTTCGATGAGGTGGTCTTTGACAAGGAGAAGGACGTCCTGGTCGAGTTCTGTGAGTACCTTTGACACTTGTAGTGCGCAGTTCCATACGTAGCTTGCATTGATGTCGCCTGGTCATATATAATGGAGGGAAAGGGCACATGGGAGGGTAGCTTCCACTGCGTTATTGAGGCGCTCCTGGCCACCGGAAAGAAAGCCGGTCACAAGTGCCGCACCGGCATTTGGCTGGGGCTCTTTTACTCGCCGATCAAACAAGAGTTCCAACTGAACACTGACGCATCATTTCTGTTATGTCTGTCAGCAGTAGGCAGCTATGGTCATGGTATCTGGGTGTTGCCAAAACTCATTATCTCGTTGCTGTTCGACACGTGCCGCGAATGGTATTTATTGGGGAACTCCGGTGTTTATATTATTGAGATGCGATTGTATTCTCGCGATTGATATTAGCAAGATGTTCAAACTCGTGGAAGTGGGGTCCTCGCGAAAGAGTTGCTTACGGTACACGGCGCACTAAGGTTGAGCCTTTCGGTGCCGTTGGCGCTGGCTTTAACGGTGATGTTGTTGCGCGGGCAGATGCTCCCTGGTGCGGACACTGCAAGCAGCTGGCCCCGATCTACGACGAGCTGGCGGAGAAGTACAAGGAGAAGCGGCCGGACCTGGTGATTGCCAAGTTCGACGGCACGGCCAACGAGCTGGAGCACACCAAGATGCAGGGCTTCCCCACCATCCGGTTGTACAAGAAGGGCACCAACGAGGCCGTGGAGTACAACGGGGAGCGCACCCTCGAGGGGCTGTCCAAGTTCATCGACACGGACGGGGAGTATGGCAAGGCGGCCCCCGAGGAGGTGGGTTGTTTGTCAGCAGTAGGTTGGGAATCGATCGGCTGTTGGTAGTTGGGGGACAGTTCCCGATCGACTGTTTGCGGGCGGTCTCTTCGGTATTGATCGCCAGCTGGTTAATTGGAGACTGACAGAGTGTTAATGACTGATGAGCTGTTCGCCGGCAGTCTGTCGGGATTGGTTGTCAGCTGGTTAGATTGGGATTGACTGGCAACCATTAGTGGGGGATTTACCGGTTTTGGCGACTGCTTAGTTGGGGATTGATTGGCGACCAGTTTGTTGTGGACTTGGTTGCTAGCTACCTAGTAGACAATTGATTGGCAACCCGGTTAGTTCAGGATTGATTGGCTATGTGTAGTTCGGAGTTCTGATTTTATTGGCTGCTTGTCTATTTGGTTATTCAGGCTACCTCGCAGTGCCTAAAAGAAATTTTTGCAAGGAGGGGATGCTTGTACAAATACGGCGCAGTTGGTTGGGGATTGATTGGTTGCGTGCAGTTGGCGGGGTTGTCATTTATTGGCTGCTTGTTGGGAATTTATCGGCAGCCAGTTGAAAATTGATGAGGGGGCTCCATATTAATTGGTTGCTTGTCGGTAGTCTGTCGGGTATTGATTGAGTGTTAGTCTGGGGGTTCCGAATTTATTGTCTGTTTATCGGCACTCGGTTGGAAATTGATTTGTTCTCGATTGACCTGCTGTCGATAGCTTTGGGATTGATTGACTGTTGGGAGTTTAGAATTGATTGGATGCGAGGACCAGTGGTGGACCCAAAACTATTGACACTTGATGGAAACGTCAAATGAGTGGGAGATAGTTCGGTGTCAAATTAACAAAATGGGTTGGGTGTTGTCAGCAGCTTATTGGCTACTGATGCCAGTCTTGTTAACATTTTAGGTGGTGAAACCTACGCAGAAAGCAACCAAGAAGTTTTTTCTTTTGTTTTAGGCAGGAAAAATATATATGAATTGCCGGATACGAGGGACATTGAGATTCTGGTCTGGGCCATGTATATCCATCTTTACAAAATTTTGCTTCAATTCTGGTCGCTTACATGCATCGTCGCGGATCAGTGGCACTCGAAAACTAACCATGGCAATTACCCTTTGCTGGGCATTGCTTGGCGACTTGCCGACGGCAGATCGGCAGCCATTCAATCGCACCCCATCTTTCCCTCTCACAGGTCACGGAAGAGGAGGAGGAGGAGGAAGACAAGGAGGACAAGAAGCGCGACGAGCTCTAAGCAACTCCCCTGTGACCCATTTCTCCCACCGCTCATTCTCCCCCTCCCCCCGCTGCCCTCTCATTGGTCACTCACCCCCGTCCCTGTTGTTGTTCGCATGTGGTCCCCCTCTTGCGTTTGATCCCCTTCTCCCGATCTCTTCCAAGGCCTCACATGAGGGTGCAAAGAAGCCCCCGTTTAAAGGAGGGTGACCGGAAGTACCACGCGCACATTTGGGGGGTGCGGTTTCGGTCGTCGTCTGCCGCCACCTCCCTGTGGTCCCCCCCGGCCCTTGTGATGGGGGGGAGGGAGGGCCCTTCTGGACTTCCGTGCGCCGAGCCCCCTTCGCTTACGGGGTGGACTGTGTTGCATTTGTGTGCGCGAGTGTGTGCTGGGGGGTGCCGTCTGGGCACCTTTCGATTAAAAAAGAAAAGGGCTCTGCGGAGCTTCATTAAACTGTACAAGCTGTCACGTGGAATTTGTTTGGTTTATACTTATTGGAAAAGAAATGGGCATTGCCATCATTTGTCACTGAGTGACAAGGTTGGAAGCTCGTACAGGTGGCAAGACAACTGAAGGTCCTCCCTGCCGATGGTGTACATTACCATCATTTGTCAGTCGGTGACGGTTCGAAGGTCATACAGGTAGCACTACAACTGAAGGTCCTCCCTGCCGTTCTCCGCTTCAGTGGTGCGAACGCTAGAGAGGCGACCTCTCCAGTGTTTGCTCTGCTAGTGAGCAGAGTTTCCCGTCTGCTGCTAACCTGTTGCCGAGAATGGTTCAGAGGGTACACCTTTCCTGTGTTTACAAATCCCCAGCACAGTAATGTGCATCGCTTTAAAAAGCATGTGCCATGTGCAAGAACACCTCAAATGGCACCGGCCAGATGCCATCTGTGTATTCCTCCGTGAGGTGCTGTGGAAATGCCACCCTGCTCGTGCACGATTGCTTTACCCGCAGTTAATTTCAGTCTGGCGAACTGAGACTCTGGTTCTAAGTAAGGTTCTGCACAATCCGTTCTCTTGCCTTCTGGCAGGTTTCACCTTTTCTATAGTTTTGGATCTGCTACCACTTTCTGATGGAAGAAATGATGGTAATGTGGCAGAAGCTCCGAGGGCGAGCTTTTGGCATTGCCGACAAGCACTCCTTTCTCGGTCCTACAAATGTGTCCTTGGAGCTTTGGCTTTGCTTGCCCACAAAGTGGCGTCCCTCAAATTGTTGCGTGTACACATTTCTCCGCTCGTTTTTGCCAGTGATGAGATGTGCAATGTGGTTCTATAGTCACTTTAGTGCATCATGCATCAAGAACTGCTGAGGTTACCAGGAACTAGGTTATTATACTCTGCTGCAATTGCTGACCAACGGTTTTGAGTTTAATATGTGGAAGAATGGCCTGTTTATGGTAATTTGGAGCAGGGGCTGCATGTACGACCAATGCTAAAATTGTAGGAGAACGCCTAAGCTTTGCCTTTACGAGTGGAACACTATGGCAAAACAAACTTCTGCTTGTTCCAAAGCTGTGCCAGCGTGCCTTGTGTGGCTGTCAGTAGGGTGTTGCTTGCAAGCGAAGGGTCGTGGGTTTGAATCCTGCCTAAAATTCTTCCATTTTTCTTCAAAGCAAAAGAATTGCTACTTCAAATGAAATTATTTGAGATGTGGCGACCTTTAATTTGCATTTCACGTCACGTTTCTTAATGGCTTCCATTCCGTGCGCAAGTTGTGGGTCGTTTTAAATTCCCGTGCGAGGTTGAATGGCTGCGACGTCATGGCCCTATTGACCAATCAGGATTTTCCCGTTGCAACGCCGCCGATGCAGGCTTACCTGCAACACTTTAATGCTTTTGCGTTAAAACTAATAACCTTTAGACTTAATTGAACCAAATCGAGGAATTGCACCAAAATATATGGGCAGTACAAATCTGATTGGCGAGATTTGTCTCTAAACATTTCAAGTTTAACCCTGCATTTATGATAATTATCGCAAATCTTCCCCACCCCTTTGTCAGCATTAGTGCTGCACTGTTGGCTTAAGACTAATGTCATTTACAAAATACTACCGTAAAATGTCAAGCAAGTACCCAATCGTCGAAAACTAGGGGATGGGCCGGTTCGCACACTTGCTTTCGACTGCCACAAGTATTATGATCTCGTAGCCGCTAGTGTTCGTCGTAATACCGTTGGCGTCATCTGTTGAGTGGACCTGGAACACTTGCAACCGCTGTATACAGCCTGCAAGTTCGTCTGCTCTTTGCACACCTCATGTGTTCCATATGTTGGCCTTTCATTTCGATGCGCACAAGATGCATTTTGGAACACTTCTTCACTGCTTAGCACCGAGAGAAGCGGCGGACATAAAGCGACATCTCGGTTGGCTCTGGATCCTTGGGTGGGCGCTTTACTCGTTTCTTTTTTTGAATGTTCCAAAAGTAGTGGATAGCCACTGTTTGGGACATATCTTGCGTTTTAAGAGTACCAGGTTTTCCTGCTCCAGTTCCATCCACATCGAATGCGAGTACTTGTCTGCCATGCCACAAACTCCTCGATTGCACTATTAAAAAAGACAAAAAAACTAAAAAACGCCTGCAGTGTACATTGGGCCACAGATCAAGTACTAGTTTTGAGACTAATCTCCATATATTGAGGGGCAAATACACCACGCAAACATGGGCACCAAATAGCAACTTCCCACCACTTCCAAGCACCAACGAAATGGCATTTGTTTGCTGATATTGTACTGTGCTATCTAATGAAATGAAACTAAAAAAAAAGCTTCCCACTTCCAATTGGTCGGCAGGATGTGGCATCGTATGCCCCTTACACAGAAAGGCGTACATCCTGTCCTGGTTTCTTCCTTGCCCAATTTCTTTTGTAACACGTGCTACTACGAAAGAGCTGTAGATATAGTCTTAAAGCAAATTAGGGATGAAAGCACTGCCGTTTGTGTGTAGAGAGCAAACCAAACTGGCCCACTACCCTGTGGATAAGCCCAAAGAATCCTTCCCAAAGCGGTATTTTGGTATATGGCATTTCGCCAAGTTCCTTAGTTAAGCGCTTTTTTGGCAAACGGTGCTCCTGTACAGTAGTCGAGATAGCCTTAAAAAGGAAACTGCCTGTGTAGTGGGATGCGCATCAGCACAGCAATCATTGTTTGACCTTCGTTGGTGACTGCCCCCCAAGCAGAAGGCAAACTCCAAAACAAACAATTTACCCTCAGAATTTGGGCCATGAAAAATGTTAAAAGCAAAGCAGGAATTCCACCATGGTCTCCTGGTTCTTGTGGAATTCACTAAATATTTGTTAGATGTCGTGACCATTTGACTAAGTGACCACCACTCACTAGAATGCTGTTTGATAGAATGGCATTCATTATGAATCCACACAGAGGAGTCAACAGTAGCTTTTATTATAAGATCGGAAAGGAGAAACATGCACCAACTAAGAACGAGACCAATCACTTGAAAATTCTCTATCAGGAAAAAGATCCTTATTGTGGGCACTTTATTGAATGTCTTTTTTTTTTTTTTTCTTCATAATGAGGCAATAAAAATGGGCCAGGAATAGAAATACTTCAGGGTTCCACAACTACCCTGAACAGGAGCGAATCCTGAAAGAGCAGCTGGTCCTCGAGGTCCCTGTAAGAAAATGCAGACTGGCATTGGAGGTGGCACCGTGAATACAATAATTAACATATAATAAATGTGCTTTCTCATTTTCAGTTATACCTATAGACCATTCCACTTGGGTGAGAGGAGAGAAGGAAACAAATCTGACATTAGGCAGTTCCGGCGCTACAGCCCACCAAAACTGCTCAAACACCAAGCCTGTTTGTCATCTGCAGTAGGGATATTTCACCCAAACATTTCCACTGAAATGCCCGGGTGTATGTAGATGGTACAGCAGTTGAAAGAAATGGCGTCGCCCAGGTAGCGTTTAGTGGAATGGTCTATAATCTCGCCAGCGACTACAGGGTTCCGTGTTGAAACCCCGAGAAATTAGCCTAGCCCCAGACTCAGTTTTATCAAAATCTGAGAAAAACGAATAACCCAGATTTGCAGCTGTCCTGGAGAATAATAAAAGGTTCGCAGAAAACAATCTCCAACTACGGCTGCACTGAACGGTCCGCCAGGCTGCTTTATTCTTTAGAAACCGCACCTATTGTCCCGTTCGCTTCACATGTCCATTCCGGGACGTTTTTGCAAGTATTCGGGTCATGCTAGGGATTCCCTAACCCGGGAGGTCAGGGAACCCCCGGCCGTGTCCTGTTTTCTCCAATGCAAGCCCCAGTAAAGACGCCGCAAACTGCAGGAACTTTGGAAAAAAAAGTAAACGCCGAGTAAATACGCTTGAATTAGAAGAAACGAGAACTCTGAAAATGTGAAACCTTAGTCATAACCTGAAGGCCCCTTCACACTCTTGCAACCGAGTACGACTGAGAGAGACGAGACCTCTTGAAACCTTTAAAATTTCTTAGGACGAGGGAACACACTGCATCCTGGTGCCATCTATGCGGTGACCCTCGAACTGCATTTCACAAGAGCGAAGGTTTTGTGGGATTTCAGAGGTCAAATGTGCGCAATACCTACAAGAAAGCTCGTTTATAATGTTGACAAAAGTTTTTTAAGCCAAGAAAGAAAGTACAATGTGCGGCAAAATAGAAAATATGCTGGACCGCCAAGTTTACACTGCTACCCAATAGATGGCGGGATAGTGTGTCCTCTCTTTGTACGAGGTTTCAAGGCACCCAGTTCTAAGAGGTCGCAAGAGTGTGAACGGGCTATAACTTTAACCGGCGTTTAGATAGAATGAGCCTACAACATAAGCTGAGCTTTCTACCAGGACCGTTGGAAACCAGTCTCCATGACACCATTCCTACTAGACCATAACAGCGTAAAAGAGCGAAGCCAAATAACCCAAGTAGGGGCCATGCAGTTACAGCTCAAACAACTAGTAGTATAGTCTTTATCTAGGATTATCAAGTAATCCTAGATAAAAATATCAATTCATGATTACAGACATTTTCTTTTCTTTTTTAGAGAGTACAAATGAAATAAAATTTTCCCAGAAAGAAAGTGGAAAGATTGGACAAATGTTTGAATAGCAGTTTCCAATAATACTTTATTCGATATTCGCTTTGAGATGAAGTGCAATATTCACATTTTTCAAAGTTCTGATCGCAGCGGGTTAACTCTGCTGAGTGTGTTTCTTTCCGAGCACTGGTGCACTGCGCTAGGTTCCGAGGGTGCTGCTTCTCTGCAGTGCACCTGTGCTCGGTAAGAAGCGCACTTGACGGGGCCAATCTGCCGCAATCAACATTTCGGAAAGTACAAATATTGCAGTCCTGTGCTTAGGTGAAAAGCACACTTGCAAACTAGGATGGCGCTTGCGCGTGCCAGATGTATTTATATGTTAAAAAAAAAGTCAACTGCATTGCTGTAAAGTTTCCAAAAGTAAACTGACTATTATGCAAAAGTATTTTAGGCAGAGATGCCCTGACAACTTGCAATCATAATTAGTCATTGTCTTTCTTTTTTAATCCGAGATTTAAGAAAGGGTACTTGCATAAAACTAGTACCCTTATGAAGAGCCGCATGCGGCTCTTCACGTGCTAAAGTGCGGCTCGCGGCTCCCTTTCCTGACCCCCCCCCCCCCCCCCCTCCGAAAAAAAAAAAAAAAAAAAAATAAGAAGAGAAATGGAGCGCGTTTTAAATTGAAAGACAGGTTGCGGTTTGGTAGTCTACTGCTATTGCTACCTTACTTGGACTGCTTATTACCTATATAGATTGAAAGCAGTTAGAGTTTCGTTTATAGCTCTAAACAAAAGTTTTCACCCCCCCCCCCCCGGTGGCACTTGGGACGTTTCGTAATTTTGTTTGCGGCTCTTAGGCCGGGCCTGCCTGGCCATCCCTGGTCTACAGAATAAAAAGCCTCAAGTTTACTTGTTCAAAGTTAACCATAAGCAAGAAACAAATGTACAACTCTATCTAAAATTCTAATTGAAAGATAATGAATCCGATGCTCAGATAAAACAGCACCATTTGGAACGCTTGGCATCATGCAATGACATTTGGCAGTGACCTAATGCTCACAAAGTGAAGACCGAAAAAGCCTTCACTTTGTGCTGGTTACATGTAGAATCTATGATTAAGTCTACCCAAAATCCCACCATTCCGATCCACACAAGAGGTGACGTTTCTAAATGTTCACAAAGACTAAATACCACCATTTACAATAATTTTGAATCATGCCATTATTCTTTCTGATTAAGATGTCAGGCCTTGTTGAGCATGTATTCCCGCAAAACTCGTGCATTTGAAAGAGCCGAGGCAAACACAGCTGCAGCTAGGCATTGGTATAGCAGGAATTACACTCCATGGTGCACAATAATTCATGCAAGCTTCCTCTCTAGCAGCACCTGCTTTTTAAACTTGAAGACCTATTAAATAATTGCCCTTTGTATTTTTGTTTCCTCGACAGTCTAAAGCTAAAATTACAGTTGGGGCTCTTGTTATACTTGCCATGTGCATTCCTGTGAAATTGTTGCAACTCTGCAATATTTGTGAGGAGTACAAATTGTAGTGCATAGCAGTGATGCTACTGCAAAATTGTGATTTGGAGCAATTTTTGGGGACCCTGACAATAAAATTTTGGAGCACTTTGGAGCACCTAGAAATGGCCTTTGGAGCACATAATTGTGAAACCTGGAGCCCTTTTGGACACCTAAATATAACTTTCCGAAGTACTTTTGAGCATGCAGTTGTGAATATTATACCACCTAGATTTATTAAAGAGAATTATAAGAGTTGTAAATGTCTTACCGATTTTTTTTTTTCTTTTGGTGCGGACAGTTTAGGTAGAGTCCGTCGATTCAGGTTAAACCTAATTTTTGCTTAAATCCTGCACTTGAATTCCACCATTTTTCATATTATACTCTGCTCCGAAAATATTTTCTAGGTATCAAAGAGTTGGTAGAGTCACATAGATCGAAGATCGAGCCCAAAAGTTTACTTTTATGTCTATTGTGAATTGTATCCTTTGACCTACCTCCCCCTGTTTAGACCAGAGAAAAAGAAAGAGAGAGAAGCATAAGAAGCATATGATTTTCCTCAAAAACTTACAAGAAACAGCAGATATTTTGTTCCTGTCGAACTAGTGATATTATTGTACACTGCAAATCTATGCATTAGCTGTAATGTTGAAAAAACCATCTCTCAGTTTCAATATGTTAAAAAAAACAAGACAAGACTAGGATGGATACAAAGATGCTGCGCACGCAGAAGATTATGCAAGCCACAAGGATTATAAAAAAGAATTAAAAAGCTCAAGTCAGTTCATACAATGTTCCAATGCAATCTTGTGTACTTTAATGACTTGATAGTGAAAAAACAAATTCCTTTGAAACCGGTCATTGCTCTTTGTTGTTAATTATACTAGCATACTTTCTAAATTTACCAACCTAAAATAACCCGAACTCTAAAGTAATTCTTTGAAAAACCCGCTTTCTCCCCGATGACCAAATTGGAACAAAAAGCCCAATTTTTACCCCCCGTTTATTTAAAAAAATATAAAACCCGAAAACGAAGAACCCCAAGTACAAGCCACTTTGTAACGTTGATCCCCACAGGCCTAATGACAAAAAATTATCTTTCATAGCAATCCAATGTGACGGATTACTAAACAGATCTTTCTCATATAAAAAGGCTGACAACTGCTGGTGCAACTTACTGCGCATTTTTATTTTGACTTAAAAGGAAACAAGACCAGACTTCCTGAACAGGACGCTACAAAGAAGCTGAATAACAAGTGCGACCAAACGCTAAAGAGGCTAGTACGTGAACAAAAAGATCTTTAAACATTATCTCCGGTTTTTCGAGAAGTTGTCCCAGTGACAAATCGGCGTATGACGAAGTGCCCTGTTAAAGGGGCCCTGCAATCATATTTAAGCGTCTACCTTTTTTGCGGTTTCCACATCTTCTGGGGTTTGGGCAAGCCAGCGGGCACGGAGAGAGTAACTAAATATAAGTATGTCATATTTTAATCGGACGACGCGGAAACCTTTTCCACCTACGGGGGCAACCCGCGGTACAGAAAGCGCATGACATGTGACATATTTTGTCCTGGGCTTACTACTGGTCAGAGCCGCTAAAAGCTTCTTTTTAGTCGAAATACAAAATATAAGTGGCGCAAACCATTTCAATTATTTATAAAAGTAGTTTTTGTTCAGTATTTTAGATCAGAAACGAAACAAATATAGTTTAGAAAGTATGGAAACAAGAAATGATTCGTCGACATACCCGCCACCAAGCGGTGGAAAAGGCAGCGCATATTAGAAAGGGGTAGTGGCATCAGGCGCTGACGAGCGGCGAGCGTAGAAAGGTCCCGGATGTACGCGGCGGCGCTGCGATCGTATGAACTGGAGGATCTGACCGGTTCGAAGCGCTCCGAAGGCCTTCGGCGAGCAGCTTTAGCTTGCGCTTTGGCCTTTTGGCGGTATGGCAGCGCAAAGTGGCTTCCGCTCTAAACTGATCTTTATCCTGTGTTTGCTGTCGTTTGTGGCCAATGAAGTGTCATGCCGAATTAGTGTTTAATCGCGCAGCAAATGCAATGCGAGCCGCCCTGGCTGCCCGCTTCTTACAGCCTATCCAGAACATGCTTTAGTGGCGTCCTCTCGAGCCGTCGCTTGCTGAGCTCACTACCCCTCCTCTAGTTCACGGCCACTCAAGCAACCAAGGACGTCAAGGAGAAGGTTATTTTTTGCTTGGTTTTGTAATTTTACTTGCCTATAACTTTTAAAATAAAGCGAAATTCAAGAAAAGAAAAGTTTCAGTAAGTTACTATGTTCAGTGTGCTCAGGTTCGATGCAAATTCAAAATCAGTAAAAAAAAATCCTTGCAGGGCCTTTTTAAAGCTTTTCCAGTTCCTATATGCCTGCCAGCTTAGTCATGTTCTCAGAAAGGCTTGCGTTTGCCTCAGAAAAAAGCCCCTGTCCCGGTTGACAGCACAGCCACAAGGCGTCCTTCCCTTTGCCGTGGCTCAGGTTGCGTGTAGCTGTGATAGTTGGCGCAAGTCATCAGCTAAGCCAGTCATGTAATATGGCGGATTTTTATCAGGATGGAAGAGGAAATTGCCACTGGCGCAAAATGGCGCAGGAGTGGAATCACTACAATCGTTAGAGGAAACAGAGCAACACCACAACTGCAGCTGGAGTTCTCCCAATTCGCCACTTGACCACATGTGCCAAATATATTTAAAAATAAATTATTAGCAGTTATATGTACTCACCTTCTAACTGTTTACACTGCCAAAGAAAAATAACTAAAAAGATATTTGAGTTCTGTGTTTTTTTACACCGAAGGTACACATTCCTTGGATATCCTATTCAGGCTTTTCATTCATTAGGCTTACTCATTTGGACTTTCCAATCTCCAAAACCAGAAAAATACAAAAAGGTGTTCCATATACCGGAGCTAACAATAAGATGCCCTTAGAATTCTACTTGACCGTAATCTAATAGTTTCACAAGTAAAGAAAAATGGGGCCACATTTCTGCAGTGCTTAGCAGCAGACAACGTCAAAATGCCGCATTTTGATGTTTCTCCTATGAAGGCCATATTCTGCTGGTTAAAATAAGACAGACCTCTTTACCTCACTCGACCCTCGGTGGTGGCGCAACGAGCCCACCTCGCTTCTCCCTAGTCAAACACTCTAGGGAGATTGGAAAATACAGTACCGTATTTGCACTAATATAATGAGTTTTTTTTCGAAATTACGTGCTCCAAAACGCACCTCGCGTTATATTCGGAATCGAGTTCAACCACAAGGCGAGCGAGTCTGGAGAAAGCCAGAGGAGAAAGCAATCCCTCCGGCTCAATGCAAAATACCCGGTGTGAAAAGAAGTGGGGGTGTGGAAGGGAATTTATTAGCTATTAGTCCACATGAAGGGACGAATAGAAAACATAAAAAAGCATTTTTATCATTTTTGTGTTTGTACAACGCACGCATGCCACACAAACTCAGCGCGCGCCCGCCATGCGGGAATACGGGCACTAGCCAATTCGAGCCAAGCCAAGCCGGGCCAAGCCAAGTCAACACAAGCCAAGCCAAGCCAAGCCCACCGACCGCGTTTACGCAATCGTGCGACATGAGGCATTTGTTTATGCAGAGGCACCAGAAAAAGAAGTGTGATAGTGTATCGGTTCAGCAGTCTTTTTTCTGCCTGCGCATTGTTTAATTTCTGCTCCAGAGTGGTCTAGTGTTTGTGTGTTGGTGCTTCTATTTGGTGCCTTGTTTGGATTGTGGGCTGCCGAGGAGCTCGCACGCAAGAAAAAGGAACTACCAGACAAGCAGGTGCCGTGCTGCTGCTTATCTGCGTAGTGGCAAAGTGGATTGTAAACGGAAGGACCTGAGCAGTGAGGATGAGTGCAGTCAAACCATAAACTGATATTTCTTCTATTTCCATTGGCTTTTCACTTCTGTTATGCCCCCGAGCGAGAAATTGACGCTGCCTCGGTTCGCGTTATAATAGTAATAATATTTTTTTTCTTCTTGGGGGCATCAAAACCTGCCCTCGCGTTATATTCGTGGTCGTGTTATATTCGTGCAAATACGGTATATAGACCGGAAAGCACAGTACATAGTGTTAGAATGTTTGGTGCGCTTTTTTTGTCTGTGTTGCGACGTACCACTGAAAAAACACGTTGCTGTTGGTGGACATCATTAATAAACAAACAATGCAACAAAATCAAGCCCTTTGACCTGCATAATGCTTTCTCATGAGTAAACACATAAAGAGGGGTTTTCCCTACCTCTGGGAGACAAACTCCTGCCAGACGTATGGGGTCGTGTGGTCCCCCTGCGGTCTCAGGAAGCAGGGGTCGTGGATGGTGTAGCCCACGCTGCGCCCGCCCCCTGTCTGGTCCATCAAAGTCACCGAAAGCTGCAGAGCACAGATAACTTTGCAGACACCTATACTTGACTATTCTGGTTTTAAATGCACAGCATTTATAGGGCGAGCTTTGAAGATCTCGTGTCCGTGGCATATAGCCTCAATGACATCACGTGACATCACGGCACCACATCATGCCATGTCGTGCAACACCGTAATGTCACGTGCCTTCATGAGCCAGGCGACGTTATGACATGACATGACACCGCATCACATGACATGGTAATGCCACATATCACAATGTCACATGACATTTTAACGTTGCATATTTTCATGACGTCACGTGACATCATGACCCGACATTATGTCAGATGACATCAAAAAGTAACATGACATTGTGACATCACATGGCATTGTGATATCAGTGTCATGCAATACTGCGACGTCATGCGGCATTGTTACGTCAGTCACGTGATACTGTGACGGCTGATAACGCAGATAACATCATTACATGCTTATCATACACGTTTTCCCAACACCGGCCTTGAGCCTGTCGCAAGGGGGACGGCATTACTGCACCTCCACTCTTCCCCTGTGCTCCAAATCCTTGTAAAATCGACCGATGTAGTGGTTTTCGATGACGTTCAGCAGGTTTCTCATTGGAATCATACGTTTACTTTCGCTAACTAATAGGTTAATTAAAACATTTTAGTAAATTATTCATCTTACTGTGATGATTGAGCCTCTATATTATGCCCCCCATGCCATATAACTCAACCGGACAGACTGCATTAATGTAACTTTTGCTGCTTTTAACAAAAAAATCAAAATAATCTGTAAAGTTTAAAAATATTTCTTGCACAAGGAAGAGGTTAGACAGAGGAGGGGGAACAGTTTAAGAACGGTGAGTGAAACGCGAAGCGTCCCTGGAGAACTCTTCCATGGCAATGTCACCCACTAGGGCACTATACTTCGTTTCACCTTAAAGGCCGACGTACACTTTGCGCTTTCATCTTTTGTCTGCCTTTTGCTTTCCTATATCCTCTCCACTTTTTACCTTGCCACAACTTAGCTACCCTCGCAGCTTAGGACAGGGGAGCACTAAGAGGGTTATCTTCCCTGCAGAAAACCGAACTTGTACGTCAGCCTCTAAGTTCGAGCAGAGCCGACGCTATACGAGCCAATGGGGCGAATCGAATGTCGTCATAAGTGCAACATTATAGCATTCTACATCTTTCTCTACATGACCTGTCATCTGCAAGACTATACTCCGTTCCACTTTAAGGGGAGACACTACCTGGGAATGTCAACCTTTGGACTCTCGCTTAATCGGGGTGATATTTGCAGGTGGTGTTTGCAGCCAACTCTCTGCCCTGTCAACCAATTTTATGAGGTACTATACCCCAGAACGAAGTAAAGCACAGCATTGCATGGAATTTGCTCAATGAATATATTGTTGATAAATGGTGTTGATAACCACATTATTTTTCTGGTGGAACGCATACTGGAATACCTGTTGCCAGCTACTATAAAAAGAAATTAAAAAAATAGATTTTTTCAGATAAAAATAATTTTCACATTTATTAAGTTTTGCAAATTGCAATTTTTCATAATAAACGAAGATGAAAATGCAAAATCTAAGTTCATAGTACAGTGTAGACCGCATATAACGTATGTCGCGGGAGTCGCAAAAATCCGCACTATAAGCGGTACCGCGTTATAACCAAAACATCAATTTTTCAGGCCAAAATACATGCCATGAGACTACTTACCTTTGTAAGAATTTACTTTATGTTAGGTGAAAAATAAAGCTTAGTTTGAGGAAAGTCTTTATTTCACCAGACTAGAACAGTTCTGTCTCAAGTGTGTCACACATTTTGAAAGAAATGAGCGACTTTTGCCTGGCGCAGCCTTTTAACAGCGTCGCGGGTTGCGGACGGACGTTGCGAGCGTTCAGGATTGCTAACCCTAATCACTTTTCTCCGGCGATGAAAACGCGTGAAAATTCGCATCCTTTATACGGTACGCGCCAGTAATACCTTCAACTTGAGCACAGGCATGAAATGCTCCAAATAAGAAATCCGGGCGATGTTCGAAAACACAGAAAGCACCACTCTAGTCGAAGTAAACAAACACGACGACATGGGCGTTTGTGCCGTCTTGAGAGTGCCGCCACGACATCGCCGCACGAGTAGGTGGATCTTCCCTTCTAGTACGTGCTGGGTTATCATAACGACACACAACGAAAATTCACAGTCAAGGGTAGCACTTTTACGCGGAACGATGAGCCTTCATCACGCAATCTACGTCGACGATCAAAACCAACGCCACGTTTGCGGATAGACGCAGCCGGCCTGCGACCGGAGAGGAGGAGAAGCGTTGTAATAGAGGTTGGGGGGGAAAGGAGAGAGCCAATAGTGTGTACGCACTGCCGGCATGCAACGCGCGCGAACACTTCTCCTCGACCTGCGATTGGTCTGTCGTTGCGGTTGTTTCCAACCATCGCAGCGGAGGGACGCGCGCACGAGAACGACACGTGCATGCGTCCCTCCGTCGCTATGGCAACTGCAGCCTCTCTCTTCGCATCTCCCGGTTTCTTCGAGCAACCTCCTTGCCCCGCGAGTGCCGCTCGCGGCTCGCGCCGTTATCTAGCGCCGCAAAGGGAAGCGTGCTCGCTGCGCCGGTCAGTCGGCTCGGCCGCTGGGCTCTTCCAGAAACCGCACTATAACCGGTATTTCCCTTCGCGCGCCTGCATTTTAAGCGGTATGTAAATACATGGAGTTCTATGGGAGGCGAACCGGTGGTTTAAAAAAGCCGCATTATACCCGGTCCTGCACTATAAGCGGTGACATTGTAAGTGGTCTATACTGTAACCGGCTCTATAAAATTTCGGCATATAAGCCGCAAATATTAAGTTTCTCGATAGTTTCATACTGAAACGATAGTTTTGATTAAGGTGAGATTTGCTGCCAAAAAGCTGAACTGAGAAAAACGCGCTCAAGAGCTCCAACCTCTACCTTTTCTTTAGGATCGGTGGGCCGAAAATAGTTTATAGAAAAATAACTATGGAGTGTAAACTAACGAAACTTTCTGGGAATACTCTCTAGATGCGTGGATATAGATATGTCATTTTTCCAAATCAACCTTTTCTGCACAAACTTTTTTTTCTTCTGGGTAGAGTGCCCCGCTTAAGTTTGATAGCAGCCAAAGCTACGATTTGACGGAGCCAATCCAAAAGTAACTAAAAGTGCATTGTTGCGACCCTAGCCCTCTTTGTGCGTTTGCTATCACCGCAGTTAAACGGATCACGCGCAGAAAAAAGTGCACGAGCCCGGCGCATTCACTGTTTGCGATTGGTTTAGCCCGGTGATAGGGAACGCACAAAGACGAGGAGTGCCGTGACAATGCACTTTTAGCACTGATCGACTTGTTCCGTTCGGTCCGACTTGACATGAAACAGAGTATAATTGAGCGCAGACACTGTCCGGCGACTTGCACTTTTAGTATGTGTGTCGGTGTTCGTATGCAATGGAGCCTTCGACTGCACCCGGTCCCGTCACGGAACGAAGTACGGCTCTACAGATTCTCCGGACCCGCCGGAGGCAGTGCCTACCCGGTGCCTGAAGGGCCAGGGCAGCTGGTTGTCGTGCCTGCCTCGATGCAGCACCAGCTGCACAGCCACAAACTTGCCCTTGTGCCCCAGGCCGTGCAGGTGCACCCGCAGCTGCATCAGGTAGCCGGGCTCCGCGGTGTAGAACCGGGGGCCGGCCGTGTACCTGCGACGAAGGGGTGGAGGTTCTGCAGGGCACTCATGCTACATCAGCAGGGGAAGACGGGAACGAGATGCGGCGGGGAAAAAAAAAGACCGGCAACTGCTGTCTACCTTAGGTAACAGTTGCCTGAAGAAGGCCATTAAAATCATCAAATCAGAACGTTCTCCTCCTTCTTTTCCGTAGGCACATCTTTTTGCAATCTTCTCCCTACTGGTATACCTACAACAAAGACACCTCTTGTCTACTTATCTAATCTACATATATAATCTATGGTATTTAGGTTACAGAGTGCCGCGGGGGATGGCGAGCGGATTCGCTTGAGTTATGGACCCATGCCGCCATGCTTCAGACCACTGGAAGAACAGGTTGTCGGCAGGTGCTCCATCGTTGCTTCTTCATCATAAATGTTGATGCGACCTACGCCCCAACGTCACGCGTCATGAAACAAAATTGTGACATCACATGAAGTCACATGACACCATGTGATTGAGCGACACTGTGATGTCAGGTGACATCATGTGACTGCGACATCACATATGACAACACACATGACATGACGCCATGTGGCTCCGTGACAACACGCAATGTCAATATCACATTACGTCGTGCGATGCCAAAGTCATGCGACTTTATGAAGTCACCTTATGACACCCGATTCACAATAGATTCTGTGCTCCCTCGTTTTTGTCAGCACGATGCTAGCCGTAAATTGATAGCTCTCGGTACAGCTCAAAGACACCGAGGATTTTGGACCCAGGCTTGCCTATGCTGACCCAGAAAAGCAAAGATTTTAGTTTTTTTTTCTTTGACCTGCCCCCTTGAAATGCGTACCTGTGTTGCCCGTGCCGCTCCTTGCGCTTGGCTCGACCGTAGTCGCTCAGCCGCCAGTTGAGGATGCCGTCTGGGCAAACCAGTTCTTGATCCTGCACACATTGGCATGCCCTCATTTATACGGGATGTTTCCTGTAGCTGCTTTACAGACGTTTCTTAAAAAATCCGGAAAAGGTACACTAATGCAGTCTGTGCAAGTGAGTTATACTGCCAGGGGGACATAATATTGACGGCTAATCGTCGGCATAAGTTGGATAATTAAATAGGACTTGTTGCGAGTTTTTTAATTGGTGGAAATAAAAACATGGTTCCAATTAGAAACCCGAGCATCATCATCAACCACTAAATCAGTAAATTTTAGAAACGCCTGGAGCACATGGAAAGTGCAGGTGTGCACTAAAGTTACTACTGACAGTGCAAAAATGCTGATGATAAAAGAAGGAAAAACTTTACGGGCACATCAAAGTTGGATGCATTTTTGGGGCCCAGAAAACAAAGAATGGTGCGTCAAATCTTTCTACAATTGAGATTTAATGGTATATGCGGTATCAGCTCCCACGTCACGTGGTTGATAGCAGGTGCTCCGATGTTTATCAGTAATTTTTTACGACCTTCTGCTGTCTCGATCATTCCAAAAACTGCCTGCCCAACATTTCTAACCATTTATCTCTTCAAAATGGGTGGGCATTCGTACGGGATTTTACAATAAGTGTATTGGCTAGAAAAATGGCTCACTTAAAGAAAGGAGGCATTGAGCCAGGGATTCCCCAGAGCCCCCTGGGAAGAGAGGTGTACTTTGGGCAGCCTCATTCTGGAGCACTCCAGGGTACTTTTTCCGCTTTGACAAGTGCGAGCCTAGTAATTGCATGGCGTATTACCAGTAAAAAAAATGGGCCGAAATCGCTGCTGCCGTTACGCTGATTCTCGAAGAAATGCATTAGCATTTCGCACAGCAGTTACATATAACAAAGCGTGATGAATGCAGCCTCTCAACAGTCTTCCGTGGGTTGAACATTCTCAAAACCGCTCTAATCCCTGGTGCAAGCAGATCAGGTCACTTAGCGTGTATATGAAGGACGGCGGCCGCTCAGGATTGACTGGTTACAGAGAGCGACGGCATGATCGACATTACACCTAGGATGCATGAGCCGCCAGCGGGGTGCCGCGAGGCAACATGTGCGGGCGGCCCAAGATGGGTTAATATTTTGTAATGAACCATCTGCAGACTGTTGCCACGAAGTGGCATGAAAGGAGGGCCCGGACTGGGTTAACACGCGCCCCGGTGATACGCCCGCCGTCCCCCCCCTGTGCGAAGCCGAAATTGGCGAAGGGGTACGTCGCCGGCGACCATCGATTGCTAGGTATCGCTCTCTACAGACCTTTCCAGCGGCAGTCTCAAACGAAGCGATTTACAGCGCACATCCCCGGTTCTGAAAGTGTACATCGGAGTTGCCCGACTGCACTAGGCTGTGGGCCTTCTCGTCAGTGGGCTGTGGCACCCTGCGCAGGCGCAATTCCGGACACTGGTGGCATCTAACTTGCCGAGTTTCATTTTTTTTCTTTTGTGTTTTACAGCGAATAGAATTTCTCAAGACTTTAAAGAAAGCTCTGCACAGGTCTTAACTGTCTAAAATGTTCGACAACACAGGATAACCGAAATGCATGGGTATGCCTGCTCACAACGTGAAATTCAACGAGTCTCGTCAATCGAACAACATATTGTATGTACCCCACGGTGCAGCATTATCCGAACAGGATTTATTTGGCAAAGATCTCAAACAACACAGCATATCCACTATACACTGTCGATGTGTCACCTTTACGACGATCAAATGGTATCCGGTTTGTTTTTGGGCACGTTTTGAAGAGAACTGCTTTTTCACACAGTACCAAAGCAAATGAACGAAAGTGTCTATTTTATCCTCATAACCCAGACCTGATCCTATCAGCTATTTTTTGTGAACACTGGGAACATAGCCGGGAAGGCTGTTCGGAGGTTATCTTGACAGAAATAATCCTCGAAGAACATCGACAACACGCGTCATATGCTGCTTGACGTTCACTCTCTTCGTTCGTTTTCTCCGAAGGTTGAGCAGGCTACGAGCCCCTGGTATTCCCTGGTTCTCCCAGTGGAAGATAACACAAAAAGGGTAAGCATCCTGAAAAGGCAGTAAAAACTTCTAAGAAAAGCCGGCAAACTCCGAATGCACAATGCAGGTGGAAAGTCACGCTGACCGGGTCTCCACAGCTCATGCAGGTGGTGGAAATTTCTGGTTGATAGGGGTCACTCAAGTCCTAAAATGGCACCAGCCAGAGTTCTCATTGAATTGGCCGGTGCCAAAATGGCACAGGCCAATTCAGCGCAGCTTCTGTTGCTATGCGTTCTATCGCCAAGCCTGAATATGCACCCCGCCGCCATCTGGCAGCACTTGCAGAAGGTGTTTCCTAACCGGTTTTTGCAGCCAGCGGGGCGTCGGCACCATCCTGTGGCAACGTTGTGAAAGTTATATACATGTGCTCAAAACCAGTCCAAGGTCAGTGCATGTATCTAAATTGGAGGAAAGAGGAGTGCTTACACTGCCCACGACAGACGGTGCCAGGGAGGCCAGTGAAGCTTCCGGGGCAGAAGGCTGTGGAATCAATGGGTGAGAAGGATTAATGACCCCGCTAACTTCCAGAACCAAAATAATCTGATTGGCTAATTGGCTGACCTAATTGATTTCAATTAAATGGCCCCTCAAATTACTTCCAACCATGGCTTGGCACAATGCATCATTACAGCCATACTCCTTTTCGGCTCACAAACGACCGCGGTGGACGTTACGAGCCTTCCCAGCCGATCCAGCACTGCGAACGTATCACACGGCCCAAGTATCACTCCTTGAAGAGCATATACAATACTCGCACATTATTGGGTCAGCTTCGATAACTGTGGTCCATCGCGAGTAGGGTTCAGTGTTTTCGGGGTTTATTTTTTCCCACGGATTCGGCGCTTCTCAGTATCAATTTCAGGTGTCCGACCAAAAGTCAAGGATTATCGGCGTTTATGTCGAAGAAAATAGGACACTGATTCCCTGACCCCCAGGGAACATACCCCGCCTCCTTGAAAAACGTCCCTGTACCGATAAGAAAAAAAAAAAAAAAAACGAAACATAATGTGCGGTTACGAAGCAAGGAACAGCCTCACGAACAGTTCAACCAAGGCTGTGTTCCGGGTCGACACAGAATAAAAGTCTAGACAAATATTTTCTTTCTGTGGAGCTTATTCACGGACAGCTCCAATCCAAGGTTTTACGGTTTCCCCTCTATTTCGATAAAACCGGCTTGGGAGTTAATTTTTGGGGTTTATCGATATTTATTGAAAATACAGGTAAAACAAAGTATGGTCAACTTCACTGACCTTGTCTCGTGTGTGTGTGCGTGTGATTAAGGCTGCTACCAGACGACTGCAGGCAGTGAGCAGGCTATATACTCCACCTCAGTCTTACTTGGCAATTGACGAAAGCTACAGTCTCAGTGAGCCCAGCAGTGTGTTGGAGGGACACACGTGACTGTAGGCTCTCTCACTAGTTGGGTCCAGTGCTGTCCGAGCCACGGGCGGGAAAGAGAGGAAAACCGCTTCTGTACCAATTATGGGTGTCTGGTATAGTCTCCGAAGGGGACAAAGGGACAAGTGGGGAGTTCCTCCTGCCCCTCTTCTCCAACAACTTGGGTTACGCCCTTGCCCCTGTACCCTCGCTAAGGGCCGTCACGTGCCTTACCTCCGCCACCCCAATTGGCTTGAAGGGGCCGCGTAGCGTTAGCTCGATCTTTGCCAAGTTACGGTGAAACGAAGTATAGTCGCATATTTACTTTCCCTACGAATATATAACGTCACTGAATTCCACAAGCCAGATGAAGTTGACTGCTCGCATTTTATTTTGGCTTTACCTCAGCGTAGATGTAACCTCAGATAATGCCGAAAGGTTTTTTGGGATCACTCGTCTTTATTGTTCGATCCTAAAACTGAATGGCTGCCATAAACACTACTATAGTGTGGTGAAAAGTTCTCACTCAGGACGGTAACCAAAGCAGTAAAGTTTGGTGCTTATCTATTCTCTGTCTAAGACGCAGAAAATCAATGATGTTGTGTTCGTGCCTACTCTGTTGTACAGTGAATCTCTAAATATAAGCCGTTCAGGCAAGTTTTACCTGTTCTATTTTTACAGCTTCAAATTTCCTAGGTAGTATTATGAAAGAGGCAGGCAACAAGCGGCAGGACACAAAAACCCACAATGAAACATGTTTTTAAAACCAGCATCAGAGAGTAAATCATACAACCCGACTTTCACAATCATGCAGATGGATGTGAAAGTTCAAAATGCAAGTCTCCCACACCAGGCAGAACCTTTCCGAAGATGTCAGTACCATAGATAAGGGAGAAAAAGGGGAAGAGGTGAGCCAGCCACCGTCCTTTGGTGCCCAGCTCACCTTCCTGTTGGTTGGGCGCCTCTTTGCGCCTCCCGCGTTCCCAGGGGTCCCCACCAGCCGGGCCCACGTGCGGGGAAACAGGAGCGCCAGCCCCACGACCGCGGTCCCACAAAGCTGTGCCACAGTGGGGCCAATTCTAATCCTAACCGTAACGTTAGCAGAGCATCTAGAGTGAGACTGCTGCCTTCGATAGTGCTTTGGCTGTGTGTCCAACGACTTTGATGGTGTGGAGGCACCAATGATGCCTCGTGAAACTGATGGTTCTGAACCGCCATCAGTATTGTGGGATTCCATTAGTGAATTCTTGAAAGAGCACAAGTGCCAAGCTCTTGAAATCATTGGAACGACAAGCGGAGCATCTCATTTGGCTGCTTAGCATCTAGAGGGACCTTGCTGCGTTTTATGGTGCTTTGGCTGTATGTCTGATGACCTTGATAGTGTCAAAGCACCAATGAAGCTCCATCATACTTTATTGGCTCTAAAACATCAAAACTTGCCTTGCCAAAAAAAAAAAAAAAAAAACTTTTTGTAGAAAGGTTGGAACATGCAAATTATCTCATTTGGCTGCTCAGCCCTTAGAGCGACCTCAATGCATTTTAGGGTGATTTGACTGTCTCCTCAGCTGAAGTGTCAATCATGTCCAATGAGGCTGATAGTTATTCTGAAGTGCCACCAGGGTTGTGTGGGACTTCCCTGTCTTTGATGCTGCTGAGACATCATTGAAGGGGGTGAAGAAGAGCCTTTCTTGTCCGGCTCTTTTAATTATCCCAGCCTTCAGCCTCCAGAATCTTACCCGCCTTCAGTGGTGCCCCTGCTGTGTGCACACAATTTTAGGTTGCCAGGTACCAGAGCACTCTCAAGAGTTGAGGGGCCGGGCAACTTTTTAGTCGCATTTCCCAAATTGCAGAGAGCATTAAACACATTTTGAGCACCCTCTACAAGTTGCTTTTTCATGCTTAGACTATATGTGCATGATTCCAGATGACAAGATTCTGAAGCAACACAAAAGGCAGCAAGCTCATCCTAGCATAACATAACTGTCCTTTTAGGTGTCTGGTCTCCAACCTGATCTTCTTTCTTTCAATATAATCAATATAATTGCTTAAGCTATGGCCCAGAAGATGCTAAAAACAATAGAACAGAAGTGAGCAAGCTCTAGATATGGCTCTAATGAAGGGTTCCCTTCCATATTAAACTAAGGGAGTCGCAAGGAGGTGACACCTTGCAGATGTATCGAGACTGTGTCAGCTGCAGTAGCCACATTCAAGTTTTGAATTGAATTTTACCTACCAACAAGTACCTCGTCCACGGCATCTTCAGTCACAAGACTTAAGAGCTTAGCAACAATCACAGGTTCTGCTTCTGCCACAGTATATGCAAACCACCTAGAGTAACTGCCATTACTGCTGCTTCTATTCTACACAGTTCTTTCCTTAGTCTACAATGTGCTCTGCTAAAAAAATGAACTATCTGAAGGTCAATTCAGAGCCTTCGACAACTAAATCAGCCCTAGTGCTCTCCCCTGATTTGTCTCACATTAAAAATACCTACATTTAATTTATTGACATTTAGACTTACGGCACAAATTAGAAAAGAACAGTCGTGGAAATGAACTGTCAGAGCTGATGCTCGAGGGCCATTCATTTGTTATCACGTTGTATGGCAGATTGTGTCGACATCAAAGGGATGTGCCCCATCATCCCGGATTACAAAGACTGGTGCTAAAGAATGCACTCTATTTCCCACAACTGCGATTGGCAACAAACTTTAAATTTACATCAATTTACTACAAAGGCAAAATTCAAGGTACCTAGAACAAAGGATGAAGTACAAATTCTACAGCACGTCCCCCCCAAAAAAGCATACAGGGTATTTTTCCATCGCAAAAATAAACAATGCATCATTTAGCACTCAAGGTTCGTTCACACTCTTGCAACCGGGTACGACCGAGAGAGACATATCTGTTAAAACTTCTTAGAATGTCTTAGGACGAGGAAACATACATTCTGGCGCCATCTATGCGGTGACCCTGGAACTGCATTTCACAAGAGCAAAGGTTTTGCAGGATTTCCGAGGTCAAATGTGCGTAATACCTATAAGAAAGGCTCGTTTATGACGTTGACTGAAGCTTTTCGAGCCAAGAAAGAAAGAAGAATGCGCGAGAAAAATAGAAAATATGTTGGACCGCCAAGTTTACACTGCTACCCAATAGATGATGCCAGTGTGTCCTCTTGTTGTAAGAGGTTTTAAGGAACCCAGTTCTAAGAGGTCGCAAGAGTGTGAACGGGTCTTCAGTCTTCACCAAATGTAGGGCTACCGGTCTGGACCAGATCCCAGAGTTGCAGAACTAACCATTACCTTTCCAAAAAGTTATATGCTATTTCATTATACTTTCAAAGAAAAAACAGAGCTTGTTTGCAGTAGCTGATACCATTTATCTTGTACACGTCTTCGTGGGCTTCGTTTTCCGCCATTTTCCCATTGAAAATTTTCAAAAATCTCTCTTAACTTTTGAATAAGATAAAGCTCTGACAGTATAGCATCTGGTCCAGACTGCTGACAATACATTTAGGCAGAAGAGACTGAGTGTTCAACAATGCAGAGTTTATTTTTCCAAGAAAAAAAACACTAAATATTTCTTTCGAGACATTCTGTGCGTACGAGAGAAGGCTACAGGGGAAGCACTTACCATGTTGACAGCGGCACAGAGGCTTCCTTGTAGCTCTGGGTACATCTGCCCACCGCCAATAGGCTGCTGCAGTGCTGGCAAATAGGAAGCTCCCTGCTGTGGTTGAATCTGGAGCGAAATAAGAACCACTCTTGACAAAAAGAAAGGCGCTTCATTTTCAGTTGACAAAAAGAAATGCCTTTTACATTTTCACAGAAGCTAACTTCGATTAAGCTTAAAATCTGCGCCACAAGCCCTGCCAGCCTCGCAATAAAAGGGTAAAAAAAAAAAAGAAAGACGGAAAAGGCAGGACAGAGGTTTTTGAGACACTTAAAGAAGGTTTGCAAAAGCTTAAAATACAAAAAAAATGGTTACAAGCACTACGGTATGTGTCTACGTTAGACATGGCGTAGCATACCTGGAAAGCGGAGACTGCTATTAAAGGGACCATGAAATGATTTTAAAATCTAATTTCATCCACCGCACATCGTAAAAGGTGTGAAAAGAAACACAAAAACACAAAACTAGGGAGCCAAAAAAAATTATTTGCTATAGAACTTTTAAAAGAAAACTGGACTCTTTTGCGACTTCTTTCCTTTGAAAGCTCTGCCTTTTCACTACGATGCATCCGCAGAAATGGAGCACGTCAGCCGAATCCACGTCGCCTATTGGGTAAGAGCCTACCTCACCAGCACCGCGATCGTAAACAATAAATAGCCGGCGAATGTTTCCTAAAAGTTTTGTTAAATAATATTCAGACCCATATTTTGTAGCATAATTAGAGATGTGTGGCGAAAATTGCCAAATTTGATAATGCTGAGAGCCAAGCGCCATCTATCGTGTGGTAAACGAAGCAACTACTGCGCGTGCGCAGTAGGGCAGGGCTGGCAGGGCCGACTTCAGAACGGTTATTTCCTTTGGTTTCCTTCCTCTCAAAACTCTGACTGACTGAACGTTTATTTTTCTACGTGTTCATCTCGCGCGTGCCGACTTCAAGCAGCAAGAAAAAACTGTACTTAAAACAGACCACGACGAACAAGAACGCTGGATCCACAAACACCCCAGAAGAGCGACAACAGCCGCAAATCGCGCTCCGACGAAGCTCTCAGAATATAGGCCTAGCAGGCACTCCGACTCGGCGCAGCATTGCTTCGTCGCAAGACCATCTGTCTGCCTGCGACCGGCTGGCGTGCTGAATGGAATATGCCTGCGCTACCCTTGTGGGGTACCCTTGTGGACCCTTCCCGTATAATAGTTTGATCGCTGACCTCAATTTTACGTTAAGAGGTGAGGTCAATCTCTTCCCCTTGTTTTCCGAGGCAGTGTTGACGAACACTCGTCGAAAAGGGACCCTCGTCGATTCTCTCTTCTTGTTTTGTGTGATATAGAGCTGAAATAAACGCTGTATGGATTACCTTCGTAGCACGGTATGTACACTTTGTTATTGGTATGCCATTTTTATCCTGACAGACTGCACGTCACTGTCGAGCTGTAACAGTTCGTGAGAGGTATACGTGCAATACCGGTCCAACCTTTCTTTGCCGAGTGTCGCGTCAGTATCGAGTTGCAATCGTAAAAGATCGGTCCCGAAGCGCTTACCAACAGCGCGAATACAGCACTTCCATCAAACGCGCGCGTCCGCTCCGAGTGTTAACAGGTATTTACGTGGCTCTTGCTGACACTCGTAGTTCAAACGTATCTTTTTTAACGTCAGCTCACTCCTGCATCTCCGAGACCGCGAAAAACGCCGCGGCAATTTGTTTCCATCTACGTCGCTTTGCAAACGACTGACACTGGCCGCCTTTTGCCAACAATGACAGTTGGGTTGACTTCTGGAGTCTTCACCGGAAGACTCGCTGCACTTCCCAACAGGCATACCGGTGTATGGGACTAGTCCCATGCTGTCGCTGTAGCGCAACATATCTCGTTGAATTTCGCTCAGCTGCGATGCGGTGATGAGAGGCGCCGATTCAGAAAATACATCGGTGACATCGGCGCAGTAAAACCTACCGGCGCACCCCAACTCGTCGCCGCTAATGCTCCCATCTCCTACTGCCGAGAGAAGTTCCGGTTCCGGAAATAGCGTACGTCACGGCTTGTTTTAAGGTCAAGAAAAAGTCAATATTTCATTAATGTTTTGTGTAGAAGTTAATAAACCGAGACGAAAACGGATGCCTGTTCGGCATTCAGTGAACATTGACGGTTTAATGTAAAAGTTATCTGGAAAAAGTAAAAAAGTCATTTCATGGTCCCTTTAACATGGTGTAGGTGTAACAGCACGTAACAACGAAGACTAAGAGAAGGAACACACAACACAGGACGAGCGCTGTGTTGTGCGGTTAGCATTCGCTGCGTTCCTAATAAACGCAATTCTGCATACGACGGTTCGATCATACAGTCCCTCCTCATATAATGCCAAAGAGGTTTTTAAGGTATTTTGAATAAATAAATACATAAATTTAAGAAGCCCTCACCTGTGGCGAGGGCATTCCCTCAAGCCGGCTCAAGCGCTGCTCCATTTCCCGCAGCTGACGCTCCAACCTGTCGCTTCGGGCCTGCACCGAGCACAACAAAGTACCGGACAGTCATTTTTCTATTCACATTTCGTTTGCTGGAGCACAGCAGCCATTGTGCCTCTGCGCTCAACAGGAGTTTCGTTCCATCATTCTAAGGAGTGCCACAGCATTGTTTTAGTAAAACATATAAAATAGCGCAACAGAAAGACAAGTATACAGGACAGGCGCTAACTTTCAACTAGTTTTATTAAGGAAAATTGAACACATATATACACTTTGACAGGCAAAGCAGCACCATGATTAATTTTTCACCCGATCACTCAAAAACTGAAATTCATTACAATGAAGAATAATAGAAGTGTTGCTGACACATGCCGTCCCACTTTTTTTGATAAAGAAAGCTTCCAATAGCTCTCGAGCGACTGTCTCTCGGCTTCTTCCTAGTATCCGTATCTGCTGAAGTCGCGGAACATAGCCACATGTGTTGCAATGTATTGGCAAATGCGAGCCATATTTATTTTTTACTGATAATGCGTGCTCCCGTGTTCGGTCATTGATGCACCGCCCCGCTTTGCTATCCCTCTACGAGAGTTTAGTTGTGCTGCTACCTGAATGTTTTTGCCAGCGACACACAATTTTGTGTGTCATATCATTCGAGAAAGGACTCCTGTATTGCACTTATTTATTTATTTATATTTTGTAGCATCCTCAGTGCCCAGGGACATACAGAGGAGACTAGTTTTCCAGGTGGAATTTAGAAACCCCAGCTGGAATCATTGCAATTAAGTCCAACTGGATTCAATGCTTGTCCAGCTGGAACAGTTGCCACTCCAGATGGATCCACTACTTTTCCAGCTGAAATTTTTCTACTCCAGCTGGAAACATTGCTTGTCCAGCTAGAACCATTCCAATTCAAGTTGGAACCAACTGATTTTAACTAAATCCTATTGGTTCCAGCTGGAACCAACTGGTACCAGTTGGAACCAGAAGTTGAATTTTTGCCTGGGTAGGCAACTGAACACAGCAAAACAGACATAAATAGGAATTAAAACACAGTCATGGGACACATAGAGAAAAAAATAACGAGTAACAGCAGTTTTAAACAAATAAAATGAGGGTATTGCTACTAATGATGCAGGCAGGTGGTTGCATTCTGGCGATGTCCTATGAACGACGGAATCGTTTAGGCTGATGTTCGACAACGAGGGATGCCAACTTTAAACTGATTGATGCATGAAGAAATATTAGAGGAGTTGAGGAGTTTTTCTTTTAGGATAGGATTGTACTCCGTTCCACCGCAAGTCCAGACTCAGCCGATGCCATGAGCTGATGGGACAAATCAAACAGCAACAAAAGCGCACCACCAAAAAAAAGGCCTAGTGACTTGCACTTTTGATTGGACCCATTACCTCGTACCGTCAACTGCGTCTGGACTTAAAATGAAATGGAGTATGGTACAATATATTGAGTAGAAAAGGTATCAACGCCATCACTGGGCCTAATCTCAGAGGAATCATTTAGAGTAAGTAAAAGTAAGAAGACAGCAAGCCGTTTACTCTTGACAGCAGAACCTTTTTCTACAGCAGCCTCCGCAGATCCGAAAAACACGAATCAAAGAGGCTGCGAATAGGCCTGACGTACGCCGCACAAGCTGCAATGTGAAGCTCCAGGCTTTTTTTTGAACATTTTAAAGTTTTTTTTAAATAAAAAGTAACTTCAAGACGCTGTTTTTCATTAGAAAGTTATCTCACAAAAACGTCATACACGTTTCTTTAATAAAGAAACCGCTTCTTATAGGCACAGATGCAAACTAATATAGCCACTCTGTGCTTTGACATAGCACATCACCCGCTCACATCCTGCCAGCTCCGTCACAGGACGGAGCTGGCATGTTTTGGTGGCACCTGTGAGGTGGCGTCACCAATACATCTCGTTGCCAACAGACAAAAAGTTATGTACAGTTCACATGAACTGAAGAGCGTGTTAGTAAGATTGACTGGTAACAGAAAGAATGAAACAAACTCGGGACGATGAACAATTCATGTATGAAATGTTTGTCGTTCCTCGTCCCGACTTCGTTTTATTATTTCTGTTATCAGTCTATGTAAACCTCTTGGCCGATTTTTCAAACACTGAAATGTCTGACTTGCTTGCTATTTTGGACATCGACAAGGAACCTTGACTTACTCAATTGAAATAGTACATATTAACAACCAATTTTTCAAACAGTGTGCAGTCCGGAAGTTCGGTTTTTTGGACTAAAACGGCTACGAGCGTGGCCACCCAGAGGCTGCCATCTTGAATTTTTCGCTGGCGTTGCTTTATGTTTCAAACGAATTGGATAGGTTTGGCAACACTATTTCAGCGCTGCCGAACCAGCCGCTAAGCATGCTATGTTACGCATTTTGTTTTTGCTACGCGCTATCATCATATAGTCTTGGTTTCTTTGTTTGGTCGATTTTCCATCTCCAATTTTTTGTTTTGTTTTCGTGCCAGTCACCATCCATAAAGTGTGAAGTACGCTGCTAACAGCTTCTTAACTTTGTGCCTAAATGTCTCGCAGATTTGTCGTTTTGCCCTGTGTCAATGCATGCTTTGGACCTCATGGCCTCTTCTTGCACCTTGGTCGGGTGAAGACATGACGCTGAAACACATGCAAGCAGACATGATCGCTCGCAAGGATAACATGACAGAAAATACTTTTTGTAACTTCTTTAAGCCAGGTTTAGGCTCAATAAAGCCAAAGTTTTGTAATCTGCAGATTTTTCGGACTGCTTTATTATTCTAACGCTTTTTCAGCCCACACGAAGACCGAAAAATCGGTCGGTGACATATGAAAAGGGGAGAGACATCAGGAATATGTGAGATACTGCATTCCAGTGTAGCAAACTGCATGGCGCACGTGAAACCGCACTGAAAAGCTTCTCTTTCCTTTTTTTGTACAACATTTTTATGGCCATTATTGCAACCCTGGAAACAAATGTGGCTCTACGAACATCCTCAAGATATCCTAAAATCCCAACGATGTCTTCTAGATATTTACAAGACACCTGTGCTACATGAATATCCAAATTTGCTAAAGATACCAATCTGGACAGAGCAGTTGAGATACAAGCTTTGTCCCTTCCTTTTTCACCTAGAAAGATGACAAGCTAAAGGGTATGCCTCGGTTGAATGACGACACCCTCACAAGTCACTGGAAAGTGCAAGGCTTACCGTGGTTTCGACTCGCTGCTGGTTGAAGTCTAGCCTGAGGTTCTTGAGAGCGGCGTTGGCCTCGTTCAACTGGTTGCGCAGCAGATCCCGCTCTCCTTGGATGTCCTGCAGAGAGGAACCATGTACAGTTGATGACAATGATGATTGTCATGTCTTTGTAATTTTTATGGCAATAATTACTGTGCAACTTGCGGCAACGTGGCGGAGAGCTTCGGGTTCGAGACAATGTTGCCCAATGTAGCCTACCCAGATTTGCAAGTACTATATATGTCAAATACTCTCCCTTCTTAAATTACAAGTCCAACTTCTTTGGCGGGCGTAGGGCTCTTAAGGGGGGACACTACCTTGAATCGCACCTCTTTCCAAAAAATGCATATTCAGAACTGCTGAGTTTTGGCCTGTATGGACAACAAAGAAAACTCTCACAAAGTCTTGTCAATGTGCACTGACAAACAATGTCAAAAATAATTATTTTTTATATGTTGGCGAGGCGTGCCGCACTGCGTGGCACTCGACATCTGCAAGTGCAAATAGCTGAAAGCAATGTCAGTATATCAGAGGAAGTTTGAAGAAGACATCACCTACACTGCTGGAAAGAATTTCTGGCATTTAAGATGCAAAAATAAATTCTTAAAACATCATCTTGAAACTTTAAGTGCATTTATCTCAGCTTCACTTTTTGGCAGCAAATTCCACCTTATAAAACTATTGTTTCAGTATGAAACTGCCGAGAGACTTATCGAGCCAGTTACAATGAAGTTAGATTTTGCATTTTCATGTTCCTTTATTATGAAAAATTGTAATTTGCAAAACTCGGCAAATGGAAAAAAAAAAAAAAAAAAGTAATTCTTTTTTACCTCAAAAATGCATATTTTCTGAAATTTCTTTTCATAGTAACCGCCAACAAGTATTTCAGTATGCATTCCACCAGAGAAATACAGTATAGACCACTTACAACGTAACCGCTTATAGTGCAGGACCGGGTATAACACGGCTAGAACTCCATGAAATTACACACCGCTTAAAATGCAGGCGCGCGAAGGGAAGTACCGGTTATAGTGCGGTTTCTGGAACAGCCCGCCGACCGCGCTGACCTACCAGCGCAGCGAGCACGCCTCCCTGTGCGACACTAGATGACGGCGTTAGCCACAAGCGGCACTCACGGGGCAAGGAGGTTGCTCAGAGAAGCGGGGAGAAGCGAAGAGAGAGGCTTCAGTTGCCATAGCGACGGAGGGACGCACGCACGTGTCGTTCCTGTGCGTGCATCCCTCGGCTGCCTCCGCTGCGTTGGAGACGACCGCAACCACAGCCGCGACAGCCCAATCGCAGGTCGAGGAGAAGTGTTCACGCGCGTTGCATGCTGGTCGCGGGCCGGCTTCTTCTATCCGCAAACATGGCGTCAGTTGTGATCGTCAACGTAGACGGCGTGGTGGAAGCTCATCGTTCCGCGTAAAGGCGCTATCCTCGACTGTGAATTTTCGTTGTGCGTCGCTATGATAACCCAGCACGTACTAGAAGGGAAGATCCACCTACTTGTGCGGCGATGTCGTGGCGGCACTCTCAAGACAACAGAAACACCCGTGTCGTCGTGTTTGTTTACTTCAACTACAGTGGTGCTTTCTAAGCATTTGTGTTTTCGAACATCGTCCGAATTTCTTATTTGGAGCATTTCATGCCTGTGCTAAAGTTGAAGGTATTACTGGCGCATACCATATAAAGGATGCGAATTTTCACGCGTTAACATCACCGGAGAAAAGTGATTAGAGTTAGCAATCCTGAACGCTTGCAACGTCCGTCCGAAACCTGCGACGCCGTTAAAAGGCTGCGCCAGGCAGAAGTCGCTCATTTCTTTCGAAATGTGTGACACACTTGAGAGAGAAGTGTACTATAGTCTGGTGAAATAAAGACTTTCCTCAAACTAAGCTTTATTTTTCATCTAACGTAAAATAAATTCTTTTACAAAGGTAAGTTGTCTCATAGCATGTATTTTGGCCTGAAAAATTGATGCAGTGATGTGATTGGCCTAAGTCGTTTTAGAGCACCTTTCGGAGCAGGCAAAACAGTGTTTCGGAGCAGCAAAAGTGGCTTTTGGAGCAGATATTCTTAGAAAAATAAACATATTCCTTTTAAGTGCTGGACGAACGAAGGAAACTTCGCTCGCCGCAATAACCAAATTATGGTCAAGTTCGATCACCTGGGAGCCCTGGGAGTCTTTCAACATGTAACTGAAATGCCAATGACATGGCAATTTTACAATTCTTCAGTTAAAGTATATACCTGTATGTAACGTTATAGATAAATAAGAACCAAACTGCACATATTAAAAATTATTTGAAAATGACCAGCTTATTAGTAAATATCAGCATTAGGTTGGCTACTGCAGTTACGTAATATAATAAATGGAAGCTCTCCTGATGAAACACATAACTACTGCACTGAATGCGAAATTGTATACAAGATAGCGGGTGCTTTCCTTTTTGCTTTTCGAAACTTTCTACAAGGCTGCTGCAAGCCTCGCTTTGCCTTTGGCTAGTAATTAATTCCCACTTTCAATGTCTCCAAAAAGACATTGAGACATCCCGCAAGTGAACAGTGCTGTGGCCGCTGCTGAGCCATTCCGAAAAACCGCTTGCCACCGTTTTATTGGCTCCAGACGTGCCAGATTTTCGTCAAAAGTAAGCAAACGTAAAACAATGGGTTGCAAGCGTCCCGGCTGGAGCCTCTGTCGTGCAGTCATGTTCGCATGCGCATGAGGGCAACTTCGGCAGGCTTGCATTTGCATGTGCTTCGTCGCGCGAGCGGAGATGCCTGTTCGATCGAAACAGACACCATGCCACTCCGCTCCGTCGCCAACTGGTTCCAAAATTGTGTGCAAAATGTAATTGTCCAGCATATGACAAAGAACAGTTCAGCGGCACGTGCTTGCCAGGCCGGCAAGCGAGGTACAAGCTAGACACACAGAAAAAAGGAACCTGAGCGAGTCAGGTGAAAACAAGACATCGCGAGTCAGGGTCAAAAAGTACTTGGAGCGCTTTGCACAACGACTGAAGCACTGAAGAGTCAACACACGCCCGCGTCTATCGTTGAATTTTTTTTTAAAAAGACGCGAGTAGGGACACATGAACCCCTTCCATGAACTACATGAACGACGAGAGCACGAAACGAGAGGTGGCAGGAAAAACTATGCAAGACCGGATGGCCTATTGATACAGGGTACTTTTTGTTGGGCGGCCCCTTGAGCCCCTTGAGCTACCTAGCTCATGCACGCTCAATTAAGGTACTCAGTTTAGTTCCGGTTTTGAAAGACGACCAAAATTGGTCTTTTGGCGCAGGCTTGGCGCAGATTACCCATATCTTGCCAAAATGTAGCAGGATATGTAGATGGGTTAGCCCCTTGGCGCAGTTTAGCGCAATTGGCGCAGCAATTACATCACTGTTGATGTTTTGGTTATAACACGGTACCGCTTATAGTGCGGATTTTCGCAACTCCCGCGACATACGTTATATGCGGTCTACACTGTATGGTGGCCATCAACACCATTTCTCAACAATAGATTCATTGAACAGATTCCATGCAAAGCTATGCTTTACTTCGTTTGGGGGGGGGGGGGGGGGGGGGGGTATAGAATCTCATAAAATTGGTTCACAGGACTGAACTTTGCAAGCCTTCCTTCTATATGGTTGCAAACACCACCTACAAATTTCACGCCGATTGAGTGAGCGGTTCAAAACTAAATAACAGGTTGAAGTTGAGCTAGTTGGTACATAATTTAAGTAAATGGTCAGCTAGAACGAAAGGGACAAACACAGACAGAGAGAAACAGAGACAACGGCGGTGTGTATGTCTCTGTTTCTCTCTGTCTGTGTTTGTCCCTTTCGTTCTAGCTGACCATTTACTTAAAAGTTCAAAACTAGACATGCCCAGGTAGTGTCTCCCCCCCTAAAAGCCTGAATTTTGGATGTCGTGTGCACAGGTGGCAGTGACTTGACATGCACAATGGCAGGACCGGCTGGCAGCGATGCCTCCACTAGTTGTGTGGCACTTTGTGCAACCGACTGCGACGCATCCTCAGACACCATCCTTGCTGGAGGCACTAGATTAGGCGGTGCATGAGCCGGTCTTCTACAGTATTCGGATATGTGGAAAAGAATTGCTAGCTCTGGAACGACAAAGTTGATCAACGTGTCAATGCCAGACTGTGTCGCAAACTTGTACTTCATAGGATGCTGGTCCGTTTCGGCACTTGGCCCAATTGCCATTGATCCATCCTTGGTTTCCTCTGTAATCCCTCATGGAAACCCAGTATCCCCGTTGGAATGCCCGAGTTTGCCTTCGGCAGTTCAGGAAAGACTTGTCTCCATTTTGAATTTGTCACTTCACTGGGTCACTTTGAGGGAGTGACAGACAAACGCGAACAGTTCTCGTCCCGTGAATAGTTTTGTGGGGGTTAATTTCTCTACTAGTCACTGTGTGAGGAGAGGCCCGACATACGAGGAGAAATGCTGCCACACACTTGTTTAGACTTTCCTCACCTTTCATAGCCTCCAGGCTGTTTTTCAGCGTCTGGACCACCGTTTTTGCAGATTTATTGGTGTCAGGGTAGCAAGGAGCCGAGAATGAATGTTGCACTCCATTCACCTTGAGAAACTCTGCAAACTCACTTGATGCAAACTGAGGGCCACTGTCACCGACATTTCTGGAGAAGATGTCACAGTCCATTTCTGGAGAAAATGGCTCGAAGAACTTCAATCGTACACGTGACTGTCATACTGTTCGCAACCACCACTTCCGGCCATTGTGAGTAGGCGTCCACGACGACCAAGAACATCTCGTTTGTAAAGAGTCGAGCAAAGCCACTGTGGATTCTTTTCCACGGTTCACTTGGAAGTTTCCACGGGTTTATAGAAGTCTTTGCTGGAAGGTTTTGTTCTGCACTACATCTGCTGCACTTCTTTCCTTGCTCTTCAATGCCTCTGTCAATGGTGGGTCACCAGATGTACGAGCGAGCAAGCATTTTCACCCTTGTGATACCAATATGGCCACTGTGGAGTTCTGTGAGAATGCTTTGTCGCAGTTCCGCATGTGATCCCTACCCATGTTCTCCATGGGGAGGGATCATTATTCGACAACAACTTCCCCGGTAAATTTCAAAAATACGCACCTCGAGGTTGCGCCTGTATTCGGCCATCCGAGTAACCACGAGACGCCGGTGGAGCTCCCAGTTTCCTTCATGGGACTCCAGTTCAGGTGGTGCCCCCTGCACAAAGGGGGAAACCAAGTCCAAATCCGTTTATATATGTATTTGAGAAGATGGATGCATCCTTCACTTTGTCCTCAAAGTAATCTAGACATCTATATGATTAAAGATGTAGGAATATTCAAACACTGAATCAAATCTGTTTAGTCACGACTTCTAAACTTCCAATTCATTTGTCCTAATTTCGTAGGTTTCAATCTAAAATCCCAGAGTCGGCAACAAAAAGCCGATAAGTCAGGCACTTCACCACTCCATTTGGTGGAGCAGCACACAGACAATACTATGAGACACATACTATGTAACGCATTACATTAAAAAAAAAAAAAATGAAAAAAGTGTGTTTTTTTTTTTTGTTTTTTTTTTTTTGTATCAGTTTGAGGACACTTGGCTAGAATATGACCACTCTTGGCCACAGCTATGTCAGATGAACCTTGTTGCCTCCGCCGAGTTCAATGACATACATAGACTGAGCTTCCTCAAGAGTTGCCCTTCTCCTTGTCGTGAATTATCTCCGATGTAAAGTTTGTAAAAAAGCTGTGTCCTTCCCATCGGCCATTTGAGGAAGGGGGCATCGCAGGCTCACCGTGAAGTCGCAGCCGAGGTTAGCCATCCAGCAGGCCCCATCTGCTTCCTGCGGCCCAGGACCCACTTGGGGGGCCACAGGGGGGTCGTTCGGGGGCAGAGTGGTGGAAGGGGCCTCCACACACTGCTTGGTGTGCTCCTGCAAAACAACATGTTCACGCTACAACACACGATAGAACTTCCAGGATAAGTTCTCAATTCATATGTTTTCTTAATTGTTTGCAATCATAAAAAAAAAAGAAAATATACATACATCAATAAAGAGTACTATGTGCAAGCGGAGAGCAAGTTGTCTGCTTCTTGCCCAGGAGTTGCAAAGATGCCAGAGCGACGCCGAGCTCCAATGGGCTCCGATTGGAAAGATAGTGGGTGGACCTGTATGCTAGATGTCTTGAGATCTACCCACCATTTTTTTCAATCAGCCAATAAGAGCTCAGCGTTGTGGCACCATCACAACCCCTGTGCAAGAAGGGGACAAACTTGCACTCCGCATTCATTTCTGGTTTGTGCCGTTTGCCTTCTCGTCCGCTACCTCCAAGAACTGCTTTTCCTTGCGACTGCTATATTAGTTTTGCTTCAACCCCCTCTTTTTCGACTCTGCCTTTTTGTGAACACGTTTTGCATTGAGAACCGGGCGGGAATGACCTTGAACTAGGTCATCTTTCAGCCCTTTTCCTCGGCACACACATGCACACTTCTGTCACATTTGGTGGCTCGGTTCGTTTAATCTCGATAGCTTTCACTTCATGTTAGGCTAACATTAAGGATTTGTAAATCAAGGGATATGCAAGCATCAAGTTTTAGCGTTTTACAACGACATGCGGATTGTGCTTCGCTGCTTTGCACTGTTGCGATAGGGGCAGCAACCGACACGAGGGAATGTCTAGGCTAGCTCGAGGGGCTCGAAAATCTTTCTCAATATTTTAGGCTGACATTCTTTGGTTACCATATAAAAATTGACCCGTTAATTTTAATTAAGAGTTCGGGGGAGCGTCTGGGTTAGCTCGAGAAGCTTGAAACTTTTTCTCAAACTTTTAGGCTGACATTCCATGATTATGATATAAACTAGATTAACCCGATAATTTTAGATAAGAGTTCGGAAGAATCTGGGGAAATATGAGACCTCCACAGCTGCGAAAGTCTATGTGGAATAAATTGCTGCACGAGAGTTGCTTCTCGGCTCATCTACAGTCTCCCAAAAAACGTATTCAGACGAAGTCTTGACGAAGTGTTAGCCGAAATTCAGGAGGCTGCTTTTCGAGCCAATCATTGAGTGCAGATAGGTGCCTATAGGATGCTTTATCTGCAACCTTTTCCGACTTTCATCTTGAGCCAATGGATGAGCTATAAGGACTGCGACACATGGTTGTTTGTCTCCGACGTTAACTTTGTCAACTTCTTTTTTGGTGAGTCTACTCAAAGAAATGTTGCCAGACAAATAACATGAAACAGGAGGTTGTTAACTGAAAACAAGAAACAAAGAAAGAATAAAAATACTTAGGGGCAAGGACGGACGGCACAACTTTTTCAAGGAGCTGCGCCGTCTGTCCTTAGCCCTAAAGTGTTTATATTCTTTCTTCGTTCCTTGCATTCTTACCAACCCGCTCTTTGTTCTTTGTCACCTGAACCAAGGAGGCCACTAAACATAGCAGTCGATTCTTGACAAGACAGTGAAACTTATCGCTCCATCCCAATACTTGGAACAGTCATGCACCTCTAGATTGCAGAGGGGTGGAGTGGCCATGCAGCCTCCGTTGGGACAGTGAGCCCTCAGCTGAGACGCCTGGGCTTGCACAGAGTTGTCCGCCAACAGCTGCGCAGAACGCGATTTTTGTTAAGTCACACAGGTAACCCCGCGATCGAGTGAAATCACCGCAAAATGGTTTTATTCGTTCTATGCTTTCCAATTTCCACCATGCAATCAGTGTGATACCTGTACTTTTCTTTATGCTTGCTTCAGGAAATATATTCTCATCCCCAGTACTAGACTGTACACCATATGTACAGTCGTCGCCGGAGTTAATAGCTCCACATGAGCGCGCATTTTTTTCCGAGGGACGCTTGACTGGTGGCTTGTGATAGAACTAGGGATGACGTTAGGGCGAGTCCATGCGGAGTGGACGTGGGAAGCGTCTCAATTCAAGGGAACCGTTGTTATCATCCGCACACCCGCACCGCCTGAGTGTAGTTCGAATGTAAAGGGGAGATGATTCTGCAGAAGTCAAGATCGCCGAGCACGAATGAGATGGCTGTTTGGAAAGAGAGAAGGAAACACGTCGTATTTTCTAACTTCTGCACAATCATCTCCCATTTTCATTCGAACTACACTCACCCTTAGGCAGATGATAGCAACGGTTCCCTTGAATTGAGCGGCTTCCCTCTTCCACTCCGCATGGACTTGCCCTGACGTCATCTCTAGTTTTATCGCAAGTCACCAGTCGAGCGCCCCTCGGAAATTAATGCACGCTCGCGTGGAGCTATTAACTCTCGCGGCGACTGTGCACTGGGTGACACCATTAGCACAAACAAGTGGTCGCCATTTTTTTCTCTTTTTTTCCCCCGAGAATTTAGAGGGTGTCATCAAAAGCGCTCACTCCGGACGCTAACCTAAGAGGTAAAAGGTTATGCCCACCACTACTCTTCCGAAGGAAAATGCAAAAAAGCACCAATGTCGCACTCACACTATACTCCATTCACTCTTAAGCTGAGACTGCAGTGGAAGCTACGTCATCGTTGGATTAATCCATTTCTCTTCGCCATGTGATCACGCTCCCGCCGCAGTCTCAGCTTAGGGGGAAGCACTGTCGTGCATACCGCACGACACTGTTAGCGTGCAAAAACGCAGCGTCGGCAATATTTTTCAATTTTATTTTAAAAGGGCATCGCACAGGCAGCAAGTTCCACTGCTTAGGATAGTGCTGCTTAAGTGAGCACTTTTTACCAGCCTGGTAATTTGAAGAGGAGGCTTTAGATAAAAAAAAATATTATAGAGCATTTCTTTAAGTACAGACAGTGTACTCTGCACGACATAGTGTGAATGTGACATTGGATTTTTACAAGTCTGGGCTCAAACGGGTCACTGATGAACAGCGATTATTATCTATGCCCGTAACATGTCTCCGACTGTTGTGTCTACCACGTCCTCATTTGCGGTCTCTCAACTTCTGCCCGACGATGTCAAAAAAAAAATTGTTTCGCAGTCCTGGCAGTGTCATAACAGCGGTGAAGGATGGGACAGACGCCCGTTTGCGACGCCATTTGTTGCCACTTCGAGACCACCTTTTGACGTATGGGAGGGAAAGGACGCTAAACACAACGGCCGAAGACGCGACATGTCCAAGCACCGTACGAATACTTATCACGGGTGTTAATGCGTAAAGTGGGCACACTTTGCCGCACTAGTAGTTTTGGCAACAGCCTTTCAATTGCGACAAAAATACAACAAAGTGACAACTGCTCAATCATGCTGAGTCATACTTTGTACACACACCATACTTTTCACAAAAATTAATGAAAAATTTTAAGCATATGCAGATATATTGAAAGGTTGAGAATATTGCTTTCATTATCGGGGAATTCGACTCAACCTTGTGATCCAACAGCAATATAAGGATATTTGTGAATATTTGAAATGTTTCCCCAGCGGCACGTGCGCGTACAGCAGCAAACTCGTATCTCAGGCGGCAGTGTCACGGCAGTCTTGTGGAGATTCCTCTTGTCTCCCTTCCCCGATGGCTGTGATAACGGCCGCGGGTCGGAACACTCGGCCTCCTTCGCCGTGAGCTCCGACCTGTTCGTGAGGCGGAGGGCCGGCCTGGCTTGGGGGGCTCTCCTCTCACTCTCTCCCGGGGGACCGACTTCCATTCCCCCGCTCGGGTGCGGATCACTGCTAAGAGGCGAGGAGGTTTCGACTCTTGTTTTCCCGCTTTGGGGAAAGGGACTCGTCCGGCCGACCGCGAAAGAGATAGGACGTGTGTCGGCGACTCCTCCGATGCTTCCCCGGTCTTGGCTCTCCGGAACCCCGCGTCTGGCCAGCTAAGGACCTTTTCTTACCTTGCCGGCGCGGGGGGCATTTTGGATGGGGACATAGTAGTTCATATAGAAGAGTATGTTAATAAATGCTCTTGGACTCTGTCCTTACTCTGGTACGTCCGTCTTCTCTTCCGCTATATTCGAGAGAGTGAGACAAGGTAGACGATCATTGGCACCGACGGAGGTAATTAATCGAACCGACCCGCGGTAATGTAGCCCTAAACGTTCGTCTACATTGCCGTGGAGATGTGGGGACCGCGCTACTAGGTTTGACGTCTCCTTTGCGATATCGCCACTGTTGAGACAACCCTTTGGTTCCTCTATCGGTACCTGTGTTGCTAGCAAGATCCCACAGTCTTAAGATGCCGACCGCCGCCATCCTTGCAGTGACAGAGCAGGGGAGGTCTGTGCGGCAGACACATCTTCTGCCACAGGTAGCTTTGCAACGAGACGGCAGATGGACACCAATGCAGAAACGAGGTGAGACGCCGCGACGACAATGATTCCAGCACTCCCCTTTTCCGCGAGCATTTCTACAACCAACCACCACGATGTGACATCCGAAAGCATGACACGCCAGCTCCTGTAACACACTTTGTTGCCACTTTCGGGCCACTCTCGATGCGTGGGCAGAATATGATGATCAGTCGAAGACACCTTCCAGGCGCCATAGTTCATTTAAACACAACCTTCATTAAAGAAAAAATATTAACAGACCAATGGCTAACTTTGTATTGAAACACTGTTACAATAACCAATCTGCACGAAACGAGTAAGGAGAGTGTGTGGCAAGGAGGATCTTCGGCTTGGCTGAAAAACGCTCTGGAAGTCAGTCTTGAAGGTCACTGCTTTTCCTCGAAGTTTCAATGAGCAGACAATGTACCAGAGGCAAGCTATCTTTGGGTGGCACCAGCTAAACACTTGTAAACACACAAATAGACAACCACTGGTGTATGTGTGTGCATATAAGTGTTCGGCTGGCACCACCCAAGGATACGAACCAACTAGCTCAGCTCCAACCAGTAGCAATATATATCTTGTTTTAGAGCTTGTGCTAGCTCCTGGGGTCCAATTTTTTTCACTAGTTGTAATGAAAGCTTTCTCGGCCGCTGACTGAACGTGCCGTCACAGCTCTCCGCTGAGCGAGCGTTATCAATCAATTGGCAATTTTTGTATTGTTCGCGAGACAATGATGGGGCAATATTTTGTTGAAAATTAATCATATCACACGGGTGTCAAGAGAGGTCTTGCAGCCTCCAATGTGCTCGCCCCTCGCGCTCCTTTATCCACCGATAAATTTTACCTTGTGTACAGCAACAGAACAACTTGAGATTTGCAGAGGAGTGCAGGTTGTCGATTGCATTCAAACGTCAATATAGCAGACAATTACAATTTCCGCTTTCATCCGTTCGCTGCAGCACTGGGTTTGTAGCAGAGGGCCGCCTTTTTTGGGTTACATTAAAAGACAATTCAAAGGCATGTTTTTGTTTATCTCAATCTGTGAACAACGCTTTGTAGAAGACATTCTTTGCTCACGTTGGCAGATGAACAGTCTGCTAACGACGTCTTAGCTCGTTTAGTGAAAGGCCAATTAGATCTGTCTCGTGGTAACAGAAATCGGACCCTAGAACACAAGGACTAGAAGGAATATGGTGCGCACCTGGGCCCTGAGGATCTCGCTGGCGTCGATGGGGCACGGGGCACGAGAGTCCTGTCCCAGCAGTGGCTCGAGGCAGCGCGTGCAGAACCGATGTCGGCAGGGGGCACCCCACAGGGTTCCCACGAGGTCGCCGCACGAGCAGCAACTGAGTTCCCCCGACGGCGGCTCTACCAGCGTCAGAAGCGTATCCTCGGCCAGCCACGGGAAGCCGCGAGCTCGCACCTGGGGCATCGACCCTGGCAGACGAAAGATTCTACAGTCAGTGACAAGCTATAAATCCTTTCTGGAAAATACCAGAAAACCTCGTGGCGAGGTAAATTGCGGGGCTGTTCCGACTCGATCACTTCGTTAATTCTGGAAGCAGCACAATTAATTCTCTCTCTTATCATTACGATCCCAGAATGCAAAAAAAAATAAAGTGAGCACATAAGGAGATTAGCTTTGTTTTGCTTTCCTTCTGAAATCACAAAATGATAAACCAACGTCAACTTCGTCTTCGACTCCTGGATAATCTCCTGTGCCATACATTGAACGTCAAAACGCCACCAGCAGACAATAGGAGCGCCACATATTTACGGAAAGGTCTATTCAGTAGGAGCTCCACCTCCAGGATGCGCTTGTTGCCTTTCAACGGGTTTTGGAAGCAGCAAAGTGTTATCAAAGGAAGAAAGCTTGCACTGGAGCACCTACCTGTCACCAACTATGGATGTTTTGCTGCAGGACACATCTTGGAACACCAATGGACATCTTGGCACATCCTAGAAAGATGTGCCAGATGTCCAGTGGATACCTCTTGGCGAGACATTACTGTCTCAGACATCCTGATGCCCTTTTCTAGCCCAGCTGATGTACCACCATTTCTGGTCTACAAAAAGAGGCGTCTTCTACAGAATAGTCGTGTACAAGATGTCTTGTCATTTGTAGGCTACAAGATGCCCTACAGATGTTTTATGTGATTAAAAACATCTCAGATACCCTGTAACTCAAACATAACAGTGAATTAGGTAAGCTCCAGGTCTTGCCAGGATGTCTGCATGATATGTCTTGCAGCCATCTTGTCAAGAAGTCTACAGGATATGTCTTGCACATCTTGACAAGAAGGTCTAGACATATGTTCAGTAAATTGGTCCCTTGGTGGACAAAATGGGTTCAGAATGGGGTCGGACTTCATCAGGCTGTGTAGATAACAATTAGGTAAGACCTGAGAACAACGGACCATGCCAAAAAATGTCTACTCAGCTCAACCCTCTCCCTAATAATGTGAGAACTACCTAGTTGACATATAAAACTTTATTCAGTATGGCTGAAAATCCTTCACATGAGTGTCAAGTGTCTGGCAGTTCATCCCCTACAGCAAATACTGAATTAAACCAACTCCTGCAGCAAATGCTGAACTGAACCAGGGCTTGGGGGGCTCAATTTCTCTATGGTTGCATGCATTGGCCTTTAAAGAAGAGATTTCTCTTCTTTAAAGGCCAATGCATGCAACCATTGGTCAATAGAGCTCCTGTTCAAGTAGAGCATTTGACTAGTCCCATTTTTGCTTCATCAATTTATTTTGTTCCGGATGTCACGTCTGCGCACCATAAGTATATGCAGAAAAAATTCACATTTATTTGATAGCAATTACTGTGCTATTCAATTGCCTTTGGTTAGATATGTATTTATGTACAAAGATGGTTGATATCTGAAAAGCCGCCATGAACACATCTGTGTAGCGTTTCACGATTTAACTCCACCAGGACAGAGACCTAAATGTATAGCACAAAATGTACATGTCTCGGATGGTGCCAACTCTCACAATAAAAAAGAGACAAAGAAATGCTCGCAATTACATACAATGGTGCTGGAAACAATAGAACAGCGAACTGCAGCGAGGCGAGACATTTAGCCGGCCTTGGTAACTTCCTCCCTCCCAATTGTGCTTCCTCTTTTCTACAAGCGCTTGCGCTTCCTTTAAGAAACGACTGGTATGCGGGATTTTAAATGCACGAGTAAAATAATATGTGCACACAGATGAATCACAGGTATGGGTGCTGAGCAAGGTCATTCTGGTTCGGTTTGGGTTCAGTAGCTTTGCATTTTTCATTACCGGTTCAGGCAAGCACACAAAATATTGGTTTCATTACTGATAGTACCACAAACTGTGAATTGGTAGAAACTGGTTCCACCAAATGTGAACTGGCTTCAACCAGCTCATAACTCTACTCTTGATCATAACTGTCCATGCATTTCCTGTGGTTTTCATTGAATGTGCGATACAATAGCCTGACTCTAAGATGATACATGCGTGGTTTCATTTGGATTCAGGCAACAAGGTGCAGTCATTTTTTTTATTTTCCTTCAAATTTTTATATTATGTAGCGCATGTTCCAAGAAGAACAATCTTTTTTTTTTTTATTTTACTGTCCCGACACGTTTAGTTTCTGAGAAAACAAAATCTCAAAGAAGCGGAACAGAACCACGGGGTTTTGACGATTGTCGTGTGTGGCATTTTTTAATTACTCTCAATCTCAAAGTATTTAAAAGAGAGTGTCTATATTTTTTTTATTATGATATACAGGGTGTTTCATGAAAGCTGGACAAATTCGTTATTGCGAAAACTACGCTTCGCAACAAAAGAAAAGGCTTGTGTCGTTTCGGTCCTGGGCCAGGGGCCCATTTAGGGAAATTATTAAAGTCGGGATAATTAGATTGTTAATTATTTTTGCGTACTAATTGACTTTTTAATATTTTGTTCAGGGGCATGGTTTCATTTAGTGAATTGCTCAGCATCATCAAAAACACTAAATCAACAAATTGCAGAACGATAGAAGGCATGCAAAGCATCTTACGGCTTTCTGAAAAACCGCACACAAATGACGCAGCAGAGGTTGGTTGCACTATTTCTCCATGCAGCGTGGTGCCGTCGGGGCCGAAATGCGCTCCCATAGCAAACAGAAACTTAAAACCTGTCGAATTTGTGTGGTTTTTCGGAAAGCTGTAAAATGCTGCGCGTGCCTTCTATCGTTCTGCAATTTGTTGATTAAGTGTTTTTCGATAATGCTGAGCAATTTTCTAATTGAAACCATGCCCTTATAAACACAATATTAAAGAAGTTAATTACGCAAAAAAAAATTAACAACTTAGTTATCCCAGACTTTAATAATTTTCCTAAACAGGCCCCTGGCCCAGCACCAAAACAACACAAGTCTTTTTTTGTTGCGATGAGCAGTTTTCGCAATATTGAATTTGTCCACCTTTCGTGAAACACCCTGTATGTGCAGGTAGGTAAAACTTCATTATAACTACTATTTATTATTTGTCGCTCCAATTTTGTAAAAATCCCCAAACATGCCTCCGCGAAAAAATGTGATTTAAACTGCGGATTTTTCTTTAGTCGACTATATTTAGTATCGCTTTTAAAATAATACAATGTGTAGAACCTTTCATTGTCTTCAAAATTAAGCAAAGTTTGTGCCTTCATCCAGTACAAGTATTGAGAAATAAATTATGAAACAAAGAAGGTTTTCACTTTTTCTTCAATTTCAGCACGCTGTATAAAAAAACATTTTTAATTTTTTTCTTCTTCTTGCGTCACGTTCTCTTCACACCCTTCTTTTAGCCAGAATACATTCCATTACAGGTATATGCACTGGTTTTGAGTTTTAAGCCTCTAAATATGCTAAAAAAAGAGCAAATGCTGATGGTGGGTTTATGGGTTAAATTGACGATCGTCGTGTGTGGCCTTTTTGAATCCCTCTCATTCTCAAGGTATTCAAAAAAGAGCTTCTATATTTTTTTTATTGTGATATATATGCAAGTCGGTAAAATGACATTTTAATTACTATTTATTATTTGTCGATCTAATCTTTTTAAAAATCCCCAAACGTGCCTCCGCGAACAATTCTGACATAAACTGTGGATTTTTTTTTTTTTTTAGTTGATTATGTTTAGTATTGCTTTTAAAATAATGCCACATGTAGAACCTTTCATTGCCTTCTACATTTTGCAAATAAATAAATTATGAAACAGGTTCGGATTTCACTTTTTCAATTTCAGCAGCTGTAAAAAACAAAAAAAACATTTAATTTTTTTTTAATCCCACCAGTTGTTTGCAGATAAAATAAAAACGTCAAAAATAAAGAGTGGCAAAAATAAATACAAATTATTCTGAATTGTGTTAACATGAATTTCGCATTAAAAATCTAAAAATTCGCATTTAAAAATCTAGGCTTCCAATAGGAAGTGTATTTCACTTTAATGTTTTACAATATTATACTTTGACATTTCTAGCATAGTACAGATTATGTAGCGCATAGGGTGCCATGATTGGAGAGGCTTGGAGCTGCCTAATCGTGGCACCGGCAGAAATTGTCTGAAAACCCGCTTTCGGCAGTTTCGATTTTATAGTGTTTAGACGTTTGGAATTGCAAACTTGTTATTATACACCTAACGACATCAATGTCTTTTGTAGGATTATTTATTAAACGTCCCTTAGATTCTTATAATAAAGAATAAAATATACAGCTATAACCCATAAACCCACCATCGGCATTTGCTCTTTTTTAGCATATTTAGAGGCTTAAAACTCAGAACTAGTGCACATACCTACAACAGAATGTATGCTGGCTAAAAGAAGGGTGTGAAAAAACGTGACACACAAAAAAAAAAATTTTAAATGTCTTTTAATTTTTTTTACACAAAAACCTTAGTTGTTTTATAATTTATTTCTCAGTACACATAGATGATAAAGACACAAACTTTGCTTAATTTGGAAGGCAATGAAAGGTTCTACATATGGTATTATTTTAAAAGCAATACTAAACATAGCAGACTCAAAAAAAAAAAAAAAAAAATCCAGTTTAGGTCACAGTTGTTTGCGGAGGCGTGTTTGGGGGATTTTTACGAAGATTAGGGAGACAAATAATACATAGTAGTTATAATGTCGTCTTACCACCCTACTTGCATATATATCACACTAAAGAAATATAGACGCTCTCTTTTGAATCCTTTGAGATTTAGAGCGATTCAAAACCGCCACACACGACAATCGTCAAAAAACCTTGTCATTCTTTTCCGCTTCTTTGAGATTTCTTTTTCTCAAAAACTAAACATGTCAGGACATTAAAATAAAAAGGCTTGTTCTTCTTGGAACATGCATCACGAAATATAAAAATTTGAAGGAAAATAAAAAATATGACTGCACCCTGTTGCCTGAACCCAAATGAAACCGCCCATATATACACATGAGATCAAGTCAAAAAAGGGTAGCATTACCTTGCAAGATTATCCTTATCATTAATGTCCCTATCACCAAGCTAAATGATAGAATGAGCAAGATGGATAACTCTTTGCTCACCTAATGTGCACTGCACTCAGTGAACATGCATGCCACAGGAAAGCAGGAAAACAATAAAAACTTTCAGCACAATTACTGGAGCTGGTGGCCCCCTACACTGCAGGGTGGCATGCTAACGTTCTTTCACACACTTGCGTTTGCTTACGACCAAGTTCTTGCAACCTCTTACGAGAGAACACACTGATTTTCCCGTATTTGCGAGATAAAACGTATATATAAGTACTCTTTTTGAAAAATGTTTACTTATAACTGTGCCAAATTTTTTTCAAGCCAAAAAAAAAAAAAAGTTATGTGTGAAAGGCATAGGAATTATATGAAAATTCCAAGGGTTCTAGGCAACCCGATAGATATGGCACCGCGTGTGCAAGAGATCCCAAGATGTCTTGATGGGGCCCTGCAATCATATTTAAGCGTTTACCTTTTTCGAGGTCTCCAGATCTTTTAGAGTTTGGGCAAGCCAGTGGGTACGGAGAGAGTGACTAAATATCAGTGCGCCATATTTTAACCGGACGACGTGGAAACCTCCTCCACCTACGAGGGCGACCCACGTTGCCGAAAGCGCGCGATATGCAACGTTTTTGGTCCTGGCCTTACTACTGGTCAGAGCTGCTAAAAGCTTCTTTTTAGTAGAAATACAAAATATAAGTGGCGCGAACCATTTCAATGATTTATGAAAGTAGTTTTTGTTCAGTATTTTAGATAAAAAAAGAAACAAATGCAGTTTATAAAGTACGGAAACAAGAAATGACCCCTCAACATACCCGCCACCAACAGGTGGAAAAGGCGGCGCATACTAGAAAGGGGTAGTGGGATCAGGCACCGACGAGCGGCGAGCGTATCGGATGTATGTGGCGGCGCTGTGGTCGTATACGGGCTCCAGGATCCAACCGCTTCCGAAGGCCTTTGGCGAGCATGTTTGGCTTGCGGTTTGGCAGTATGGCAGCGCAAAGTGGCTCCTGTTCTGAACTGATCTTTACCCCGTGTTTGCTGTCGTTTGTGGCCGATGAAGTGTCATGCCGAATTAGTGTTTAATCGCGCAGCAAATGCAATGTGAGCCGCCCTGGCTGCCCGCTTCCTACAGCCTATCCAGAACATGCTTTAGTGGCGCCCTCTCGAGGGCAGCCGTGAGCGCTCGCAGAGCTCACTATCCCTTCTCTATTTCACGGCCACTCAAGCGACCAGGGACGTCATGAAGGAGGTTATTTTTTGCTTGTTTTTGTAACTTTAATTTGCCTATAACTTTTAAAATAAAGCAAAATTCGAGAAAATAAAAGTATCATTAAGCTACTACGTTCAGTGCGCTCAGGTTCGGTGCAAATTAAAAACCAGTAAAAACAAGTCCATGGCAAGAATTAATTGTTCTGTCGACTTGGTGATTTTGTCAATTCTATCTCCGTAGACATATCTCTTGGGTTTTCGAAGACACATGTGCGAACTAGTAGTTTGTCTTGTACCCACAAGTGGCACATCTAACGAGGGCATTTCAGAGCCGTATATCGGGGCATTTAAACGATGCCGCTGACGCCGCCGCCGCGCGCTTATGCTAAAATTGACCTCGGGCCGCTGCCGACAAGGGATATGCACGGCGCACACCAACACCTCTACAGTTCGCCGTCAAACCGGCAGGCTTTCTTTTTCCTTTTCTTGATTGAGTGTAGCGCTTCCGGATGTTTAAACCTGAGACTGGGAAGAAATTCAAAATGAGAAATTCGAAAAACGCACCAGCTCGCCTGCACTTCGGTTTTTTTTTTTTTTTCTATTTTGTTTACTTTGTTTTTAGAAGCGGTTAACTGTCACGGAAAAATCAGTGACGCACCGCACCATTCAACTCATCTTGCCCTGTCATGTTCTTGAAACGGGGCACTTTTCCCCCTTTCCTCTAATTTCTAGCTTACCTTTAAACAACTAGACAACGAGAGTCTACAGATAGGTACACAGAACAAACTAAGCTTTGAAACGAAAGTGGTGAGGTTGGAAAGAAGACCATGCTGACTGGACCCGTGTCGTGTGGTAAGGCTGGTAAGGCCAGCACAGAGCAGTCCACGTACTTACGACTCAGGGAATGGACGGATGAAGGGGCTTTGGGCACAGTCCCCGCGATGCTAGCCGTCGGGACGCTTGTCCGTACGCGCGCTGATGATGGCCCCGATGCGCTCTTTACCTTTCGACCTCAATACTCGCGCGCGCGCGTCAGCAGGAAAAAAAAAAAAAAAAAATACTGACGTCAAATTAGTCAAACTTGGCTGCAGGTGGCGCCGTGGCGCGAACTCTGTTTCTTCGCGGTTGTTGTCTCAGTCTACTCGACGACTTTCCTCGTAGGAAAACACCGCACGCGAAGTTCCGTCACCTCGCCAGTCAGCTGACCAACCTGCATGAGTCAGCTCAGCTCGGCAAGAGCAAGGCCGCCGCCAACTGGCCGCTCAAGGCCACGCGTTAAACCGAAACTGAAACGTAGTTGGTTTCTAATTGCTGAATATAGCAAATAAACACTACCTATTTGTTGTTTGGGCGTCGACTACCGTTACCTATATTCTGCGTCGTCTGTAATTTCTAAAGGAAGCAAAAGACCGGATAAAAAGAGTAGAGTTACTACTTTTAAATTAAAATCAACTGTTGAATAGTTTCTTTGCAGGGCATAATTTATGACGTTTGATTCATTTGTTGGCTTTAATGTGCTTTGAATCTTTGAAATAGATCAAACTCTATGGAATCAAATGAATAAAATGAAGGCCAGAGTTGAAGGCACAGATGTGGCGCTAGTTACCGTTGGAAGGCACACTTATGGCGCTAGTTACCACACGGCGGCTCCTAGTTACCTTGGTAACGAAGTAGCGGCGCTGCTCGCAAATCGCTCGCAATGGTCGCTCGGATACGTTGAATGTACGACATTCTCTGCATAAAGCCTTTGTGGGCCATTTGGGTATTTGGACCTTGGCCCTTTGACAGCAATTTGATTAGACGTGCTTCCTTCCAGCGGGCGTAGAATTCGAGCAGAATGTCAGAAATGGCAAGATGCCCCTCTTGTGGCGAAGTTGCGCCTGTCGCTGACGCCGGTGATGGGGTAAGTTTTTTAACTTCCTCCTAGTCACACTTTAAACAAAATTTTATTTTCTCAACAAGCTTGTAGATTCGTTTCGAAACTTAAAACACAGAGCCGAATGAGTTCCGAAAGCTATGCGCTCGTCTTCGATAGTTTAGAGTGACATACAAGAAACATTGTTCGGCAAGAGACACGGTTCAGAGTCAGCCTCGCACACACACCAAGCGCATGTTTGTTTTGTCGACAGACAAAATTCGGCACTTAATTATGATGCACTTATGGCACGGGCGTGCTGTCTTAAGGATTCAAAGGTACTGCATCCCAATACAGTTTCCTTTATTTTATTAAATGCGCGCGTGGAGTCCCACAAATTCTTGCCCACTCTAACGGAAGAAACTGGGCTTGGACAAGGACACGAACAACGCCGATTACACAGACAGTTAATTAACTAGTAGTTTGGCTTATTTTCGTTAGAAGGAAGACATGCCTGGCTATGTTTGTTGGCTGCAGTTGGTTCTTTAATTGTATAAAATGTGGCATTGTCTGGAGGAGGGTAGGCATCTTCTAGTACCAAGAAAGAATAAATAAACAGGTCAAATGAGATGCCATGTCATGTCATATCTCTACAAACCAGCAACATCATTTCACTTTTTCACGAAAGGGTATTGACTGAAGTCCATCCTGGATGTTGGTGGAAGGAAAGGGAACAAGAGAGGGGGTAGAAAATAAATTTGTGGGAAGAGGTAACAGCCGAGAAAGGAATCGCAGCAATGGATCTTTTGTAAGTAACAAGTGCCCTCTGGGGGTTGTCTGCAAACTACATATGAGGGGCAACCCAACATGCCTTCACCCGACAGAACACATTAGCGTCGTGCCATTGTATGGGTCTTCATTGCTCTTTATGCCCCCTCCTACCAATGCTCAAAAAACATAATAAAAAAAAAGACGAAAACAGGCGCCAAGATAAGTGCCAACAACATTGGTCACGCAAGACTGTGTTCCCTGAAAGTTGTGACAGTGGAAAACGAGGCCGGGGGACAGGGTATACACATATGCGCAGAGGCTTACTGGAAAGAGGCCCATCAACTATGCTCACCGCTTTCCCTTTCTTACAACCTGGGTCAGGCTTTTGTCAATATTTCTGTGTGCATGGCCAAGAGGGAATGCTACCCTATACTTCTAGAAGATTCGTGTTTACTCTTACCTCAAATGTTCGATGCTCGAACATTCTAGGCCGGAAAATAGGGAGGCCAACATGGCCTTGCCGAGTTAGTTTCGCTTTAGCTTGATGCTCAAACATTCTAGGCCGAATGTTAAAGAAATCAAGAGTAGTAGATAAAAAGTCTAGCATGGTTTTGCCGACTCACTCTCGCGGTACACGGTTGTCACACAGACACCTCGACGCTCGCTGCAACCGCCTCCGACATTCGCTGCGGTTTTCTCTACACTCGTTCCTTCTCTTGTTTCTGGCGCAAATTCACCGATTAAACTTTATTTTAATTTTTATGATTGTCTATCCTTTTCTATCTGCGACAATATCCTCTCGTAAAATGTAACATTGTTTTTACTCAAGAGATGCGCATGTTCTTCGTTAGTTACCTTAAACCAACATGCTCTGGCTCTGCAGTTCATTCATTCCCTAGCTAAAGATGGGATTTATGGGTGAAAAAGGAACCTTGTTTTTCTTACACATTGCCGTCGCCATACACTCGGTCTTCACCAAAATGTAGCGCTAGCACTTGGAACCAGATGCCAAAGTTGCCGTCGTCTTGTTCAACTTACTTGTCATTACTTATTATTGATGACACCCATTTAGGATCCTTCGTTTTTGGGTTTTATTTTTTTCAACGACTATTTTAACGTTTGCCAAGTTTCATCTTGTTCCGATGGTTGTGTCTTCATCGCCTTCGTGCGTCTTCGTTTAAGATTGCCCTTCCTCTTGTGTGCCCCCTAGATTAGGGGTTCAAAGTTCCCAAAGTCTTCAGTGGGTTTCCCCTGTTCCGGAAATGATGTCATAAACGTGAAAATTAAAATAAAACCCGAAAATGAACGACCTCTTCTATGTTTTATCAGGGGCCAATCGTTTGCAAACCGCTTTTTCTCTTCGGCAGGTGTCCAAGGTGTGTACGTCGTGCGGCGCCGTCCTTGAGTCGTGTGACTTCCAGTCCACGGGTGGCGACGACGGCGCCTCCTACGTGCCTCCGACGGAGACCACCAAGCTGGCCCTGTGCCCCGGCGGACTACGCCTGGTCCGGACCCGCCCCCTGCGTGGGCACCGGCTGGAGTGCGACCGGTGGCTGCAGCACGCGGCCGGACGCTTTGCCATGAGCGCGTCCATGACGCAGAGGGCCAGGGATCTCTACCAGGTGGGTCCGTGCGCCAACGCAGTTGCTGGAATGCTCCTCCGACCCGCGTGTTTACTGCGTCCTAGAAAGTGGTCTCTCGATTTCCGCGCAACGACGTCGACATTTCTGCGATCGACAGCCAGGGTGGCAATGTTTGACAGCACGGCTCTCCGGCTTTTGTGCCGTCGTTTGTTGCCACTTCGGGATTGCTTTTGATGTATGGGTGGGATACGATGCCAGACTCCCAAGTCGGCACCTAACGCCGTCGGCACGAGAGTCGTCGTGCGACACCGCGATGCACCACCGTGTCGAGCGATATTGCGTTGCTTGATATCGTGTCATGCGATGTGATGTCACATATATTTTCAAACATTTATAAATTGCTCTATTTATTTAGAGAGCAAGTTCTCTTTGATGCTTGCACCGTCGGGTAACAGGTGCACTGTGCTTATCCGTTAATTATAATTAGGGCTCCGTGTTCTTGGAGTTTATTTCTCGTGAAATTGTCGCTCGGAGTTAATTTCATGTACAAAAATTCAGAGTTTGAGTTTATGGCAGATTCCCGATTCTCTGAAGTTCAAAATATAATTTTGCTGTGTGCCCAATTTTTTTTTTAATATTTAGAAAATGTAATACAGACTTGAGCGTGCTTTAAATTCGTAAGAATTCACCTGTATCGGATCATTTTTCGTCAACTGAATTGGGCATTTTCACCCTTGCCATCGGTAATACTAACTGCCCCGCAACAAGTTTCGCAAAGAAAGTGTTGCTTTGATAATAAGCGTCGATGCTGTCGCTGAAACCCTTGGCATAGCCAATTTTCTTCCCGTCCCATTCCACTGTGGTTGCACAAGGTGGAGTGGTGAGATGAACCTTTAGCTGCCCCCCTCCCTCCTACGATCATAGCTTTCAATGTTGTAAAAACACGACCCCACTTTTTTTTATAAAAGTCCAAACGGAATACTAGAACAGTGGCGTTTGTCGTGACCCAAAATTACAATGATCCATTGTCCGGAACAAAACTTGTCGAGATGAACGGTGAACCCCTTTTGTCAATTGCCCGAGATTTGAAAAGAAACTGAAAGGCCTCTCGTCAGGACTGACCTTTCTGTGCTCTGACAAAACTTACTTGTAAAATACCATTTCTTTTTTTTGTTTTTGTTGTTGTTGTGACATTTAAATTTCGAGTTCTTTGGATAAATTCAAATTGACGAAAATTTATCCTAAAACACAGAGCCGTAATTATAATGCACAAGTGGTGGCCAAAACTTCTGCCAGAAGTGCCTAATGATGAAGCTGATGACGCTGCGGAAAATTAAGCTCCTGTTGCGTCACATGTCCTTCTTGCTCCTTTTTTTCTTTTTTTTTGTTTAATCATCATTTTTAATGGGTGTCCAATATTTCTCGTGTACTCTTGGCACTGCTGTTACCGCCAACACAACAGTGGGAACCCAAAAAGAAAAAGTCACGTGATCTTTAACAGAATTGTACCGGAGACAGAAGAGAAGTCGTGGTGGTCATGTGACATTGGGGTGTCATGTGATCTCGCACAGTCACATAACTTCATATCGCTCGACATCACTGTGTCACCTGGTTCTTTCTGATCGTTCTTTGCGATGGTTCTTCATGAGAGTTTTCTCATAGAATTTGGCAGATAAAACACATTCCGTGTTAAAAAAGCAGAAAGTCGAGTGATCAACTAAATCCGAGACAGAGGAGGAAGAAGACACATAGAAAGAACACACAAACATCTTCTCTACTGTGTGTGTGCACATCTTTTTTACCTGCCCTCTTGCTCCTTTCTTGTCTCAGCTTTTGTCATGTTTGCGCCTTTCCTGCATGCTCACTCATTTTCAAGTCTACTGGCGAAGTTTATTTGTTTTACATCGTTGCCAAATCGCGCACCAGTCATTGCTTCAGTACCGGGAGTGTGACTCTAGAAAACAACAGTGTGACCTACTGCAAATTCCAGAGAAAAAAAAAAACTTTATTTATTACAAAAATGAATTGTGCATTGACGAACGCTCAGTCTCTGCCTAGTGTAATGCTAGCAGTCCAGACCAGATGCCAAAGTCCCAGAACTAACAGTTACAATTTTCAAAAGTTATAAATGATTTCCCGGAAATTTCAATAGAAATACCCCTCCCGGTAGCCGACGCCGTTCAATTCGTCAACCGCCATTTTCCCATTAAAAGCTTTCGAAAATTGTTTGCAACTTTTTAACTGGATAACGGCAAGCTCCGGAACTTGGGCAACTCATTTCGACTGTTAGCGCCGCACCTGGACGGAGACCGATAGTTCGGCGGCACATAGCTTATTTTTGCGATGCAAAAAACGCTAGAAAATGTTCCCGGGAACAGGCTGTACTACGACCCCTGGACGGCGCAAGCAGTCTCTCCGACCGCTGCGCGTGCATTTATTTAGTATAGTCGGCCACGGGATAAGTGTTCAGGGGAAGCTCCTCCCACCACTTCCCACTTTACCAGAGCGAACGCTGGAAAGGAGGCAACCTCTTCTCCAGCGTTCGCTCTGCTAAAGTGAAAAGAGTTGGGAGGAGCTTTCCCCAAACTCTTCACCTGTGACCGACTAGTTGAATGCACTGTACTCTCTAGGTGACTCTAGATGGCCAAACGCACACCCGTGTCACGTTTTTTCCGGACATTGAGCAATTGCATCCATGTGCCTGTGCAGGACTTGGCAGGCAGAGCTGCATTGACGGGTCACGTGTCGCTGGCGGCGGCCTGCTGCTACAAGGTGCTGCGGGAGGAAGGACGTGCCGTGTCCCTGCACTGCCTCGCCTCGGAGGCGCAGTGCACGGGGAGCCAACTGCGCTGCGCCCTCCGACTCCTCAGCCAGGTATGTATGTCCCCGTACACATGGACAGATAGACGACAGTGGCCAGACACTTGCCTGAATTGCCCACGAGATTGTCTTTTTGTGGCACAAACGCCCCAAGCATCCCAGGAAAACCCGAAGTTGCAATCGTATGTGGCACCTTCCCCTATTAAAAGTATGGCCAAACATCGCATCATGCCCTTTTTCCGAGATGTGCGCAGCGATGTCTCGTTAAAATGGACGCCTCCGTCCACCAAAAAAAATTGTCTGCAATTCAGTCGTCCGTCCTCGTGGGCGGATGGCTCGAATAAACGAACCGGCATCGCGATCCAGGGCACGGGGGAGCGCTCCGAGGGGCCGTCCTTGCGCGATCTGGTACCCGAGGCCGCCCAGATGTTGCGGCCGGAGGAGCGCGAGGCCGTGGTGTCTCGGGCCCGGGCCCTGCTGGTGCCCCTGGCCCGCTGCTGGTTCCTGGAGGGGCGCACCCCCCGCTGCCTGCTGCCCGCCCTCGTGTTCGTCGCCTGGCGCTCCCTGGACCCCCTGCACGCCCAGGTCCCCTACGCCGAGTTCTGCCGGCAGCGCTCGATTGGGGCCAACGCTGGGACCTGCCGCATCATCACCGCCCTCAACAAGGTGGGTCAACTGTCACGGTTGCCCGGAACGCGCTTTTGACTGGTGGGTCCGGCATCCTACAAGGAGCGTTTGTGCTGGCGGCGATACCAGTGCGAGCGTGCATACGACAATCTTTCACGGTTCTTTCCCAACATGCATTCCGCACCGTCCAGGTTGTTAGTTTTAGCGGCCCATTAATCTGAGCTCGTTCCGATCGTGCGCTCTAAATGTCTTTCTCAAATGTATCGTCCAGTGAATACCTCCTGTACGTGGTATTCGCTTGCGGCCATAGTCGAGCACGCCGTTGCGGAGCGCGAGGTCACTACGAGCTTATTTACACGACGCTTCCTCTACGTGCACTTCACAGCGCCAAGATTGCGTGTCTTCTTGGAAGACGAGTGGGGTATCGTTCTGAGTATGTGCTCTGAAAGGTGCACTCGAGTATGGCGCCCGGCGATTGGTGCCGGTCTGTCCACTAAATCCAGGGGAGGATGGCTCAATAAAAAAATCCCGTCGGGTGCCGTTGCACCTTCATTGCATTTAACAGAATTTCTATGCGCCGAGAAACTGAGGTAGAGGAGGAAACAAGAGCGCGCGGGCACATGAGACTGCGAAGCTCCGATTGGAATGGCAAGTGGGTAGACCCGAACCCGACTGCCTTTGTTTCCACTACACTCGTCAAACGCAAACAAACGCGAAAGCCAGATGTTGGACACCGGCGTTTTAACATGTTTGACAAGTTGAATGGAGACGAAGGCAGCTAGATTTAGGTCTACTCACCAGTCCTTCTAACCAGAGCTTGGCATTTTGACGTCCCTGCGCGCGTTCATTTCCTGCTCTCCCTCAGTTTCTTGGTGCATAGTCTCTTGCAGGGTAAAGGGACACTGACAGAGTATCTATGCTCGCCAAAGTTTCTATTTGAATATGACCTAGAAGAGTCCAACTACTCAAAACTCTAAATTCGTTTTCTTTCCGTGGGAAAACAGCAGATTGAGAACTGGCCGGTTTCAGGCGCGCTCACTACTCTCTTTTCCATAGTCACGTGGCGTTCAAACTATATGTACCAAATATGTTCAAAGTCGGGGGGGGGGGGGGCATCTAAGGCAGAGTTGCGCAAACTTTGCAGGCACGCGACCCCCCCAAAATACTTAAACATCATCCGGCGGCCCCCTCCTTCCCCTTCTTTAGAACAATATCAAAAGTATCAGCAGCTTGGCTTTATTAGGTCCCCGCGACCCCCCCTTTGTGCAGCTCTTGTCTAAGGCATATTCAATTTCAATATTAAACAATGAAAAGATAATGAACCCCATTTTTTGTGGCCTCCAAAAACATGCAAAAAAAGTTGATTGAAAAAAAGTTTTGCACAGATCACGGGACGTACATGTACACGGCACTGTGAACCTTCTCCGTAGGGGCGTAATGCCTGTCTCACATCAACCTTACTCTCTAAAGCAGTGGTTCTCAACCACTGATGTTTCGCGGACCCCTTGTGGATCGGCGGAGATGATGGAGGACCCCGTTCGTGGTGAGGGAAAGGAAAAGTTATTGGTTAATTAAGATAGTGATTTAATAAATGGGTATAACTAAGGGCTAGTGTGAAGTAGACTTTTCTTATTAACAAGTACACGAGAAAACTCGCCAGAAAATTGGAACGTTTATTGTCGATCTGAAAAAAAGACAACTTTTATTGCCGGGAGCAAGGGCTTCACGGACCCCTTGGATGCCTTCACGGACCGCAAAGGGTCTGCAAACCCCCATTTGAGAACCACTGCTCTAAAGTTAAAAGAATTTTTATTACGGCGAGTTTAATTGCAGCGGCTGGACGACGCGATGGCGGCGCACGACAAACCAATGTAGCGACAAACGTGGGTGTTACGCAGCGCAGCGACTTGAAGGTCACTGCGTAAATTCCCATTTATGCAGCGACCTTCAAGTATGCGGATGCGTGACCTGTCTTTTTATGTCATTTCCACTTGTTACTCCCAACTAGACAGTCACCCGCTCGCTCAAAGCTTGTGAATATCACGAGGCTAGTCGCCCCGTAGTCGCCGATTATTCTCGTAGTTTGCGACTGCTTAGATGTGCTACCAAGTTTTGAAAAAACAGGGCCAGTTAATTACGACTGGTGAAATACGGCTGCGAATGTTTTGTCAGACAAATTCCCCGAGACATTCACGAAGGACTGCAAAGGCACGTTGCACCATAACGTCATCGTGACATCACAATGACATAATACCGTCATTATGACGCCACCACGAAGTGTCGCAACTGATACCCGCTAACACCATGACATCTCACGACACCATGTCATGCCACGTGACAAAATTGTGACATCACACAGCATGTGCCCAGCTGATTCCTTCGTGCTCCCGGTCTTTGTCAGCATGATCGAGCTGGTGCATTTTTTCCGTTCTGCGGCAGGTGCTGGTGCGCCTGGCCTCCCAGATCCCCTGGGCGTGCGGCACCCGTCTGACGGCCAACAAGGCCGCCTCTTACGTGCCGGACATCCTCCGCTACTCCGCCTCCCTCACGCTGGATGCCAGCGTCCCCGCAGACGCCGCCGGCCAGGGCCCCACCGTGGCGGTGTTCCAGACTTTCCGCGGCGACCTCAAGCGACCGCAGGAGCAGCAATCCCGCAGCCCGGAAGGCCCCCTCTGCGAGGACTTCTCGGACTCGGAAATCGAGGCGTACATCCGCGGAGAAGATGAGGTGGCCGCGAGGCGGAACTTTCTGCGGGCGCGTGGAGTTGAGCCGCCCTGAGCCTTATTTGCCGACCAGTAAAATTTGTGTACCTTGTTGCTCGGTCTTGTTGTTAGTTTCCACTAAGTTTGTCTGCTCCTTGCGCAGAGCAGACTTTGATTACCAAACTTATCCGGAACACGCCAAAGGAGCCCCATCTTTTGGGAGCGCCATCCTGGCAGCAGCCAAAGTAATACTCCAAGACGAAGCGCTTAAAGGGACAATGAAGACGATTTTATTTAATGTTTTTAAATGGTGTTTTTAGGCTTCTTGGGAACCTAGCATGCTGCCTAATTTTTTGTAGACATTTGTGACGCACATTTCTGTGCCTAGGAAAGAACTGAAGAAACCGAAACTGAACTATCTCCATTCTCATTTCTGGGCCTCTGAAAACGGAGGTGACGTAGGGAGTGACGTAAGTGTGAATAGTCGGTATCGGTAGTATTTAGGAGATCGAGACCCTGGTTACCATGGTGGGTTATAGCAGTGCGGTGGCACGGTCAATCCGTGAAATCTGTCAATACGGACGGCAATGCCGCTCTCGCAAGCGAGTTCGAGCTTCCGTTCAGTGACCCAACACCAACAGAACGGGAATACGTGTGTGGCAGCCTCCGCCATCACCCGACGGAGACCGCCCTGCCGGCAATGAGCGGCCCGCATGCCGAAGGACAGGGACGTGGGGGAGATGCCGAGGGGAAAGCGGCAGCGACCAAGTTGTTCCGGGAACCGGTTCCTCAGCGGGGGACGCTCCCCAAGGAGAAAATTAACAGCACCATTTTTCTTTTTCACCAAAGTCGGACGTCCTCTTTTCGTCGTCAAAGAACACTAACACCACACGTGAAAACTAGCGTCGTTCGAACGAATACTGGTCTTCAGTCGACCGTTAGAACAGTCATCTACAGCGCATAAATTTGGCATGACTACGATTTTGCAGAATCCTTCGAGTACAGTGTTCCCAAAGTAAACACGACACCGACATCTGAAACCAAAACCAAGTGCCTCCCGTGTGTTCTTTTTATTTTGTTTGCCCATAGTTGCTCGTTGCCAGTTTCGCGTCCAGCGCAGCAAAAAGAAAAGCAACTATGCTGTTTTATTTACAATTTAGTAATCATTTCCGGTCTGATTTTTACTTTTCATGGTTATTTAAGTGGAAATTAGAACAGTATTCCTAAAAATAGCGAACCAACATGTGACCGAGGGCACGTCTCATTTTGACCAATCGCTGACGCGTCTCTTGTGACATCGCGCTTCTTGGCCCCTCAACGACCATGCGAGCTCCGCTTCTGGCTTCTCTTGCAACTCTTGGTTAGTCACCCCAATTGACCCCGGCACGATTATTACCGCGACTGTTTAATTGATTTGCGCGGCACACAAGCTCCGGTTTCGGCTGAAATTTGGGCAACGTGGCCCGAAATGTGCCTGGAACCCAGTTCAACCACCAAAGAAATATTTGAAATTGTCTTCATTGTCCCTTTAATGAAACAGTCCGAGCAGGGGAGGCATTTCGCTGCTGAACCAGGGACGACGCAGCAATTTTGCCTACAAGACTACGCTTTTTTCCTGGTTCAGTAGGAACTTCAAAGGCTTACTGAATGAATCATCCAGTCGTCCACGATTCAGCGAGAGACCTCCCTGGTCGGGTCGTTCCGTCGAGCGCTACGTCGTGGAACAGTTCTCCAGCTGCTGCTAGGATAGCACTTTTACGGGATACGACAGCGTTCGCACGTTCCGGATAAGTTAGGCGAGCAGTTAAAGCCCATCATGTGTTTGTCTTACAAGTAGCAACATCCGTCCATGCACGAGGCCGCCGTTCTGTGCTACCCTTGGGAGAAAATGGCGGCGCAGCACTGTTTGCAACAATGCTGCGCCGCACCACGACTTGCGCATTTGCGTAATGAAGGTTTTCGGTTCGCAAAGTTTTTTTTTTCGAAACGAGTACAGGTTCAAGGTCGTATCCCCCGAGCCCACGGCGAGTTGTGGATAATCTGTGACCGACTTGCAGAATACCTGCCGTCCCGTTGAAGAGGACTACGGTCGGCAACATTGAGTTGCGGAGTGCCTTTCTTTTGTTCGACGAGTCCACAAACACGTTCCCGAAAGGCACCGTCTCGACTACACATGCTTCTGTCGTGCAAGAGCTCGCTCGGACTTTTTTCTGAACTGCCGCCGCCTCGGCTCTACCAAATGCTCGGTTTTCTATGCAGATAAGTTTTTGGTGTGAAGAGACCGTGAAATGGAAGTGCGATTCTAATTGAGGGGCTTTGTCTACTGTGGCACCGTGGTACCACGTTCCGACTGGAGGTGTAAAGCACTCGGATGTGGTGTCCTCTAGTCAAAGCAATGGCTGCCTTGTCTCATCTATGTCTGCTGCCAGCACGGCAAGCAAGTTTGTGCTCTTGTGCGGAGGGTTTAGCGGCAATCGGAGGTGGTAGAGAGTACCGACGTACCGATACGGTGACTGTCTGCTAGTTACCGCAATGGCTGCCTTGCCTTTTGTGAAGCTGTCAGAAATGCAATGGCTCTTTGTGAAAAAGTGCTTTGCCTTCGAGGAAAAGGAGGAAATACCTTGAAGGGTATGTCGTAAAACATTGGGCGATCGCTCGTCGACAAACACGACGAATTAAAAAAACGTTTCGCTCAAAGACCAACCTGCTTCACAACTTTTTACACTCTGTTCATCAAAAGGAATGGAACTAGTTTGCTGCTGGCAAAGTCCTCTCAAAGCGTGCCTTTTGCATTATCTTTTTTAATGCGAAAGCATTAACTGTCTCATGGAGCGAGCCAACGTCATCAGTCTGAAGCACTAAAACAGCATAGTTTCCTTCGGTTCCATTGGCTGGCGCGTGTCGACGGGGCTCCCACTGGCCGCTGCGCTCGTCAGTTTCCACAACCGCTCACCCCACCGCGTGTCCATCAGCACAGAGCGTTCACGGTCAGCAGGGGAGCACACGCACTGACCGGCGACGAAAAGTATGCAGCAGATGAAAGAGGGAGCGGACGAGCGGCTTGCATGCTTTCGCTTTCACAACTCATAAGGAATGCTTAGGTGTACCTCAATCTTTTGTTGTTGTTTATCTCCGATGGTTGCCAACATTAGATTAGCTTAGTTACGGAACTGCTCATAGACGCTGCATGCAGGAGCAGTACCTCCCCTCACTCAGCCTGACTCGCCACCCGTCGTTCGACGCACCGGACGGCTGCATTGGCAACCGCAATGTATTCTATGCGATACGTACGTTTCGAAGCACAGCGTCTGGATGGCGTTCCACCGTACTCTATGGAAAACACAGTTCGTAAACGAAAATCTAGATGGCGCTTCGAAAGACAGGAGGCAGACTGAAGTGAGTGAGGGTGAGGGTACCCCCTTCTGCGAGAGTTCCATAACTGAGGTAATCTAGTAACGTTGATGGTTGCATAGCGCGGCCGACAGAGCTAACGACCCAAGTGTTTGCCAGCCGGCCAACTCTTCGACCGTGGCTTGCCGCGGTACGCTTCGCTTTTTAATGCTAAATCAGAGTCGGCTTCAGCAAGAATTCAAAACACTAATAAATTTCATGGCTGACCAACTACCGGAATGCGTCCCGTTATCACCGTAGTGAAGGAAGCGAAGCAGTTGGAGCAACACTGGGTAGATCCTTTATTGGGGGTCCTCCAATGGAGCCCCACGAAAACGACAAATGATACAACGAGGCGCAAAACGACAAACAATGCCTAGAGTACAGGGAGAGAAAGAGTAAACCGCACCCACCCCCTCTGCCTAGGTGCAAGGCGGCAGGCCGGAACGGAAGATCTAAGAAACCTCGCATTTCCGATCACAGCGTAACATCACAATTTGTGCATGGTGCCAAGCGTTGCTAGGCTTGCTCCTGAGCGGCCTCCTCGGCCAGCTGGTAGTATTTGTTTGCCAGGCGTCCCTTCATGGCCATGGTGGCTGCTGTGGCCGCACGCTGGTACAGTTCCCCTGGGGAGCGGGAGAGAAGACCGAGCATTTCACACACCGTGCAGCTAGGCATTTTTTTCCCAAGGTCGCTCGATGACCCATAACTAGGCTTCCCTATTTTCCGTAGTGTTGGGAAGTACTTTAGGTACTAAAGTACTACTTCAAGTAGAATAAGAAAACTTGTACTTTACTTGAAGTAAATTCTCCAAGAATGTACTCATACCTGACTTGCAGTATTTTTTTCTGGTACTTTCCGAGGAAACTGCGACTCACGACTTCAAAGTACATTCTCTCAATTTGGTCTCGTTAAATTTGTATCGCAAAACCATGCTTTGCCAACTCAAACGAAATACTGGAAGAGATATTCTACCCTCGCCAGAAACGCGACCAGAAGAAGCGTTGCTCTGTTTTTAATGGAGGTGGCTTTCCTGCAGCATTTCGAACTCTACGAGGGTAAAACTACTCTGTGGCTACTTGACTTTATCCAATATTCGCCGCCATTTCCAAAAAAAACTGATGCACCCCCGATTAACCCTAGAGCAATGTATACCAGTTTAAAAAAAAACACTACAGGGGAATGAAAGGGCACGATGAAAGATTGCGTTAAAAAGTATTTATACTTTTTATTAACCTTGCTTTAACAATTTAGGTACCTTGCATTGCACCCGGTGTACTTACTACTTTATTTGAAGTATGCATCTTCTCATTTACTTTGTACTTTTTAGATGTACATTACTTAACACCGATTTTCTGAGTTTAGTTCTTCTTTGAATTTGGGGGCATTTTTTAGGGGTTCATTCTCCGATTGTTCATTCTCCGATCAAGCCATACGGCAACCGAAGAATGAAGTGTCCATAATCTAAGCATGGCTCGTTTGATGGCGCTGCTTTGCAATCTGTGCAGCTGGACATCTCACTGGGGTCACCGAGTGCTCTCGGGGTGACAAACAATCTACTATCTTTTGGGGTCAAAATAAAACGACCTTTCTGCAAAATTTGGTCCCGTGCTCGCCAAAAGCTGCGGGGACCTCCCTGTTGTCGAAGAAGGGTCAACAAACTTTTAAGGGTAGTAGGGCAAGTGAATGGAGTCAATGGTCACACAGTTCAAAAGGGGACAATATTGTTGCAACTGTATACAACTGGAAGGGAGTAAATGAGATTACAGCTCTAGAATCGGAAGGGGGTCAAGATCTTCGAACGGAGTCAATGAGGCTGTTATAGGCTAAAAGGGAGTCGACGAAATCGCAGCTGCACCAATGAAAGAGATTCAGCCGGTGAAACAGTGATGACCCTCCGAAAACACGGAGAAACTAATCGGACTTCGGTGCCACGATGCGGCCAAAGGGAAGTTCTCCAGATTTTGCCGTCGCAGGGACGGTTGGAAGGTGCATTTTGTCACGAAACCCTATACAATAGAAAGCATGGTCACACACAACAAAGAGGGAGTCAATAAGGCCACATCAGGGTGTTTAGCAAATTCTTATTTTGAAATTCTCTGACTTTGCCAGGTTTTCCCTGACAATTTCAGGTAAAATTTCCTGACCAGTGTAGAGGCGGTTAAATATATAAGACCATTACAACACAAGTCATTGAGCATTGAGCACTGTGAGGATAATTTTACACAGGGCTAATTATACTTGCATATTCCGAAATATTCGGTTTCGTCCAGTCCGGATTAAAAGAGCACTTTCTTGCCGCCGACATCGTCAATGAACAGGCCACTTCCGGAAACACGATGAAAACACGACGCTCAACCACACACACTCATAACCGCAGCATGGCCGCCAGATGCACACTTTTGGATACTACCGACTTAAGGCTTGGGTTGGATTGGGATCTGCAGCTTTTCTATTTGTTACTAAACTAGTAGCTCTAACTGGATCTAGCCTAGTGTAGCACCCTCAATCCGATTCAATCCAAGGCTTGGACTGGATTTGTCGGCTGTTCCCTTTACAGCAAGTGAGCAGAGCCTGCGCACCGCTGTAAGCAGTATTTATTGCCTATTTTCCTCCTCCCCAAGTCTTCAAGTCTTTGCTCAGGGCACTCGATGGCATTTCCGGCTCATTTTTCTGACTAGGCTCGCTTTTTGACAATATGCCTGACAAGTCCCCGATTTTTCCCGGTAATTAAAATTTCTTTGACAATTCCCGGTTTTCCCGGTTGCTAGACACCCTGCTACGTATACGCAAGAGGGCCAAGATATCAAGGTCGAAGTGCTGGACTTTCTGCATCCCCTACAGCCACGTTACCTAGGCAGCATTGGTTCGGGCCACTCTCCCCTACTGGTCACGTGAGAGGGGGGACCTCTCCCACGCCAGTTTCTTGCGAGGGATTCGTTCACAGTGTGAACAGGACTATTCCACCTCACGGTCTATCGCCGGGACTCACATTCCATCGATAAGGATGAAGTGCTGGCCGAACACCGAAAACATTACCTAGTCGGAAACATGCGCTGTTTCTAGATTTGCAAATAACAACGAACCACAAATGAAAAGTGTATTATGCGACATGAAACATAGAAAGTCCAGCACCGTACGACTTCGTTGTCTAGGTGTTGGCCGTACCCGCGCAACTCAAAGGCAGCTGACGTGACCCTGCGGCAGATGGAAATGTGAGAGGGGTGGCCAAACAAAACCAAACACCAATCTGGCTTTGCAGCCGGAGTCGATCGAAAGGAAGTTCGGCCAACTTCGGTCCCAGGAAGGTACAAATGGAGTGGCCGGCGCTGCGCACACAGTGCTGACTTCCCCCGAAAATACTCGTTCATCAAAGAAGAAAAAGCAGGAAGGTACAGGTACAGACCTATGGTTCTATGCAATGTGGAGAGCAAGTTGTCTGTTTCTTGCGCAGAAGCTGCAGTGACCTCAGAATTGAAATGATAGTGGGTAGACTTGAATGCTAGGTGCCTCGAGATCTACCCACTAGTTTTGTTTTTCAATCAGGCAGTAAGAGCGCGGCGTTCTGATGTCATCGCAACCGCCGCGCAAGAAGCAGACGTACTTGCAGTCCACGCAGAAAACATGGCCACGTATGTTTAAGGATGAGGGGGACTGCACTCACCCGCAGCCTGGGGGTCCCTGTCGAGCCCGTGTCCCCCCAGGAGGGTGAGCTCGGCCTGCCTGGCGAGCAGCAGGTAGTCCGGGTCATCCATGCAGCCGTCGTACTCCCCCTCGTCATCTCGCTCTGTCCGGCTGAGCGCCAGGCCGTACCAGAGGCAGGCCTCGGCCCAGTTGCGCTCCCTCTGGCCGCCCAGCCCCGCCCCCGTGTCCAGCGCCTTGGCCAGCGTGATCATCGACCACCGGTCCCCCGCCCTCGCCGCCTGCTCCAGGTACTCCACTCCGCGGGACACGCTCTCCTCAGTCTCCTGCGGCGAGGCACCCGGAGTTGAGCCCACAAGCCCGCCTCTTGCGGCCAAGAGGGCAGGCGCTTTGGCATCCGCGATACACGACCGTGAAAGGTTAGTTGCGGTATGGTATTTGGAATGTGTTCTCGACCGGTGCATTTACCGCGCACTCAAAAGCGGTCCCTCGATTTCTGTGCAACGACGCCGTAGAGGTGTCGCATTGTTGTCTGCCACAATCCTGGCGGTGTTGCAGCGGCAGTGATGGATGTGGCAGATAACCGTTCTGCTGCGGGTCGCTCTACGGCTAGACGGTACACGGAAGCTTCGTCAGTCGGGTGTTGGGATGCCATAAGAACGGCGACACTCGCGTACGCTCGTTTTTTTTTCTCCCAGGACTTCCATAACCAACCACCAGGATCGTGAGATCCTACACGATACGCCGGCTTTTGCGACATCATTCGTCATCACTTTGGAACCGCTTTCGGTGCATGGGTGGTATGAGAGGCTAAACACACTGCTCGGAGGCGCGTTTTGGGCACCATAGTTGCGGCATTCATGAGACACGACCGCTCAATGCTGACGTACGGCGGCACCGCATCCTAGCGTCCCAATATGCGTCTCTGCCGGTGTCCCTTTACGTACGCAGACGAAACGCTTGAAAGAACTATAAAATCATGCCGCCGCTACAATGATTCTCTAGCATGGGGGTTTCGACTCGATGAAGGACAAGAAGTCCGACCTCACAAAGTTTTTCTTGCGCTCGGACGAGCGGTGCCAAAACCCGTCTTCTTTGTCATGTGAGCACGTTGGGTCGGCGAGCTGACCTTTCTTCTTGGGTGTCGGTAATTTCATGCAAAGTGAGTTGTCGTTGTGCCTTGGAATTACGTCGTCGCATACGTTGTACTAACCAGGGAAACGAAACTATGTGCCCACGCACCGATGCCACCGTAACAGCAGCGTGCGTTGATGGCGGCGTGTCATTACAAGCACGCGAGAAGACTTTTTCTCTATTACGGGAGGCAGGCGTAACGAGCAAACGGACAGACCGAAAGCACGGCAGCAACTGTGCCAGGGCCTCCCGAAACCAGTTCAGTCCAGCCCAAACCGAAGACTGCTGCATGCACCAAGCACAAAATGCCGACGCATTTAAAAAATATTTGAGATGATCAAAAGAACAGTGTAACTCGTGCCTTTCCTATCAAAATTCTGCAATGGTTTCCCTTCAGTTTTCTTGTTCTTGTTTTTCTTTATTTCACAAATCTTTATCGATGTGCGCGAGCATGGTGGCGCACAACCAAGACACGACCTAGAAATGTCAGACTTTTCTCGCTGGGGACATCGCTCGGAGTTTTGGAGCTACAGGCCCGCGGGAGGAATGGGGCAGTAGCGATATCTTTTTCATCACTAAGCAGACGGAGCAGCAAAAGCTAATAGTTTGACAAACCGATCAACCGCTGGTTCCACACAACATGCTCGCATTCTCTGTGCACACTTGCACGCAGACGGCGGAATTAATCAACTTTGTAGCTTCCACCGTCCTGCCGGCTTAACGGCGAACAGTCTGTTTGATAGGTCTGTCACGGGGCTAAAACGGACGAGTGCTACAGTCTAAAATCTGGGGAACTCCCAAGTTTTTCTCCCCCTCAGATTTTTCAGATTTTGCAATCTTTCGTTGTCACTTCATGGAAGAAAAGCATCTTTCAAGTTTAGCTTGTATGCTGCACAAGTAGTTCTTAGAGTGTCTGGCTGTTGGACAAAAAACTGATGCATTTGCATTCGAAACGCTTACGTCTTGATAAAATAACACACAACTATCTTGGGTCCACATACCGAGGAACTAAACATTTTTTTACAACGGCTCTTCAGGTGAAAACGAGTTTATACCGAAAATACCGGTGAAGTGCCCACCGCACATTCGCAGAAAACTGGATTAATCTAAATATGGGCGCTTGAACGAAGCGGGCGCTTCTGTGGTTTCTTGGATCAAAATGAAATTACTGAAACCGTCTACCTGTTAATTAATTTCTTAAGCTGATAAAATCCCCTTTTTCCCCATCCCCAACCTGGAACTGGCTTGCCCCCAATCGACGGTGTGGTTAACAAGTTCCAGGCTTCCTTTCTTTTCAACACTACTCTCTCTCTCTCTCATTTCGTTTTCCAATCTGGGAGTCTCAAACAGTCTGCCCTTTTCCCATTTTCGGGAATGCATCGAGTTTGGACCGATTTTAATAAAACGTGCTCGGGGGAGAACTATTGCATGGAACTAGGTTTCACCCTAAGACGAATCACCCTAAACAGGTCAAACACCCGCCAACCGTAAAACAAAAACACAACACAAAAGACTGCCCCTGTCGAAAGGCATTCTTTCAAAGGCACTTTCTATGCATAGCATTTATAAAGCCTCTTTGCATTCCTGCTTTTGCAGGCGCAGTAAGCGGGCCATCGAAGGGCACGTTGCAACGACTTTCTAAATAGATAAAGCAATCGCAGTTCGCAGTATCACATGGCCTCGTGGTGTCATGTGATGTGAAGCGACACATGACAGCATGACCTCACACTCAAGTGACGTCGCAGATCTGTAAACACCACACATTTGCAGTATTTTTGTAACGACGTCGGTACCACATGACACCACGGAGGCCACGTGTGCAGCCATAAAATCTCCAAAAGCTGGTCCTATCAACGTTACGAACTTAAACAGACGGACCAATCTGGGAGCAATGCGATTTTCTCTGGTCGCAACGCTCGGGGAAGGACGCGATCCAACTCAAGTCGGGTCGCGATGGCACGCGCGGCACGCACCGGCAGGCTCCAGTCCGGCAGCAGGTCGTGGGGCATGCCCAGGTGCGCCCTGGCCAGCTCCAGCAGGGCCTCGAGGGCCCCGCACTGCGCCGCCTGCTCCAGGTGGAACACCGCAGCCTCCTGGTCGTAGTCCCCCTCCTCGTCCTCCTCGGCCCCAAAGCGCCCCGTCTGGTGGCAGCGCGCCATCTCCAGGTGGATCTGGCCCAGCACAGACCGGCTCTGGGTCGCGGGCAGCTGCTGGCCCAGCTGCCGCAGCTGCACCTCCCCGAGCACGCATGACGGGCGCGCGCGCTGGGCCACCAGGCGTTGAAACTCGGCCCGGTCGTGCTCCTGGAAGAAGGGCCACACTCGGTTGCAGCAAGGGCTGCCGTTTCGAGTGGTGTCTCTTTTCGTATCCTTGCTGGATGGCGAGAAAATGCTATATGAACTTAGATGTATACCGTATTTACTCGCACAATGAATGCACTCGGCACTCGCATGATGAACACAACTTCCACAACAGGCATCAATATTTGGACTTCTCGCGTTATGAAAGCACTTTTAATTCGGCTCCATGAGACTTGAACTGCGTTCAACTTAGGTGGCCCACAAGTCACCAAGCCCATTAAGCCAATTTTCTTTTGCCGCCAAGCACGTTCGAACCGGCCTGCTGGAGATTCAGACCAAGGAAACAGCCGCCACCATACGAGTGAAAAGAAGTGTTTGGAGCCAACCGTAGTCTGGGCAATTCTCTGCGTGCTAGCTCAGTACCTCTGCTTTCTTTCCCTTTCGTTTTGGTGCTTCAGCTGTGGCACGTTATACTACAGCTTCTTAATGTCTCTAAGAGATGGTCCTTTGTATCTACAAAAGACGTTCCTTAATGTCTACGAGAGATGTTTCTTAATGTCTCGTAGACATCTGCAAAAAAAAGATATCTTGTCACCAGCTCTGGGCCAGGGGCAGCTGATGGGCTAGCCTGCCACAGCTGCACCTCCCCAAAAACGCAACACCACGCGCTGGTCCAGCAGACACTGGAACTCGGCTCGGACGTGCTCATGGAACGGGCGGCGCTCGCTCGCTTGAGATGAGAGCCGTATCCAGCTGAACAATAAAACGTCCATTAGAAGTGTTGGCAGGATAAGGAAGACATCTTGACAAAATGTCGTCTGGCTCATCTAATACACCATTATTTTTGGGATAGAAGATGTCTCGCATATGTCTACAAGAGAGAACTTTTATAGGTGTTTCATAGGCATCTACAAGACATCTCTCCTAGGAATCTACAAAAAAAAAAAAAGAAACTTTTAGCATTTTTACTTTGGTGAAGAAGGAAGATCAGCGAAGCTGTACTATGGTAGGAATGAAGTAATGGCCGGCCGCAAGTCGGCAAGCCAGAGTGGAAAGGCTTGAAAGGTTGTGCCATGTATGAGCGACGGCGGCAAGCGGACAACTGGCACACACAACACTCGGGACAGCTACTGCCATCTATGAGCGACGGCGGCAACCAGAGTTTCGTGTCGACATTTCTTTGCGTTGGACATGATCGTGGGGAAACTAGCCCTTAACAGCTCCGCTGTAAAAACAGGTCAAATAGATCTTTCATACCCCTCTACAGTGCCATCTCTTCTTGTGTCCCATCGAATAGCAACACGCCTTTTAGAAATCTTTGCAAGACATAGAAGACGTCCTGGAAAGATATTATAGAGCCCTAGATGTCTTGACATGTCTTCGGTCTTCTTGCTCACCTAATACACCATTATTCTCCAATAGAAGGTGCTAGCAAGAGACCTTGTAGAGGTCCTAAAGAGAGATGTTCTGCAGGTGTCTTGCAGGTTCTCGGGTTAAAAGACATCTTGAGAGATGTCTGTAAATGTCTACTAGAGAGATGGTTCTGTAGGTGTCTTGCAGATGTCTACAAGAGAGATGCTCTGTAGGTGTCTTGCAGATGTCTACAAGAAAGAGTTTCACAGAGTTCCTGTAGACTTCTACAAGAGGTGTCTTGTATGAATCTACATGAGAGGTCTTGTAGTTGTCTCATAGTCATGTACAGTGCCGTTTCTCCCGCATCCCTTAGAATAGAGAGAGACGTCCGTTAGAAGTCCCGGCAAGAAGTAGATGTCCTGGTGATGTCTTGGCAAGGCAACATGCAGCCCTAGACATCCTGCAACAATCTTCTAGCTCACCTGACGCACCATTATTCTTGGGCTACAAGACATCTTGAGACGCGCACGACTTGTAGATGACCTGGGTACTTCCACAAAAAGATGAAACGATGCTTTGCATTTCTTAAAGGGGCACTGACTGGTCAAAATCATATCTTTTTTTATTATCCAAATCGATTGAAAACAATGCATGGAAATTACTTTCAAAATTCGAAACTTGGGAACTCGGCAAGTAAAAAAACAATTTCCAAAAGCCAAAATTTAAGTTCCCGCACGATCTGCACCAGTGCAGTGACATCAAAAAGAATGAGTTGCCCACAACTAGTTTCTCGCGTTTCCGAACTGTCCCAACCCGAAGTGTCGTGTTCGCCCGCATCCCACGATCAGCGCTCTTCTCCGTGCGTGATGCCAATCGCTGTGAGCAGACGACGCTTGAACTTTCGAGTTTGAAGTTCTTTTACGGCCCTTTCAGCAATCTCAAATGCTTCGAAACGGTGGGAAAGAGCAGACGACGCTTGAACTTTCGAGTTTGAAGTTCTTTTACGGCCCTTTCAGCAATCTCAAATGCTTCGAAACGGTAGGAAATCGAAGAGAACGCGCAGTGAACTTTTGCGAGCAACGTGAAAGACACATTGGCCACGTTGCGCTGGTTCTGCGTGAAAGGCTACACCAGCAGAGTCACAACCGAAACTACGGCACACAGACACCAAACCCGGTTGTTTTGACCGTTTGGCGATTTTCTTTTCAAAGTCTGAGAGGTTGTCAGGCGCCTAAGAAAGAGAGCTTCGTCCGATACCCCGACTCACCCACCATCCTCAGTGCTGCATGTGCCCAGCGCCGCGGTGCGCCACGCTTTCCAAGGGAGGATAAAAAGCCAGGAGGCGACATCACTCCGGACTTCGATTTTAGGTATTTCGAAAAGAATGGTTTTAGTGCATTTGCAATTGCAATAAAAAACACGTTCTGCGAATGCCGTTAATACTATAAAGGTGTCATTTACAAAACTTCTAAATTTCATAATCGATTATGTCACAAATAAAAAGAAGCGAAAAGGTGAGAGGGGCGCCAAAAATAAAAAGGCGCACGCACGCGTAAGAAAATTTTTTCTAGTATATCTTTTTTTTGCATGTCTGTGATTACAACTTGCATCGTGTTAAACAACAAAAAAAAAAGGTACAACCTTTGGGTGTCAGTGCCCCTTGTAGCCGTCGCCGAATGCAGTCGTCAAGAGCCTAAGAAACGCACGACGCGGCGAGTACAGAGCCTTTCGTTTTTGCTCCGCAGCCAATCATATTGTGGCACCGCCCGGTAAGAATGCAGACAAACGAACCACGAGGCAAGAGCAAACGTAACAAGACGCATCCCGCGTCTCTTTAGCCGTCACTGACCACTGCTCGTTCGCTTGACTAGCACAACAGATCGTTTCGGTACCGCCCCAGGGGGCGAGGAAGGGGAACGTCATTCACTCACGTCTCCCAGCGTGCTGCTCTCCGAGTCGTAGCGGGTGCGCCTCATCAGCCGCAGGGGCAGGGCGCTGGGACGCTCGGTGGGCTCCTCGTCACTGCCCAGGGTCAGGTCTTCGTCCTCGCCGTTGGTGCCCTCGCTGCCGCTGCTCAGGCTGCGGAAGCCGCTGTCCTGTGGAACAAACAAAATTTGGCACAGACACTTAGGACCGCCTACATGTCGAAATGCGAAAGCACGACGCACGCACTATGCAAAGCTTTAGTCAGCCGGAACCGTGAAGCCACCATAACAGAGGAGCGTGCTCGTCTTGCTCCTCTGCCATGGTCTCGAACCCCGGAGGCCTGGGTTCGATTCCCACCTGGACCGAAATGTATGAAATTTTTTGTTGTGTTTTATGTGACGGACAATTACAAACAACGCTGGCTTCACTCCATGGGACCCCCAGCTAATGCTTTCGGATTAAAAAGATTGCAGCTGCTCAACGTCGAAGGCGATGCGCCGTTTCTTTCGTTGTTTGGTGCACGCTGTCGACATCTCCTCCGACGTACGATGCCAGTTTCACGGAAGACGTTTGCAGCTGCGCGTCGTTTGTTTGTCCACTTTCCGGGTGCCACTCCCATAACCGATTCTTGTAAGAGCTCCCCAGAAAAATGACCGGTAACGACTTTTCGTTTATCCCACTGTCTTTGTGCTCCGTTTAAAAGTCGCCAAAAAGATGTGTTTCTCTTATGAAAGATCCGCTCCGAAACCCCAGAGTCCACACTTTCTCCCAAAATTTCAAACAATGGGAGAGAATGCATTCATATCACCCTCAAACTTACGCTCAGGCGTCTTAGCAGGCGATGGTTGATGGCTCCATAATATTAAGACAAATTTACAGGTTTTGCATGCCAGGCCAGCAAAGGACACCTGACACGCCTTGGCATGAGACCTGAGGATTAATTTGGGCTGCCCAGGAATCTTTCGACGCGCAATCAAAATCTCGGTTAAATCCTTTTCGTGTTTGCAAACGCTAGAGCTCTCCTGAATCCCGAGAGGCTCGCGGTCGCTCGGTTTCGTTCCGAGACATGCGCTACAGAAAATATTTAAGTTGGAGATTTAGCAACGTCTTTCCGCTATGCCATTGCACACAGAAGAGATGATCGCTCATCTCGCCGGAGCATTCAAAAACCTTTGAGAAATCTCTCGCTAGCCAACACTCTCGCAAAGCACCTGAGAACTGGCGACGAGACGTTTCAGACATTTCGACGAGCGGCGTTATGCCGAGGATCGTTTGTCCTCTCGTTTGACCGGAAGTTGGCAGGACGCAAAATGCAACGGCATCTGCCGGCGACACTCTCGGGCAAAAGGTCTACGAGCCCCGGTCGGATTGCGGGGGGCACCTCGAATGAGATTCGAACCCGTCACCCGGGGACCCATAGGTCGGCGCTCTGCCTCGGAAGCGCGAGGGCAGCCGCTCCGTGCCGTCGGCGGGGCAGCAAGGGAGACTCCGAACGTGTGGCACTCCGACCCACCTGTGCCTTGATGCGGTCGCTCCACTCGCTGCTGCTGCGCGAGCGCTGCCGCACGGCCGGAGCCAGGGCCTCGCACAGGTGGCTCCGCTCGTACTCCGACATGCCCACGCAGAGCTCCTCCGAGCCCCGCAGGCGCGTGTGGGACACCGGGGGTACCCCGTTCTGCAACGACGGCACAGCAACCTGGGAGTGAGCTGTATGCCCAGGCGTTGCAAGCTACTGCCCGTTACAGGGGGTGCAGGCATTATCATCCATCCATCCAGCAGAGCTTGACAAAGTAAGAGAATGACGTGGACATTGAGTGCAATCCACCCATAACAAACAACAGCTGTAAAAGATCTTTCCTAAGCGTGAGCACGCACAGACATGTGCAAGCAGTGTGGAACGCAAGCTCATCTGCATCTTGAGCGGGGGTTGCGGCAACGTCAGAACGCCGAGCTCCGATTGGTTCCGATGGGAAGGATGGTGGGTAGACCTCGAGGTAGCTAGCAGTAAGGTCTACCCTCTATCCCTCCACCAGAGCCAATCGGAGCTCGAAGTTCTGACGTCGGTGCAACCTCTGAGCAAGGCTAGCGGACAAACTTGCGCTCAGCAGTCCAGTGTGCATGCACCGTGCCGACAGTGGCGCCACAGCAGTCACAACTCAACAAATGTAGAACCGAAGGCAATGTCACAATTACTCGGGTGTAACGTCCCCCAGTAATGAATGGTGAATCGAGTAGACTCGAGGGGAAAATACCGGCAGAAGATGAGGGCAGAGTACATGAAAGAAATCAGAGTTGACAGACATCCTTAGGCATGCAACATTAAAGTTAAGACCCGTGAATTTGCTCCTAGGGCGCACGATTCCCGCCACTGTGGTGCTCTGGTCAACCGCGGTTCCAGAGGGGCAAAATTTCTCGCCGGACCAGAGCGGCGGAGTGGCAGCATCCTCGGTGGCCATTCATGTAGCAGTACATAGAATGGCGTTTCCATGTTTCCAAGAGACGAGATGCAGAGAAAATATACAGCCGATCTGGTTCCTCGTGCCAAGTTCTTTTTGGTGGGTTCGTTTCCCGCATCAGTGGTGTGCCCAGCCTCGAAGGGGTTTAGCCTGCGTGTCTGGGTTCCGCAAAGAGTCTTTGCGAGTTTGATTTCCTCTTTCGTCTTCCCCTTTGTGTTACAACATGTATGTGTTTGCACCCCTTGGGAATAACTCAAATGCGTTTAAAAGGAAGAGCTTTTAAAAACAAAAAAACAAGAAAAGGCACACCAAGATTGATTTCTTTGGTGTTTAAAATGCATCTTTAGATTTACTTAAAAAGAAAAAAAAATGTAAGCAGCATTTGCTTGCTGCAAGCAACATTGGGCATTGCGGTGGCAGAAAAAGCTTGCGTGAAATGAAACCTTGCGAACCGCACTGGCAGCGGCAGCAATTTTCGTCACAAAATTGCAGCACGTGAAACGCGCTTAACGCAAGTTTGACGGCAAAGCCATTGAGGCACCGACGACGAGACAAGGAGCTTGGGAACGGCTACCGAACCGAGCGTCTGACTGCCGTCTTTGCTACGTCTTTACCCGTCCCTCTGGATTCTCTCAAAGAAGGGCGTTACCTGGGGCCGCTCGTGGGGTGCCAGGTCGAAGGGGGTGAGACCGAGGCCCTTGCAGACGCAGTTGCAGCGGTGGGTGTGGAAGAAGAGGGCCATGCCCCGCACCCCAAGGTTGCCCTCCCCGTAGTCCTGGCCCCCCGCCGTGTGGATCTGGGGGTCCGTGTACAGGTCCCCCACCCCCTGCACGTCCACCACCAGCAGCTCGTGCCCCGAGCGCTCAAAGGTGAAGTGGCTGAATGCCTGCGCTCAGAAGAAAGGCAAACGAAGAAAAAAAGATGAAGAGCAACACTTACAACAAACTAAAGTGATTTTTTTTTTTTTGTTAGATGCAATTTAGTGGGGGTGGCCCTGCTCTAGGCCCTGCCCGGCGCTTACAAAACTAAGCACCTTTTCTCAGCTGTCGGTGGATGGAGAGATGATTGATGCACAAAATGTTGGTTGTAAAATTGTCTCTTTGTGCCATAATAGTATTTTATCAACAATATTTTTATGTTTGACAAACAAATACTCTAAATAGAGTTTGTTTTGAAAAATTATCAAAAATTGCCTTTCCGCTTCTGTTTCAAATGATGACAAACATGGCTGCCGACGTCTGTGGAGTGATCAACGAGAGCAGGTCGTCTGTTTTAATGAGCGCGAATCGTTCTGCGTTCACCGAGGTGTTTAGACAAAGGTCTCCTCAACCGATCTAGTTTGCAGCAAACAACTGTCGTAAGTACACCCCTTCGAAAGCGCTGTTGGCGCTGTGCGGGTTCTTGAGTTCGTAGCAGGCGGTAGCGGGACTGGCCTAGGCCTAGCGTCCGACCATAACTATGTTGGCCGATTTGGACTGATTCGTTCCTTTGTGCGTGTTTATGCTAAGTAAAGATACTGGTTCACTCAAAAGCGGCCCCGCTGCTCTGTGAATTGTGCGACCATAGGGATTGCGACTGCAACCATGGTTTCAATACTGAGGAGGTGCAGGAACATTGAAATTATTACCTACAGATGTAAGAATTTCCGAGCAATTATTCCCATCCTTTTGCTTCAAAAGGAAAGTAGCTCTACGTTTTGCATTGAACCTGGCTTGCCAATGCAAACATTTTTAGGTTGCATTTTAGTTGCGCGTCCTGAGGCTCACCGACCTTGCTCGCGGATGCCAAGCGAACAAAAAAAAGAACAGAAAAGCTGGAAGGACTACATATTTATTCTGTTGATATTTTTTAGTCCTCTCAGCCGCTTATTACCGCGCATCGACAGAAGCTGACAGACCCTTGTACTGGACCGTGGCTCGCGCATGCTGGAGTGCTAGAACCCCGCTTTCAAAGTCGCGTATGGCAAGCGTTGCAAACGTTTTTAGACGGGGGCGAAATAGAAAACGGACAAAGGCGAAGACGGAGGCCGACGCAGAGCTTTCACGTCCGCATCTGTGCACGACAAACAACGATAGACGGTGGCGTGAAATAGCAGACGATGCCGGAGGCTGCAGCGTGTCTGCTCGCACGACTAGCAGGCGCTCTCAGGCTTCTAGACTAGACACACCCACCGAATGTCGGGAAGTGGAAACAATAGGCTCCTGAGCATATTCAGTCAAGCAGTCAAGCGAATCCAGTAGTAATGGGCGAGGCCACTGATCTGTGAACGGGCCTTAGAACGAGCCGCGACCTCCACCTAATTTGCGTCCAACAATGTAAACATTGCACTGAAGACTTGTTAATTTTTTTTGTGCAAAATATGTAAAAAAAAAAATAATAAGTGCTCCAATTATGCTTTTTAAGAAAAAAGTTTTCTTCTTTCACTTCAGTGTTTTTTTTTAAATCTTTCTGGGATCTCTCACGATGGGAGGACACACGGTGGTGTCATCTGTCAGATGGCTGTGGAACCCTCGGCACTTCGGTATGTTTCCTATTTTTTTCGTGCACCGTTCTATCTTGGCTAGAAAAACTTCAGACGTTATAAACGACCATTTCTTGTAAATGGTAGGTCTGTTCGATTTTCCAGCACCTTCTGCACCAGTGCGGGAGGAGGGTAAATCAAACAAGCCTAGTATGTGCATTTTATCTCGCAAATATGGCAAAACCTTCGCTCTAGTGAAATCCAGTTTCAGAGTCACCTCATGGACGGCGCCGGCTTGCCAATGCATTCTCTCGTCGTGAGAGATTGCGAGAACTCCACCGCGAGCAAACGCAAGTGTGCGATTGGGCCTTCGTCTCCAAAGTCCTATAATTCTTGGGTTCTTGGACTGGGCTCCAAGGAACCTAGCGGTTCCCCGAAGTACTCTTGTGGGTTCCACGAGCGTTTAAACTTTCTCAACCGTCCCTGCCCCTATGTTTTCTTTTTTCTTTTTTTCTGCTTGCCCTAAATTCCCCAGAATGCATTCCCTAGACACTCTCTAGTATGCTCTCCCTAGAATCTGTATTATTGTTTATAAGGTCTGTAAGCTTCTGCACTGCTTTAGTCCATCAATATTAATGAGCAAAATTCCTTGGCAGCCGCTCGAGGCATATGTGGGTTGCTCGCGGTCAAAGAGTTTCAGAGCCCTTGCTCTCATGCATGAAATGCAGTACTTAAAAGGAGCGATTGTTTAAATTTGTTTAGAAGACATTAAACAGTCGTTTTGGGGAGTCAAGAGGAACCCATATTTTTACTACCAATTTCTTCACAAAGTTTTGTGGGGAAACCGACTTGGTCAGCGACGTCAATTTCCCCACTAAATGTAGTGGGATAGACCAAATCGGTGTAGAGGGCACGTGATACCACATGACGTCGGGTCATGTGACATCAATTTCCCTGGCAGTCGAATAATGTCTGACAATCTCGGTTCCGCACAATTGCGGAGCGCAAGCTCGTCTGGTTCTTGCATAGGGGTTGCGATGATGTCAGAAAGCAGAGTTCTTATTGGCCAATTGACGAAAATAGTGGGTAGACCACAAGGCATTTAGCATTGGGGTCTACCCACTATAGGGGAAGAGATCAGACCGTTACGCCCCAAGCGGTTAACTTTAGAACTGCACGGATGGGGACAACAAACACAATGACTTGGTGCTCGGCTGACTAAACCGAACGCGGCGTCAGCGTTTGGCTGGAGTTTGTGTTCTCCGGTGAGGGAAAAGAGACTCTTGTTACCGTTCCGGCCTGCATGAACAATGCAGCATGTACGATGCCCAGCTCAGCACAAAAGCAGAAGTGGGTCACGCTCGCATTCTCCGACGACTGCTTCCGGGAGAGATCCAGCACTTAGCATCACTTCGTTTATTGTTAGTATTTTTACATCACACTGTGCCCCGTGCTCTATTCAAGAAGATGACATGGATATGCCCACAAGGCCTGTGGGCATGTGCACAGGCCTTGCGTCGGGTAAACACCGAGGTGTGGGGAAACGAACGGGTCAGAGCACCCCCTATAGTTCAATCTCCTCGCCAATCCTTCCAATCAAAGCCAATCACAAGTCGGTGTTGTTCTGACTTAACTGTAACCCCTCCGAAAGAAGCAGACGACTTGCCCTCCGCATTATATGCCGATTCATTTTAGTCTGATCCGATGGGAAAATGGTGCCGTGCAGAGGCAGGCAGAGAACACAAGGTTCAATAGTTATCTGAAGAGCCAGAGAGAATCCGTAGATGCTTATTTTTCCGACAAGTCCAGTCGAGGGCTGCAATCCCACCTGAGGGGTGAGCCTGGTGTCCTGGTTGCTGATGAAGCCCGAGTTGGAGTTGTACTTGGTGTAGCTCCCCTCGATGAAGTGCTCCAGGTGGTACAGGGGTCTGCCCTCACGCTCCACAAACTCTATCACCGACACCTGGAAGATGTCCACCTGCAACGGAACCACCACAACCAAGCTCAGGAAAACAATGCAGTCAACTGGTCGACGAAGGAATTTTCTTTTTTTAAGTCGCGCTTTTTAACGCGAAAGATTCTTTGGCTAGTTACTCCAGGGAAAATGACGTCGCGTGACCTATACTCAAATTTAGTTTCCCCGCTCGGATTGACGATGCATGACATGTCGCGAGACCTACGCTCAAATTCGGTTTCCTTGCTAGATTTAACGGGATAATTGATGTCATGTGACCCTATAGATAAACTCAGTTTACCTCCTAAATTTGGCGGAAAAATTGACATGTGACCGGCCGCAGCCCGTCATTCTCCATGCTCTGTGGGCACGGGCCGACCTAACGGGGAAAGTCAAAGGGGGGGAGAGAAGTCAGTGGGGTGGAGAGCACAGAAAGGTTTGAATTTGGGCTAGTTAGCTGAATGTGTTTAGAGGTTAGAAGCGCTAAAAAACAACGGACCAATAGAAAAGGCACACACCACAGAGCGCTACTTATAACTGGTTTAATATTAGAAAACACATCCACCGTGAAACCGACAACACACACATCCCATTCACTGGAGAATGGGTGGAGTCAACAGAATGGAGAGGAGAAACCTAGGGGCACAGCTCGAGAAGACATGCCTGAAGGTTACTAGCACTACACCAAGAATGATACACAAAATAACAGGACAAGTAGAAGACAAGTAGAAATACAAAGGGCAAGTAGAAGACAAGTAGAGAGGTAAAGGACAAGTAAAAAACAAAGGACAAGCAGAAAGACAAGGGACAAGTAGAAGACAAGCAGAAAGACAAGGGACAAGTAGAAGACAAGTGGAAAGACAAAGGACAAGCAGAAGTCAAGGAGAAAAACAAAGGGCAAGTAGAAAAACAGGGAACGAGTAGAAGCCAAGTAGGAAGACAAAGGACAAGCAGAATACAAGTAGAGAGATAAAGGACAAGTAGAAAGACAAGGAACAGACAAGTAGAAAGACAAGGAAAAGACAAGTGGGAAGACAAAGAACGAGTAGAAGACAAGTAGAAAGTCAAAGGACAATTAGAAGACAAGTAGAAAGTCAAAGCACAAGTAATAGACAAGTAGAAAGACAAAGGACAAGTAGAAAGGCAAGGAGCAAGTAGAAGACAAATGGAAAGACAAAGGACAAGTAGAAGACAAGGGAGAAGTAAAAGACAAAGGACAAGTAAAAAGACAAAGGACAAGTAAAAGACAAGTAGAAAGACAAAGGAGAAGTAGAAAGACAACGAACAAGTAGAAGTAGAAGACAACTAGGACGACAAAGAACAAGTAGAAGTAGTAGAAAAGCAACATCACTGCGCGTGGGCCGTGCGTGCCGGCCGGGGGCCCACCTTCTTGGGTGGGTTGTGGCGGTTAAACTCCTCTGCCCAGAGCTTGGCATCCATCTGCAGTCGCACATCCTCCAGGTAGGTCTCCCGCTGCGTCGGCTCCAGGTACCGCTTGGCCACATAGTTGCACGCGTGGTTCCAGTTCTGGCCGGGGACGAAGCTGGACAGCTTCTTGCTGCAACGGCCGATGGGTTGAGAGATGTCAAGGCACTCTAGAGCAGGGGTGGCCAAACCGCGGCTCGCGAGCCGCATGCGGCTCTTTGCTGGTCTAAGTGCGGCTCGCGGATCCCTCGTAAAAGGACCCCCCTCCTCCGCCCTCCCTTTATCCCTTTCCGCGTTTCCCCAGGAAAAAAAAAAAGAAAGAAAGAAAGGATTTCAGAATGAAGCACACTGCAGCTGGCAGTTTGGCAGCCTTTTACTCCCATACGTACAATCGTACAGCCTTGTGCCCCCATACGTACAGTCAGACTCCAAAAAAAAGTTAAATTTGCCCCCCCCCCCCCGGCTCTTAGAAGTTCTGTGGTTTTGTTTGCGGCTCTTAGGCCAAGCCAGCCTGGCCACCCCTGCTCTAGAGGCCTACTTTCGGCTCCTTATAGCTAGGGTTTCGGGTTTCCGGGGTTTATTTTTTAATGGCGAATTTCACTGGTCGTTTTGGAGATCGCCAGGATCGACCTTTATCGAGTATGTTTATTTCACTGGGCGATTGGGTCCAAACATGTTCCACCCGTCGTTTTTGGTCAGCTCCCCCTCCAGATCTCACTCATTGTCAATTTGATTCGACCAGAAGTCGCTCGATTCGACCAGAAGTCGCTCAATTCGACCAGAAGCCAGTCAGGTCAGCCCTCAGCACACACACGACTTCTTTTTTCACCGGGCCTCTTGCCTCGAAAGAATTCATAATGGCCGCTCGCTAAGTGCCGCCACTGCTGCTGCTGCTTGATAACAGTTTGTCGTCAAGTTGCTCAAGCAGCTCCTCCAGCAGCAGCAACTTGAGTAGTAGCTATGACAAGGATTGCTTGTAGGTCCCGGATGAATTCGGCTGCCTTTTCAAACTTCCGCAGAAAAGGCCCAATATCGAGAGGCACTTGGACACCGTTCACGACTATATTCCGATGAAGGGGCAAGTGGGCTACACTGATGCACATCGCTTATTGACACGCATCTTTCACATCATGATTAAATTTGCTCGTGCATGTAACACGTGTTAGCGCCACAATTTCGAAAACATGTGCTTCGAGATACAGGACTGCGGGAAAGGAATGCCCGGGAAGGTGAATGATGGAAAGGCATCCACCGATCCCGGAGAAGTGGCCATGATCCACTGGGGATCCGGAGGCTGAGCGACTTAGTTTGGATTGCGTGCTTCATCTTGGATCTAGTCTACTGATCCTGGCGCACTCCAGAACGACCAGTGGAATTCACCATTAGAATTTGCGGGATTCTTTTCGGGGTTGATTCTTTCGCACAGATTTGGCGTTTTTTTTTATTATAAATTTTTAGTTTCCGACAAAAAATCTATGTCTGACAGGACTTGTGTCGTAGAAAACAGGACATGGGCATAGAAATCCAGAACCTCCAGGAAATAGGCGAGTGACCCAAATACTTAGAAAATGTTTCCACACTAATAAGAGAAGCGAACAAGATGAGGGGCATGATTCCCGAAAATAGAAAACGCCTTGTGGACAGTTCAGTGGGGGCCCATGTTCCGTATCAACAAACCGTAAATAAAGATTCCTTTCCAAAAAAATTGGCTTTTTCTAATACGTGGCTTGCACATGACGTCATTTCCAATGCCGTCCAGAGTTTCCCAAGCTGGATGTTACCAGCTTGGGGTTTACTTTTCAGGGTTTAGCAGTACAAGGGGAGGGGGGTCGACTTATAATCAAAATAAAGCATTCCACCGCCAACAAAAACGAAACAATCGCGATAACAAGAACACCTTGGCTTGTTACACGAGTTTAGCCAGCTGTACCTGTAGCATTGCACCACTCTGTATGCTCATTTTACCAGTTTTTTTGTTTTTTTTCACTTGCAAGAACGAGTATTATAGATAGCGATTCGCAAATAAGCCCGAATGTACGGCGGTGAACAGCGCACGGCATACCCGACTCCCGGGGCTGGCAGCACTCAATGTAGGATCCACTCCATAACGGCCACTGGAACGGCCTCACAGCCTCACTCCCCGCCGTTTCTTGTCGCACGACTTACGGTCGCACGTCGTTCAATCGAGCGTCGAGATCATGCCAAAGTGCCAACTATGTTTCTCTGCATTGACATGCGTGATGCAGGCAGTTTAGCTTTTCGGTGCTCAATTATGGCCGTTCTATATTCAAAGGCAACCAACAACTGCGCCGCTGGACGCAAATTCGACCCGTCAGAGCGGGCAGTGCTACAGTGGTGTCTGCAACGGCACGGGATCTTAAGCTGCCAAGGCAAATAAAGAGGATTCCAGAGGTGAAAGTTTGGAGAGGTCTGGAGGCCTTCGGAAGTTAGAAGTCAGGCTCGCAACGAACGTCACAGAAGTGCGAAGTCGGTTCCCATTCGCAACGTGCGATGCCATCACCGAGCGAGCACGGAAAATGCAGTTGAGGCTGCCATTTGCGAAGCGCGAGATTCCATTGGATGACGCCAACGACGTGGCTTGAGAACGTAACAGTGATGACGACCAGAACGACAGCACGAGTGCAGACGAATCATATTCTCCAGTCGCAGACAGAGTGAGAACGACGAGAAGTAGCTTCGGTTGTCCCACCTCCAGCGAGAGCTTCATAGTTTCGATAACGCTTGGACACCTCGTGCGTGCATGCGCAGCCGAAGCATGCCAGAAGGCGCTGAGCACGCACTGGAGGCCGGGCTTTCGAAAGAGATGACCTGCCATTTTCACTTCTGTTGTGTATTTACAATTGTGTAGATACAGTATAAAAGTGCACTAGCTAAAGTCTTGGCACTCCTTTGAGCCAATAGAAGGCTCCCAAAATGACTTCTATCTTGACATCACAGTGAAGCTAGCAATAAAATGGAGTCACTTTCGAGCCAGCATAAACGAGCAGAATAAATCGCTCTGAAAGTAAAATGCATGCTGCAGCATTAATATTGCGGCAAATTATTCTTCTGTCTCAGGGTAAGTTCATTTGTGGCATACAGGTACAGTGGAATCTCGTTAATTCATACTGTCTTAATTCAACCGCGCGGATAATTCAAACTAACATGCGAGTCCCATCCTATACATCTCTATGGGAGGAAACTCCTGGTAATTCAAACTCTGCGTTATCTGAAAAGAAGTTCCAGTCCCCGTCTGGTTCAAACTGACGAGATTCCACTGTAGCTGCTCAATTAGCAATTTATCCCCATTCTCTGACGTCCAGAGGATGCCTGCCATTTACATCTGGCCACACTGATTACAAGACAGGTCCACTCACAGTCGGAAGCACTCCCGCATGGCTCCACGGCCGAAGGGCTGTAAAGGAACGAGTTGAACATCAAGCTCCGAACAAAACATCGGGAGACCAAAGTTGGACACTCGGCAAGGAAGTCGGCAAGATCGCCGACCACCAAAATCGGCGGCGACTGGCCATAGCTCGACCTCGGTACTGGCCAATCACGGCGCGACACTGGCCAACCGTGGCAGTCCACGATTTCGCTGAGTGTCCAACTTAAGAGCCCCGGATAACCGTGTATGTACTCCCTCATTTCCATACCGTAAATTCGGAGGGTATCAACATACAACCGGTATAAAAATGGAATCGGCATCAAAATGACACCTCCGTATGTTGCTTCTCACAGTTACCTCATTCATTAAAATTGTGAGCTCGTTACGAGCGCACCGAGGGTGTCTACAATTCCGTACGGCATGCCAGGTGAAATCGCTGCCATTTACTAAAGGCGCTCGGCATACGATGAGACGGCAATGATGTTTGAATCCCAGAGAAGTGGCCACGCTCTGCCCTCTGCCCAGTCTCTCTCCGTTCTCTTTATTACGTCTCCCCCTCCCCGTGCCACCGTTTCAGATGAACGCAGTCAAGCGACACGGCGGCTTATTTCATTTTCGTGTAAATAAAACGTTTCCACAAAGCCTCTTCGAGATGAATACTCAAAAGCAGATCCAGCAGATCTGAGCATGTGTGCTACAATCTGCGAGTGGCGACGTTTACCAGTTTGTTTTCATTTTGCACCCTGTGAGTAGAAAAAACCAAAAATATTCAGCTTTAAATTTTTTCTTACAGACCTACACTTATGATATTCGACTACGATAAATGCATTACTTATACACCTTTGTGAAAAGTGAAATTGCACTCCTTCCATTAGCTTTTTTATATAAATGGTTTACACCCAAAAACGCACTCAGGAGCATGCATTAGATGCACTGGGCAAACTCTACGGGATTCCTGCGCCTTCATCTTGGTATATTCACCCGAACGTCCCCCTTGGTGCGCCGGCCCTCCGCCTGCCATCTCGAAGCACCCACCTGTGCCTCCATCTTGACCAGGGCCTGGTCCTCGAGCCACTCCCTGGTGAGGGCATTGTAGCGCAGCCGGTGCACCCGCTCTTCCTGCAGCCGCTCCAGGTGCCTCTTCGCCCAGGGGTCCTCCATGTGCAGGGCCCGCCTGGCCGCCCGCTGCCACCGCTGGGCCGCACCCACCTCCTGCCTGATGGGCTCCGCCTCTGCACGCGAGCATCTCGGATCCAATCCAATTCTGTGTAGGGACATTCTTAACCCAATCCACCCCCTGTGCAGAGATGTGTCCAATTCAATCCACCTCATTTTCAATCCAGTCCAATCCGCCTCTCCACAAAGACGTTTCCATTCCAATACAGCTCTGTGCAAAAACATATTTCTAATCCAATCCACCTCTGTGCAGACATTTCCAGTCCAATTTATTCCAACTCTGTGCAAAGACATTTCCAATCCAATCCAATCCACCTCTGTGCAGACATTTCCAGTCCAATTTATTCCAACTCTGTGCAAAGACATTTCCAATCCAATCCAATCTGTTTCTACATATAGACATTTTCAATACAATACAATCCATCTCTGCACAAAGACTTTCCAATCCAATCCACCCTTGTACAGAGAGTTCCCAATCTAATACATCTTTGCACAAAAGATGTTTTATCCAATTCAATCCATTTTTGTGCAAAGGCGCTCCCAATTCAATCCACCTCTGCACAAAGACGGTTCCAATCCAACCCGCTTCTGCACAAGGACGTTTCCAATCCAATCCACCTCTGTGCAAAGCGGAATCCTTATCGACTCCCCTCCCTGAAACTACCGTATTTACTCGCACTATGAATGCACTCGCGTAATGAACGCATCCCCCAAGTCGGCTCTCAAAATTTTGACTTTTTTTTTTCACTCGCGTAATAAACGCACCTCTAACTCGGACGTCAAAATTTTGACCCCCTCCTCCCACGCGCGCGAAATGAACGCACTTTTCTATCCTGGTGCAGCGAGGTCGCGAATGCATGGGCAGCGTGGTCGAACAAAACGCCTTGCAAAAGGCGTTAAAAAATTTGCAAAAATCCAACAAAAGCAAAAAAAAAAAAAAAAACATTTTTTTTTTTTTTTTGCACAGCGCATTTTGATTACGGGGGGTCGCGCGCTGCGCGTAAGGAGGTAAAAAAGAGGAGCGGAGAAGCCCTCTAAGCAAACGAAACAGCTTGCGAAAGGCGGCAAAAAAAAAAGAAAAGAACAATTCAGGGAACTGGAAAAAAAACAAAAAACAGAAAGGAGCTTTTTTTTTTTTTTTTTGCACAGCGCAGTTTGGTTACGGGGGTCGTGCGTCGCGCGCAAGGAGATAAGCAAAGAGCCCTCGCCTAAGCAACGAATAAGCAAACAAAACAGCTTCCGAAAGGCGGCACAAAAAAAAAACCCAAGGAACTAAAAAAAAAATAAAACAAAGGATTTTTTTTTTTTTTTTGCACAGTTTAGTTTGGTTACGGGGTCGGGCGCCGCGCGCAGAGAGATAAGAAGTTACTTCGATTTATCAGGATAAAAGGTCCCTTCATTACGCGAGTAAATAACCGACGCAAAAATTTTACTTCGCGTAATGAACGCCCCCCCCCTAACTTTGCATCGATTTTTCGAAAAAAAAGTGCGTTCATTCTGCGAGTAAATACGGTACATTCGTTTGTCAACTCGCGAGGAGGTCAGTTGGCCTTCACTGTGAGCCAATGAAGCCCTCCCGAGTCGACAGGCTGATGTTCAATTCATCGACCTAATATGAAAGTCAATTGATTTCCGTATGCATGCAAGAGGAAAATTGCCAGATGTGATGGGCTCACATTGCCTTTATGTAAGCCTAGCCAGTGTCAACTTACAGTACACCTCTGCCTTTCACTAAGATAATAGTTGGCTGACCATATTAATTGCAGTCCTAACAGGGAACTAAACCTCCATTTGTACAGCTGATCAACAACAGAAGTTAGCCTGACAACCAGTGTCTGCTCTTCATTTTTTGCAGTTTCCTACAATGGACCTCTTTCAAAAAGGTGACAACTCTGTGCGCCACTGGCAACAGTACGCACGCTCTCCATGGTGAAGGAACTTTTTTTCTTCGGCTCGCTGGCTCTACATGAAAAAGCAGCAGGGAAAATATAAGCAATGGAGCTCTGTTACCCATCGCCGGCTGGACAAATAACCTTGCTAGCTAGCTTGCTAGGCATGAAACCTGAAAACAAAGAGCTCTCATCAAGATGTGTCTGCAAGTCATTTTTGAAGTCCACAAAGCGTCTAGCCCACTAAACTTGCATAAACAAAATGCCCTCAAGGGGAACTTAATGTGGTGCCATCCCAATACTGGATGGAAGCATAAAGTAACGTGGTGTTAGCGGATGTTTAATTAACATCAAATTGTTTATGAAAAAACGCATCTGCAAAGCGAAGCACTTTGTTTTTTTGTTTGGCACGCATTGTTTGTTAAAGAGCAGAAAACGTTTGCAGAACTGATACTCTAATTCGACTACTCGTTTAGCCACGCCAACGATATCTGTCTATAAAGCAACACAAACTAAAGGTACAATTAAATAGCATTGTAGTGTATCAAGCAACTGCATGCAAACTCGTGAGGCTGGCCGAATGGCAGTGGATGCGCTGGGTGAAACCGATGCTCACTTATCCACATTGAAGATTATCTGTCTAACAGCAATAGTAAAGAAAATGCAAAGCAGTATAATGCAGAACTAATGTATTAGCTTCATGAAGCAAATGCATGCAAATTCATGAGGTTAGCCAAACAGCCGCAGCAACGAATTTGTGTAGACAAACTATCTTTCAGCAGCAAACAGCTGCTGAAACGTATTTCGTCCGAGGCAGTGGCAGCTTGGGACTACTTGGGATCCGGAAGCACTCCGCTGATTCGTCCGCATGCCTGTACCTTCGTCGACCGCTTTTTTTCGGGGAATTGGCCACGCACGACTGTAATTTTTAGATTTTTGGGATGCTTTCAGTGCGTAGATCGCATTACCACCATAAAATAACGATCTCAGAAACCACTTCAGTGCACCTCTATTACAATGACCGTGCGACTTAAATTTTGTGTCTTGCCTGCCTCATTATATGTAAAAAAAAAAACGAAAAAAAAGTTTTTTTTTTGTTCTTTTATTTACCTGAAGCATTGAGCAACCTGGCTAGAGTAAATCCAGCAAGGCCACCTGAAACTGCTTAGCCAAATCGGGTTTTCATATCTATTTATTGTTTTGAATACCTACATCACCCAGAAGGTGTTACTGTAGGAATACTCACAAAAAAATGAATACAGATTGTACAGAGCTATGAACAATATACACTTAAAAAATAAGAACAAAACGTTTGTAACAAGAGATCCAACACGCATCTCATAGAAATTAAGAAGACATGGTTGGATCAACAATTTCACGATGAAGACGATTCCATTCGTAAATGGTAAAAGGACGAAAAGAATGGGCAAGAACACCGGTACGGCAGCTCAACTCTCGCACCTTCTTTTCACGATTGTTCCGTCGCAAAATAAATAAAGAATCCTTCATAGATACATTCTTATTGATGCCGGTATTGTTGGAGACAGTACGTGTTTATTGCTTCCACTTCAGATTTTGTTGAGATTTCTTGTCAAACTGTAATAAAAACTCATGCCACAAAAAATAAATCTTTGTGTTCTTTAAGAAAAAAAAAAGGCTTGGGGAATGTTTAGAGGTTTAAGGCTCAGGCTTCCCGCCGCAGACCCACCTCCGGGTTTCTTGCGCCGGCTGGGCTGGCAGGCGACGCTCTTCTTGCGCTTGAGCCCCATGGCCACCGAGAAGATGGCCGACACGGGGGGGCTGCCCTGCTCCGAGGCCTCTCCCCGGCCCCCGGCAAGGTCCTCCTCCCTCGGGGGACGGATGTCATCCAGGCTCAGGGGCTGCAGCTCCAGGTCCTCTCCAAGACTCTCCATGGCACCGCTCCTTCAGATCTGCACGTCCGCCTCACGGGGATCCCAGGTGGGCCAGCGGGACTGTCCTGCAGTTGTTCCCCGCAGATGCGTGAGATCCCTTCGCCCGGAGAACATCATCTAGGAAACATCCCTTTGCCTCAGAAATGATATCTATACGCCGTTTCACTTCAAAGGGCAACTACGCTTCATATTTGTTTTTGAAAAAAAAAACAATGCAGTCCTCTTCCCTATCACCTAGGAAGACCACATGTCAAATATTACGACCTAGGTGTGTTCAAGTGTTTCTTAAATGGTCCGGCAAGCTTTGCCACTTGCTAAGTTGCCGAAATCGGCTGACTCGAGCGGGCGAATTGAGGTGCTACCAACAGCACAGTCAAGGTTACAGCGTGGGCGTAGCCAACATTGAGCTAAACATCATCGGCATTGCCCCTTTTTGCTCGTTTCAACTTCTCCAAGCGAGCATAATGGATGACGTCAGCAATGCTTCCTCTTGGCGCTCAGCGCTATCCACGTGATTGGCATAACACGCCTGTGCAACGCGTTTCTTGGGAGCCGTCCCGCGATGGTCCCGCCGTTAACCCGTCTGCCGCGTCACAACCGCCGCCGTCATCTCACCATTTGTGATTATTGTCTCTCTGAGTTTCATACACAATACGGAAACTATGAGCGCAGACTTATGCCGCAATAGTGCAGACGACACTTGCGCCTAGCACACACCCACCCCAATCTCTCCCGTCGTTGCATAGAGGATCACGTGACATCTCGTACCCCACGATAGCCATGTTCTTGGCGGCCAGAGGCCAATGTTGCCAGATAGAGACGAAGTTTTGATTTTGATTTTTGCTCGTATTTAAATTTAGATTTAACAATATATATCATTTTTTGCGAAGAAAATGACATAGTGCCTTTTATTAGTGCTTCTTATTTTGAAATTTTCGGAATTAAATGGAGTTGCCCTTTTCAGATTTGAATGGAGTTGCCCTTATAGGGCAACTCCACTCTATTCCGAAAATTTCAAAATTATGAACGACTTCACATTAAAAAAACACTAATAAAAGGCACTATGTCATTTGCTTTGCAAAAAATGGGATGTATTTTGTGAAATCTCTCTTTAAACATGAGAACAAACTCAAACTAAAACTTCGGCTCCGTCAGAAAACATTGGCCTCTGGCCACCAAAAACATGGCTACAGCATTGTATGAGCGGTCACGTGATCCTCTACGCGACGACAGGCGGGATCGGGGAGGCCACTGTTGGGGCAGGCGTGTGCACGGCGCAAGTGTCGTCTGCACCGCAGTCTTCACCACATTTTAGTGTCTACGATATCCAACGACGCCTGCATAAGCACGGCATCAGTCTGCACATGTACTGTGAATAAATTCCTAGAGATCATATTCACAAACGGTGAGACGGCGGCACAATGATTGTGGTCCTGACGCGGGAGACAGCGGTAACGGCGGGATGGCCGGATGGCTCTCATGGCTGAGAGGCGCACAGTCCAGGCGCGTTACGCCAGTCCCTTGGACGCCGCCGAGCGCTGAGAGGAGGAGCTGCCAACGTCACCTGTTACGCTTGCCCAGAGAAGTAAAAACAAACAAAAAGTAACAACGTCAATGATGTTTAGCTCAACGATGGCTATGCCAACAGGCCGAGCCTTGACAGCGCCGCTGGTTTTGCCTCGATTAGTTCGCCGAAGTCTGCTGACTTCGGCGACTTTGCGTGTTCTCAGGTTTGCCAAACTGAGAAACATTTAGACAGAGCTATAGTCCGTTAAAGGTCAAGAAGGTAGGGCGAGGAAAAGGAAGGCCGGGGAGCGGGAAGCAGACAATGCTGAAGAGAGGAGGAGGTTTCCCCTCTCCTCTTCAGCATTCCGTTTGCTTCCCCATCCTCAGCCTTCCTTTCCCTCGCCCTATCTTCTTGAGCTGTAACTTACTATAGGTCGTTATATTAGACATGTGGTATTACTAGGTGATACTGAAGAGGACTGCGTTGTTTTTTTTCATAAACAAAAATGAAGCAGAGTTGTCCTTTACGTAAGACCGCAGCCGATGCTACGCAGGATCACGGCGCATTCGGTGTGCGATCGGTTCATTTGGCGGTTGCAACCACACAGAGATGATGCGTGTCGCGACGATGCACTTCTGGCGTTGCTCGATTGTCTCTGTCGGATCGTGGCGTCAGCTACGGTTCTAATCAAGTGAAACGGAGTATGGGGAACGTCCCTTCAAGCAAAGAATGTTACTCATCCCTTTGCCTAGGGCAGTGGCTCTCAACCACTCATGTTTCGCGGACCCTTGTGGACCGGCGGAGATTATGGGGGACCTTGTCTGTGGCGAGGGGAATGGAAGGCTATAGACCAACACGCGGCTCTGACACCACGCAGCCGCGGTGGCACTGTCGACGGCACTGCACGTGCGCAGACGCTTCACTTCACGCAAATTCGGTCTCTGCGCACGCGCAGTGCCCACACCTGGTGTGGGCAAACGCGGGCTTGTTCGTAAACAGTGTGTCGGTCTATAGGTTAATTACGACAATGATTTAATAAATTAATGTAACTAAAGGATACTGAAAAAAAAAATGCATTGTTGGGTTTGACTGACGACGCAAGGTTTCGCAGACGCCTAGATTGCGTTTGCGGACACCCACTTGAAAATTACTGCCTAGGGAATGACATCTAGAGAACATCCCTCCACCCAAGGAACAAGCTTTAGGGAATGTCCCGTCTAGAAAACGACACCCAGGGAGCCTGCCCCACAACCAGGTAATAAAGGGAACAACATTTAGGAAACATCCCTTTACCTGAGGAATGACACCTAGGGAACATTTCATCCCCTAGGAAATGACACCCAAGGAACATTGCCCCAAGGAATGGAGGGAACATACCTTTGCCTAGGAAACAACATTTAGCAAACATCCCTTTACCAAAGGAACGACAAATAGGCAAGCACCCAGGGAGCGACGTTTCCCGTCTTGATACTATCTGTCCTTACCACCTAAATATTATCTTCCTTGAAACCGTGTTATTGCATAAATAGCTAGGTGTTCATCTGTCTCCTAACCTGTAATGATAGCTCCCGATTGCTTATATTGTAACCTTAACTGCTTGGTTGGCTACCATTTAATAAAAAATTTTAAAGCATGAAATGCTTTTTAGTTGAACCCCCAATCCCGAAATTGTCCGTTCGTCCGTGGGTTTCCCGCTAAATTTAGTGGGGAAACTCAATTGGTGTGTGATATCAGGTCACGTGACCTAAACACCAGTTCCGTTTCCCCACTATCTTTAGTGGGAAAACGTGACCCGACAAAAGGCACATACACATTTTTTATGTTCATAAAGAACTTCATGTTAGCTGCAGCTCAGAAGCGGCTTACCGCACAGTGCCTTCTTTCTGGATATTTTTCACAAATTTTCGTGACTAGTAGTCGAATCGTCTAGGATTCCCAGCATAAATATTAGTGCAAGCAATCTCTTTGTGTAATCAATGCAAAAATGAAGCGAGTCTAAAATCTTACTTGCTCACAACAGATGCAGGTTTTTATGGTAAGCCTTTAGAATTGTTCATAAATTTCTGGTTCCATACAAGAAAAAACAGTTATCGAGCACCAACACATTACAATGGACACATATCTTGTTTGAGTGCTCCATATCGGGAACGAAAAGATAATACCAAGGCCACAAACTGAGCGACCAAATGTTGTTTTAAAACTGAACTCTTTTCTTTTCCCCCTTTTTCATTTTAACTGTAGAAAATGGACTGCTTCGCCCGAAAAGCTTGTTTCTCTCACGTGGGATGTTGCCTTATATGGGTAGGTCTGTCTGCACTTTTAAGAAAAAAGTTGGAAGCTGATTTTTACCCCCCATTTCTGAATTTGGTGTGCTCTCTTACAGACTCTCTCAGGCGTTTGCTTCTGTTCATCAATTTGTAAAGTTGGTTTCTTTGCATGTCTTATGCATCCTCTTCCCCCTTGCACAGTGCATAGCAGCATAGCAGGTATTAATTTAAACAAGTAATAACCAAAGCCAGAATCCTTTCATATTAAAAAAACAAAATGCAACATCTGTTTTAAAACACTTTTGTGCAAATGTTACACTATTGAATACATTTTAATTTTAATCAAAAACTGTAGTCAGGTAGTCTCACAACTGGGACACAGATGGTATGTCAAAAATATATAGAGAGCACCTTGAGCAGACCTTCCACTGCAAAACGAGCCGTAAAACTTTGCGCTTGCACATAAATAGCTCAAACTTCCACTGAATGTGCACCAAGCAGGTCAGTCTTACCATGTGAAATCTCAAGGCATAGTTTTTTTTCTGTAAAAGCAAAAGAAAAAAACTTGCGACAGTCCCCTAGGCCCGTTCCCAGACGATCAAGCTGTCCACGCTATTAACTTGTGGCGCCATCTGCCGACAGGCGGGGCGAGGTGATGACACACCCAGTTGTCTGCTCACTGCGCCTATCGGCAGATGGCGCCACAAGTTAATGCGGAGAGCAAGTTGTCTGCTTCCTATACAGGAGGTACGGTGAGTATCTTGTGGGTATTTCATTCATTTTCCTTTACCACAATCTTCCTCAGCAGCAACTTGACACTCCGCTCTTCAACTACGCAAAGGCGATTCATTTCGCTTATATTTCCGGCCTTCTCGGCCTTTTTTTGCGAGCAAATCAGAAATTTCCAGGTCGGAGCGAGAACATATTTTCGGCTCGTCCATTGACGATCGAATTGGGGCATGGCTCGACTGATCAAAGTTGCAAACAATTCATTCAAACTCCCGTCTGTAGCATGACACACAGTAGCTCAAACATTGTACGGCATCGGCATATGGCTCGAAACCTAACAGCCGACAGCGGTGCAATAGGCGATGCTAGAGCTCAGTGAGGTGGGCCATCTCACGACTATCCGACGCTCTGGCTTCGTCCATTGAGTCCAGTCTACGTTGTCCCCTTGCATAGACAACAAACATTCTCTATTTGTTACCTATCGTGACGTATTTGTAGAACTGAGACGAAAGCTCCCCAGGAAAAAGAAATTCGCTTTTACGCCAGTAATTAAATCCGTACGATCAAATGAATGAATGTGGGTTACATGGGCGTACCAACCGGGGGCGCAAGGGGGGCGCTTGCCCACCCAGTTGTCAGAGTGGGGGGGGGGGGGGGGGCAATGCCAGTGGTAGGTTTTGTGATAAATGACAATGATTCCAAATCGACATATAGCCCAAAATTTTGTAAAAATGTTTCACTATCACTGAAAAAATGTAAACGATGAGCGACTTTCAAAAGGAAAATAAGGAGTGTTCCCTGTATTTGAATCATTCATCCCCATGTACAGGTGGGCCTCGTCATCCCCCATTTTCCTATCTACAATTTTCGAAAGTGGCTTTAAACTTTATTAAGGTAACAGTTCTGAAAGTTTGGCATCTGGCCCAGACCACTAGCACTATGTTTAGAGGCAGGTTGAGCATCGACAGTGCATAGTTATTTTTTGCACTGAAAAAACAAAACAAAAAAAAAACATGCACATTTTTTGGGGGGACGTACTATACAGGAGAAACTCCTTCCCCAATCAATGCATCAGTCTTTTCAAGGAAGAGACTTTAGTAAGCCACAGTTCCAAAGAGCCAATGGTGCACCACCAATTGCAGACCCTCATAGAGCTCTTAGGTTTCAAATAATTAAATCTTTTGGGGGCTCAATGCATATAACCACATAAAAGCTGTGTAATGGCTGCTTCGATTGCTTACTAATTTTTTATCACAGTAAAAGTGAATAGCGCTGCTCATCTAGACTGAAAATGTGTTACAATTAAAATAGATTTGTGACTGCGTGAAAGGCCATTCTCCTTTGTGATCACAGTATTGCGACAAAGAATGCACGATAACACAATAACAGGAAGTATTCTTGCACTCCCGTCACACTGGTGCCCTCCATACAAGGTATGTACATCAAGAACCTCCATATGAAGTATGGTCAATGAACTCGTATGTGCCCTACAGGAACTGCGACACACTTTGCCTGAAAGTAGAATAATCATGAGCTCATGATACGCTACTACAAGGTTTACTACCAAAGTTTATACTGCACATGTATCAATGTTCCATCGCAGCCAACCTGTTAACATGAAAGCTACAAAAAGGAAATTGCAGTTGTACTTCTATGTATCAATCAAACCGCCATAGGCCGAACTGCATTTTATGGAAACAGCGGTTGCTAACCCCAGCCCCGGCCTTCCAGGCAAAATAATTGGGGTTGTGTGGATATTTATACAGCGTGTAGTTGGTCAGCCATTTCAAAGTTGCAACGAGTCACTCGCTGTAGATGAGCAATTTAGCCAGTGCAGTACAACCGCTAGCCTGGGGTCTTTAATGTGCACCATGCAGTAGGGATACACGACCACACGCTGGTATGATGCTCTTCCAGATTGAAACGGGCAGGGGTGGGGATTGAACCCAGCATCCCTGGGTTCCGCAGCGCGAGCTTTTGCCCCACGTGCTCAGAGCTGGTGTGCACTAGCCCACTCGGCCACCGATAATCCCCCCCCCCCCCCCCCTTCCAGGCATGTGGTACCCTGCTTAGCGTTGCCATGTGCTCCTTTCATACCGTTTCCTCTTTCTTTCTTGTTTGTGAAGCTTTTGCAGCGCTGATAAAGTCCCCTCAAAAAGTCCTCCCCCTCATGCTGCCTCATTTTTATCTATATTTTTTTTTTCTCTTTGTTGCATCCTGCCCGCGCAACCCCTGGGCAGGAAGCAAACGAACTTGCGGTCCGCATACACCATTCCAATGTTTACAAATCCACACAGCGCAGCGTGCCATCTCTACAGCCCATGCACACGCGTGTTCATCGCATCGCGATGAACCCGCGCGTGCAATCTACGTGTCATGCGCACGAACGTCGACACCAGCCAGAAACTCGTTATTGGAATCGCCTGCGCCGGGCTCAACCGTAGGTCACGACAAAGGCGCGCGTTTTTGCCGTACCACACGCCGGCGTCGTGCTTCCGTCGAACAGGAAGCGCCTTTTCCTTGTCACCATATGCTGCGCGCGCGGAAAAGTACGGCGAACTTTTCGGGTGTACGTGCTTCGTATAGTTCTTGCACAGGCACACACCGAAGGCTGCGGGCGCCGCGAGCACGACAGCGCCGATGCTACGCGCTTGTAGCGTTGGAGTTTTGTTTGGAATCGATTCGAGCTGCGCGAGCACTCGCGTTGACGTGCAACGCGCCAACGTGGGTCTAGAAAAGTTGCAACCTTGCATTTTAAGATTACCGCTGGCGATATAAGGTTTGACGAATCGTTTCGTGTAGTTGTGCACACGTGAACCCTGGTTGTGCTGCGGCGGCGTATGAGGAGACACGTTTCAAGACCCAAAAAGCTGCCGCGTCAGCTAGCTGGAAGATTGTCAACGGTGGGACTGGGAACGGCCAACAACCCGCAGTGTTGGCACGCACGCCGTGCATGCCACAACCACAACACGACTCGACACACAGCCGCCAAGAGCCGTGGAAGAAACCTCACGGCACGGCAAGGCGCTTCTGGCAGTTTGCCCGGGCGCGTAGCCGGCGTCCAAAACTTCGGGGCACCCACCGCGGGGAGTCGGGACACCCTCCCACAATGACCCAGATTCCAAAATAAGTCTGAAAGACACCAACCTGAAAGTGCGAGCCGTGGATTCCGCGACGCTAGCAGTGGCGTGGTACCAGGCAGAGGCAGCAGCTGCGAGGATTACCATACGAGGGACGTCGGTGACGCGCAGTGTACTACGTAGCGCATCGTTGGCAGTTCAATCAGAAGGAAAGACAACGCGTAAAAATGCACGAATACGACGTTTCGAACCCTACAACTTTCGCTCCGGCTTCGGTCGAGACAGCGTCGACCGCGTGCGTTGTTTTGCCGTGTTGTCACTAGCTGGTCGAAGAAGCCATTCGGGCTTCCCGAATTGGCGAATTAGACAGATTCGACAGCGTGCGCGGTCGGCGCTTTTCAAGATCGCGCGACGTCGGCTTACCTTTCGCTGGACGATGCAGGGCCACATTAACGGCGGGCAACGCATTCCCTGTGCTGGACACCGGCGCGACGACGAGCAAGCGAGGCTCGTCAAAACGCAGCGCACTTCTTCCCTCCACACGAACGGGCGCCTCTCGACTTGGCGGTTTTTCTCTTTTCCGCTGGTGTGAATCGCTTTAGCTTGGCTGGAGATCCGTGGGTTTCGCAAGACAATCCTAGAGTACAGTACTCCTTCGCCTGTCGCGCTAGAGCATATGGCAGTGCTTCGGACAGCGAACTTGCGGCCTCGAAAAACCACGAGAACCAACGACTCACACCCGTGCCCGTGCGCACTTTCCCACTCGCTCTCTCTCTGCTCCGTTGCGGCGAGGGCAGTGAAAAGCCTCCCAGACGAAGAGAGCGTTCAACTTTTCGATCGGTATCAAGTGCTTTACGGGTGCCATTATGTGGCCAACTTTTGCTGGTTTTGGGTTATTTACTTAGTGTTTTTATGCAACTCGAGTGGTAACAGCCATTTTAGAACCCAGCCGCTTGAATATTGTACTAATAATAGACCTCGCCACTCACGAACTTTGTCTGCATAAAATTGCGGCTGCCACTGGCGGCTGCTTTCTTGCATGCGGCTAAAGTTGATCACTCTTCCTCTTCTCCTGTGGAAAGTAGAGGGCCTGATCATTGTCTACGAACGAACTGAACGAACGCCGTCTCTGCCTTTCCGCCTACTTCATCCTCGCCACACGACGAGGCAGCGCATGCGCACTTGCGATCAAACGATGCGAGAGGACCATGGTGACCATGGTTTGAGATGGACTCTCTCTAAAATCTAGGCTCTGTAACGGAGCTGCGACACTGGCGACGCGTACTGGGACAGTAGTCGGCGCCAGTCGGCGCAGGCGGAAGGAGTGTGCCCGATCCGATCAAAATTTCGAGCACAAGGCACCTGCGGCGCTTAATTAAAACGGGCGCTACGAGAAAAAACACTGGCTACGTGCGCTCGATGAGGACGCTTATGGAGTCAATGAAGCCGATCGCAAGCACGCTTCAGCGGTCTTCCGAAAACTGGTTTAATTATAAATTGTCGTGTTTTCAATACAAATACCCAACAGGCAACTGATTTTTTTTTTTTTTTTTTTGACGTACAGCATGTTTCTTTTCCGGCCTTGTTTTGTTCCTGCGTTTCTGCACGTTTGCCCGAAGACGGTATTTGTCCCATTTTTTTTTTTTTTTTAACTTACTGGTGTCACAGCACGCGAAAACAAAAATAGCTCGTCGTGCATTTTTTATTAATTAGTACTATATAGTATCCCAGCAGGATCTGGACCGATTGTTGGACAATGTATAATATAGAACGTGATTTGAAAGAAAAAAAAGCATTAAAAATATTGTTATTCCAGTTGTTACACGACTGTAATAGAATTCCTCTTGGCTGTTTGAAGGGACGGCATAAATCGGTTTCTATAAACGTATTAATAAAGCAAAAATTGTGCAGAGGTGGCCAAAGGACATGCCTCAAGGGCACACAAATTTCGTTAAACACACTGCCAAGAAGAAGAAAAAAAGACTAAATTTTTATTTACGGCGGCCATTTGCTAATTAAAGGTGTCTGATTGGCGCAAGCGAGAGCATTACAGATTGCACCAGAAGGCTGCAAGACTGGTGGCATCAGAGCAAGAACAGCAATGTAGAGAGTTTACCCCCTCACAAAAAAAAAATAGATAAATGAAAAAAAAAAGCAGTCCAAACCAGATGACAGAGTTTCAGAACTGCGGTCTCAATCAAAGATGAGTGATTTTCTGAAAATTTTAATGAGAATTCGGTAACTGGCACCATTCAGCTCCATTTATTTGAGAACTCAGTCGGCTGCCACTTTCCTGTTGGAAATCTCAGAAAATCGCTGATAATTTTTTAACAAGATAATGGTTCTGAAATGTTGCATCTGGTTCGGAACCCTAAGGCTACACTTGGGAGGAGAATACCCGTTTGGCGATGCATAGTTTATTTTTGCGGGGAAAAAAACTTCGTAAATTTCTCGAGGGATAATCCTGCAGTTACCACAAAGTTACTTTTGGATGGAGCAGGGCATGGACCCTATTCACCTGATACAAAGGGAATGGCCACCACATTCCCATACAATCCAAACCTATGTGCTGCGGTATGCACGTCTGCTCGGCAGTCAATTTCCCAAGCTGCCACGGCGAGGTCCCAGCATGGCGCAGGATGGCAAAATAAGAACTTTCTAAAGAGCTACTCCACCAATGGCAGATTTCCTTTAGCCAAGATCTGCGATGGCTGAAAAACAACAAAATGACACTGTGGCAGCTTGAACTGTCAACCTTTATTTGTGAGAAACAGAGATACAGAAGTCTAATTACATATTTATCATCTGCAGGCTTTGTTCAAGACAAACAAGAGTAAAAAAAAAAGAAAAGATCCACAACAAAAGATATGTACAAGTGCAGCAGAACTAAGCATACACTGAGCGACAAACAATCCATAGGATCCTCTAAACTAAACAAAATAATGACAGAGTTTGTATTCCTTGAGACTTAGCTGCTCAGATCCATCTACTGTAATATTCCGAAGGTAGCCCACCGAAAATCGAAAGCAAACTGTGTGAGAATAACGAGCAAGCCAACTTTTAGTGTGCGATAAAAAAGTTTGACAAAATGCTACCATAGAATATCACGCATCCGCCCATTCCACTCTAAGTGCTCATTCCCAAATTTGTAAGATCTGAGAAAATTTGCACAGTACATTGATATGTAAAATTGATGACTGGACAAGTGCCCATTACCCATTTTTTCACGATTATCTCTAAATTTTGAGTGGATGCTTGCCCGGTATTTTCAGATGTTGTGACCTGCAAAACATGTGACTGCAGGAAGGGGCAATGAACCAAAGTTGACTGTCCATTCCAGTCAGCATTATTCCCTTATCTCCCGTAGTGGCTAAGTAACACTATTTCTGCCAAGGCCAACATTGGAAAAATAGCAAATTGCGCCAAAAACCAAGGGTGGGCCATCTTTCGGGGGTGGGGCATCTCTAGAGACATTACGGTAATTCTGTTAAATAAAAAAAGCGTTAGATGTTTGCTGTTAGAGTAACATAAAAACAAACTACTAAAACATCATCTGGCACATATGACACCTTCGGTTGGGAATAAGAAGACAGAGGAATGAAATACTGTTTTCACCTAAACACAAGAGTGATATCTCAAAGCAGGTGTCATATAAATACATGATTATGAAGATGCCAGTGCAGGGATGGAAAGCAAAAACACATTCAGTATGAGCGAGTTCGACTCAATAAAGTTGTCCACAACTTTCATCAACACAGCCTTGAACAGGCGTTACACAGTATTAAAAATCGGTACAATGTCACCCACAGTAAAACTTGCTGGTAGCGTAGGAATTCGACTAGCAAGGTTCAAATCGGGAGCACAAACCACTGCAGTGCACGCACGGACTCAACAATCGGTTCTCCAGCCGAATTAATTGCTAAAATAGAATGACACGCTACAGGACGTGAAAATTAAAACCGAAAAAATTACTCTACTGTGGGGGAAGTGAAAATTGTCATACTTTCTCTTCAGATAGTGAAACATAACTTTGGTCACAGATTTATTTTCTGCAAGCTTGTATCTTTTGTATAGATACAAGTAAAAACAAAACAGCCATGAAGACAGCTTTACAAACATATTAGATCACACCTCAAGTGGGCACACCTCGAGCAAGCGCAAAAGACCTGGGACCAGGAGCAAAAGCATGACCCAGTTTGTGTCCAGATGTGGAACATCGAAAGTTGTAGCCACACTGACCTATCTCAATCCAATGAAAAAAGTTAAAGAATGTTTGCCATTACACTGACCAGCTCCTTGAACACTGCTGGTTAGCAATCACTCCCCGCTCCTCAGCACCTTTGTCATGCTAAGCTATATGTGTTGGCACATGCCCCATGAGGCAGACAAGTTACAAAACTGCCCCGGAACTTTGCTGCCATTTTGTAAGGAACACCCTGCATACGCAAATCACAGAGGGGCAAGCTTGATAATTAGGTAAGGTTTTAGGGCACTGCATGCACTTACATATTTCAACTTAAATGGTGTATAACTCTGCATAAGTTAGATGATTCCACATGCTATAAATAGGGTACAGTGTTTTTGGGGATTATTTTTGTTTAAATTCGGGGGTGTTTTTTCAGTCGCCGAAATCGGTATTACTCGGTACAAATTTTTGTTGTTGGCCAGGAAATCAAAATTTATCAAAGCTTTCGATGAAAAAAAACCAAAACATATAGGACAAGTATGTTTGCGAGATACTTTTAACCTTCAGGGAAGGTATGCGTGACCTAAACACTTGAAAAACATCCCGGTACCAATACGAGAAGGAAACAAGATAATGTGTACGCGTTCCTGAAAAAAAAAAAGCAACCTCACGGATAGTTCAGTGTAGTGCTGTGTCTGTGTCAACACAAAATGAAGCTGTTGTTAAAAATTCTTCTTCCTGTGAAGCTGGAGATTTATTATTTAAGAACAGCTACAATTCGTTGGGTTTTCAGCTTTTCTCCAATTTTGATGAAACTGCCTCGGGGGGTTAACTTTTGGAGTTTATGAGTATCTACAAAAAACATGGAACCCTAGTTATAAAGCATGGATGGCTCAAATTACAGGTGATTCATAAATCTTTTGCCATAAAGTGCACTTGATTGTGGCAGATCAGAATGTGCCTTTTTTGCCCGCGTGCGCTCAGTTATGGCGGATCGGATGAAAATTACGAGCAAAGGCTAGGGGGAAGAGTTTGCACTTGGATGGCTTTTCACCTTCATGTCTCCGAGTGTGGCTGATCAGACTGCAATTCCGCCTTTTCACCTGTCTGTGTTTGGGTGTGGTTGATCAGATTGCAATTATTAGCAAAGTTTAGGGGACAGAGCTTGAACTTTTAAAGGTTTTTCACCAATGTGTGTTTGATTATGTTTTTTGACATGAGAACCCTTAGTAAAGGCTTGGGGACACAGCTTACACTTGTAAGGCTTTTCACCTGTGTGTGTTCGATTGTGCCTGACCAGCTCGCTACTCCGAAGAAAGGCTTGGGGGCACAGATTGCACTCATAAGGTTTTTCTCTAGTCTGTGTCCGATTATGGCTGGTCAGCTGGAAACTCCGTGCAGGGGCTTGGGGGTGAAGCTTGAACTTATATGGCTTTTCCACAAAATGTGTTTGATTATTGCTTTTCAGAAGGGAATTCCCAGCAAAGACTTGGGGGCACAGCTTGTACTGAAAAGGTTCTTCACCGGTGTGTGTTCCATTATGGTTGCTTAGTTGGCAATCCTTAAAGACTTGAGAACATAACTCGGACTTGAACAACTTATTACCCTTGTGCTTTTGTGTATTACTGGGCACTTGGAACCTTGAGCAAGATAACATGAGAGGATGCTGGCACTTGAACTGTTCATCCCCATGGTCAACCAGGTGATTCACGATTCCACGCTGATCTCTCGTGACATAGGTGCAGGAACAGCATCGGAACGAGATGTTCTCGGTGGCTTTTAGTGAACTGTTGGTCTCTCCAGAAAGTGCAGCTCCATCACCTACAAGGCCTCATGTGTATTAAGACCAACAAGAAAAGCATAACCAAGATAGCTACCATCGTAAACCGGAGACACGGCAAAATAAAAAAACGGACAAAACAACAAGTAGCCTCAAACACAGCTTCTAAATAGCTAATTGGTTTAGAAATAAGCAGTCAATATTGAAGTTCAGCTTTGGCTGAACAGTTTAATTCTTTGCTGCCTTTTTTATTTCGGTTCATGGAAGCTCTCATATATAATTGTTCCATTAGCATCAACAGGATTGAGCCCATCTAAATGGGTGGTGCAACGATATTCAATTGGAACATTTTTTTCACTTTACACAAGCTTACTGGCACCTGTAAGACTCAAAATTACTCGCACGTAACGCCACTGGCCAAGAAACTCCTTTGTTGCAGTGTAATTTCAAGGACAAAAGCAAGCGTTTTCATTCAATCTCTCCTTCGCAAAACCTTACAATGCAGCTGGGCGGTCACAGTATCACCCAGTGACGATATTTGAATGCGGCTCTTAGATAGGACCCAAGCATTGCGTGGGAACTCGATTTGGGCTCGTGATAATCGACAGCTCGAGAAGCATTCGGGTAGTGGCCAGTATCCAATCGCTGCAATGACGACAATAACCAACCATAACAATGTCTGGAACTTAGCTCTTGTCCTGTGCATTGCCAACCCCAGCGCATGGCTATGATCAACTCTGGCGGCGTATAATCGGCTCCAGATCACGTAGCCGCTTGTTCTGGCTAAAAGTTGAGGACGTAAACGCTGCTCTTTTTTTTTTTTTCTGCGACGTTGATTGCGTGTGGTGAAAAACGAACATGTATTTCACAGGTCATGAACGCCAGGAATCCGTTCTAAGCGGTATTTGCGCAAAGTAAAAAAATTGTTGCATCGCTTCTTCCTCCTCCATGTTAGACGTTTGTTTTCTTTGTGGGTCGCTAAGTTCCTTCTTGAGTGCATTAGGCTATGTTGTAATCCAGTACCAAGGAAAAACATTCTAACTTACATTGCTATAATTACTAGTGGGATTTGATCTTGTCCACTGTCTTTTTGCTTAAAAATTAACAGGAAAAGAGATGTCACATGACCTGCCATCATGTGACATTTACACCAATTCAGTTGTCCTGCTCAATGTAGCGGAGAAATTGACATCACGTGACCCGCTGTCATGTAACCTATACATCAATTCGGTTTCCTTGTTAAACTTAGTGGGAAAATTGATGTCACGTGACTTTATCACTTCAGCTTCCCCTTTAATTGATGACCTGACGTTACACAACTTATATATCAAAATATTTTCCCGCTAAATTTAGCAGGGATGTTGACGTCTATTGACGTATACTACAGGAATTCAGTTTCCCCGCTAAATGTAGCGGGAAGGTTGTTAAAAGATATAGGGTCCTCACTCTGGAAACGACCGAAGTCTTCTCAACAAATTGAAATGATTGCTCCTCGAGCACTGAATTCCGTGCATCGTAGTATCTCGGACTTAAAGGCCGCCGACTTTTTTTTTCTGACCGATCGTGCAAGACGTTTCATCTCTCACAGTCGGGGTGCCTCCATCTGGGCCGAGCACGGGCCGGGCCTCAAAAAGTAGACCCGTGCAGAGCTTTACCACTAGCACTACATTTCAGCAAAGGCCGAGTGCCCGGTGATGCGTAGTGTAATTTTGCGGTGAAGTAAACCCTGTCAATTTCTTGGGTCTACACTGTGTACTTGGTGGCTTGCGCGTGACACCATCGCACCACGCCAGTGGTCCCTCTACACTCGTTCTTGCTTCGAATAAAAAAATTGGTGGTGTGAAATGAACATTGGAGATGCAAGTTTAGCAACAAGGCCACTACAATGGCAGCTGATGCGACATTGGTGCGTGCCACAGAAAAAATATACAAATAGACGCGTGGTGCGGGCGTCTGCTAGGCTCGGGGAACCAGACAACCGAGGCAAAATTTGCTGCCTAAATTTCGGACAAGAAGACCACGAGCAAAGCTGCCCGACGCCATGCCACGCAACAGACCCCTTGCAAAAATCCCCAAAGCCCGCGCGTGCTGCGCGATGAATAATGGGAGTCCTCGCTAAGCCCCTCCTCCCACTACCACGTGACCACATGGCATACGCGAGCGGGTGCAGGTTACCACGGCAACGACTTTTGAGCTGCCGAGTCGGGCGAGCGACGAGCCAACGGCTGTCCTTTTTTCATCCCTCTTTGTACCGGCTCTGCCGTCTGCTGCACCAACGCTTTGTCGAACCTGGTCGAAACCCGCCACAGTTGCGGGGCAAACTAAATGGATTCGGTGACACTTCAATATGTGAAGGTAAGTTACGACAAATAGCGTATTCAAATACGTTCACCTGTCGCGATGCCGTTATGCTGCCACAGATACGGTACGCCACCAATGACATACGACTTGGCGGATGGCAGATGGCTGCAACAGTTGCTGGCGGTAGCTGCCGGGAGGAGCGCGCAGTCGCGGAGATGCAACGAGAAAGCGCGTGATCTGTACCGAGGGTTCCCAAAATTCCCTGCCGTCGCGGCGCTGTACGTTTTGCAAAGGGTCTATTCACAACACCATCCGTCGCGGAAGATCACGAACGACGGTGGCAAACGTTTGCAGCTGACGTTTCGCGAGCCACCCAGAGCACCTCGACTTTAGCTAATAAAACTTATTTTTATCATCATAATTACCAAATGAATGAGAATGGCGAGGCGTCTTTCCAATGCTGGACATGCAACAGGCGCTAGTTGCCTTTTTCCGTGCTTTATCTGCGCGCATGAATGCTCGAGGCTCCTAAGACACCAAAGTGCGATCAAAGGTAGGAAGCTAGCGCAGAAGGAGGAACCAACTAAAAACATCCCTTTTGTACTCATCCCTTCAGTGGACCACACTATATCTCCGTTTTCCTGTGGGAGTTTTTTTTTTTTTTCTTTCTTCGCCATGTTTAGCGCAACGCTAGACGCAGTTTGACGTAAACCAACATAAAAAACGGAAGTTACGTCTGCGTGACCCACGGTAAAAATTAAAGTTACGTCTGCCGTAAACCAAAATAAATATTAGAGTTACGTCCACCGTAACATTAACTCTAAACATCCGGATACGCCCGCAATTGCCGCAGAAAAAAACGCGGGAAGAAACGACCGAGTCAAGCGGAAGCTCTCGGTGCGGCATTGTACAGGTGCCAATGACGGAGACCGGTTAGCCATCCAGAGATATGTTGGACGGTTCGGCTGACAAGGGCGACACCTTAGGGACACAGTTTGGTGAGTGTGCATACCTGTAGGTGTGCGGGGGCTTTCTTTCAAAGTCGAGGCAGCTGGGGACGTCGAAGGAGCAAGCGTACCTCTGGCGGACGCGCCCGGGGTCGCTGTGGAAAGTCGGAGAGAAACGGGAGAAGAAATTATTGAGTCACACGGAAGCTCTCGGTGCAGCGTTGTACCACGATCCCCCTATCCCCTCTCCCGCTACCCCTGGAGAGGCCTGCCGATTCTTCTCGCGAAAAAAAGATTGTTCGCGATAGAGAAAAATCCTTCTGCCTGCTGTGACAGACAGTAGAGGCACAGCATGCGGGGGAAACCGTGAAAGCTAAAGCCGCGGTGATAGCAATGAGTGCGGCCAAAGTCAAGCCGTTTTTAACGTTTCGCGGCATCTACTATATGCTCTTGTGTAAGTAGCCCGACTTCTCAGTCGTTTCATAGTCATTTTAGCGGTTTCTGGGTTTTCACGGGAATTAGGAGGCATGCAACGCCTAAAAATTGCAATGTGCCATGTAGCAAATCAAGTACGGCAGAAAACCGAGATCTTTGACACCAAAAGGTGCCATCTAATGAAAATAGTTGAGGAACATTTCACAGCGAAGCACCAATAAAGGAAGCCGTTTGCAGCCAAGATCCAGGGCCGCTGTGTGCTCACTATAAACGAATTAGCAAACATTGACAACAATGCAAGTGTGATACGTTAGGCAAATGACAGCACCATAACTTTTTTGGGGGGGCGGGAAGGGGCAGGGGGGGAGGGGGGACATTTCTGAAAATATGACTGCCAAACTATTTATATGGAAAAAAACATGTGTGGATGGGTTTGAATTTATTAGTACTAATAAATTATAAATAGCAATAAAGCAAAAGTTGTTATTAGAGGCCAAAGGTAATACACACTAAAAATACTACAATGTATTTTTTTTTTTAAGTTTTCATTTTTTTTTTATATTAGCCAAAAGAGGAATAGACACTAAAGGCAGAAAATGCCTGACAAAGGTCTCTGTCCCCTTTACAGTTCGTACATACGGTACACAGTATACTATAACCCTTTCTTCAAGGGTGCCGCCATCTTGAATGGTCATCACTTCCAGTATGGGCGGAAACAATGTTTTGCCATCGCCACGCCAATTGAAGACATTTAGTACATAAGCCTATCCGTTACAAATTCTCGTTTTGCCTCCCCCTTATTTTTTTACTAGTCACAGGTTGAAACGTTTGAGTATTTTTTCGTCGCCCATACCGGATATGCCTATTAGGTGGCTGGGGACGAGAGTACACAGAAAAGGTCTATACTTCGTGCAGCTGTATACATCAGCGATTGAAACAATGTCATGGCTTTATAATACATCATCAAGAGAGGATCGCAACCAGTAATATAGATTATGAAAGAAACTTTTTTCACAAGTTCAGAGACAAAAATCATCAATTTGTACATGTATAAAAATGGCTATAGAACAGTGTCACTGCTCACCAAGAGTGTCCTCAGCTCTTTCCTAAATTTAGAAAAGGAGTTATTAAAATCCACGAAGGTTCCAATTGAATTTAATAATTTGGTCACCTGATAATCTTTAGTTTGTTTTCCGTAATTTGTTTGAATCTGTGGAGGTCGTCTTAAAGAGTGACAAAAGGTGTATCTATGCACTACACCACTTGTAGTTATATCATAAAGTTTCTCAGTTTTCATTAGTTGCATTAACTTGAAATCATAAATTTGGTCTTGGTGTAATTTTTAACAAATACATACGGTGGGATGAAGTGGTCCAAATAATAGATAGAAAGCTATTAGAGACTGCATAGTTAAATTTTCAAGCATAAAAAATACATTACGTCACGACGAAATTTGGAGCGTTTCAATACCCCGTACGAATTACGGCTGTACATCATTAAAATACGGATTACCATCTTTACTTAATAAACTCGAAGCCAACGGTATCAGCATCTATCGGACATCAAATCGGATGTTGGTAAAAATCATATTACAGACAGCATAATTTTTACCTTTAGTGCCTGGAGTTTTTGTATCTGTAGTGAAACTTGTTTCTACTTTAAAAATATTTGTTTTGATGCATTCAAGCTGAGTGCAACAATGTGAATTCTCATGATTGTGTTCTAGTGCCCATTTTTGTGTTTGTATTCATTGTGTTTACAATGCTGCTTTCCCGCCAAAGTGTGTTAGGGCGCCAGGACCTCGTGAAACTGCAACCGCAGCTTTTTGTCCTGACGTCCTCCCTTTTTGTACCAACCAGAATGGGAAATAAAATACATTATTATAATTATTATTATTATTACGTTGTTTGCACTCTGCCTTATTTATACCTCCGTTTTGTGCTCGCTTTAGCTACAGTTCCTTGGTACGGGGAAACAGCAGTTTCTCATATTCATCTGGTATACGGATTTCAGAAAAGGGTTATTCGTCTTGTTATGTAGAGGTATGACAGCCACACGGTCCTGCTATTTGAAAAATTAGGTATTGTTCAGTTCATTCTACACAGATGACTCTGTTGTTTACTCCAATATTCGTGACACGATCGATTGCATGACATTGCAATATCATATCTCTCGTATCTCCAGCTGGTGCAACACATGAAAAATGAAGCTTATCCTATCTAAGTGTAATCATGTGCGTTTTACGTGAAAGCATAAACCTGTCTCATTTACATATGACATCACTGGAAACCTTTTAGCTACTGTACCAGAATTTAAATACCCTGAAGTATATTTTTCAGAAAATTTAGAGTGGACCAAACACGTCGACTATACAACTGCAAAAGCGACTAGAATGCTGAATTTTATCGAGCGGAACTTTAAAAATTGCCCAAGAGCCATCAAATGTACATTATTTGTTACATACATAAGACCTATCCTACATAACACCAGCCTTTCCTGAGATCCTCATCAGGCCTATGCTGTAAACCAACTCGAGAAAGAGAGAAACAGAGCAGCTAGATTTAATTCAAGAAATTGTAATGTTGGCTCAAGCATCTGCCTACTAAAAAAGCTAAATCCACTATCTCACAGAAGACAGAGTACATGATTAAAATTATACCATAGCATCTTTCATTATTGCTTCAGAATAAATAAAACCAACTATTTGCTCCCTCCCCACATGACATCAGGAAGGCGGACCACGCTAAGAAAGTGTGAGAATATGTGTATGTGTTCAAATATGACCTTTTTTTGTGCACAACAAGAGTCTGGAACTTGCTACTTGAAGAATAAGTTTCATAATGTCTACAACAGTGTTTTTTAAAGGAGCTGTGCAACAATTTCAGGGCTTTGCTTAAATTTTTGTAAAAGTTGATGCCTGACACTTCTGAAGTGAACTACAGAAAACAGATTTTGCCTGGATACCGTAGTTTTTATTTAAAAAAATAAAAAAGATCCAGGTTTTTGCCGCCTGTCAACTCGTACGTCGTTTTCCGGGTAACGTGGGCAGTGACGTTGATGGGGTAGGCGCGGGGATCCAGAAAAGTTCTTTCTTTAGAGCCATCAGTGAGCAGCGAGAACTCATCCGCTCGCGACCGCGTGACCACGTGCTGGCGGGCGCTGCGCGAACAATATGGTGAAAGGAGGAAAGTCTCACCCGGGTCCAGCCATACGGCCATACCCGTCCGGCCCTGTCCCCCTCCCCCTTTGACTTCTGGCGGCTGTTCGCGGTAGCAGAGAGAGCTGACGGTTTTGTGGACCTAGGATAGATGGCGCCACTAAAACTCCGTATAATAAAAGTTTTGTCGATGATACCAGGTTTTAACGCATTTGTATTTATGTTGGAACGACCAGATTTATAGAAAAGTTACCTTTTATCGAGCAGGTATTCGCACAACTTGCTATCTTCCTACAAGACCCTCATTGACGTCAAGCCGCGTGTTTCTCATGGCCGCCACTCGCGGCTGCAGGTCGGGGAATATTCTAAGTTTTGCCTCGCTATTACGCGGCGGAATCACAACATTTCGATGAAAGGAGGTGTGCTTTCTGTCATTTGTGACAAGGTGAACTATGTCAAAAGCAGATGATGCCAATTCTTTCAACGTTAAAATCGTTGCACAGCTCCTTTAATGAGATGCTAAATGCTGTCCTTCCTTAGCCGATTTTCACATTCATGCCTTCATTGCTATGACCATGTGACTAATTCTGTGTCTTGCCTGCATCATTGCTTTATGTTTGTACCGTTTTGCCAATACATATTCACGTTCCTCCATCATAATAATGCCTTCAGCCACTGAGAGGGTAACCTGAATAAACAAATAGCAAATAAAAAGACCAATTTTCTATGATTATAAATTTGGTCCAACATACAAAAAACCTTGCAACAATCTAAATAGTAATTTACTTTCACTTCCTTCCTTGCAATTAAAAAGGAACTTCATATGCCTAACCTCGATGTCAGGGCAGTCCTACCCTCGAGGACAAACTATGGTAATGTCCGATGACCTTCCCTAAGGATTTAAGTTATTCTTCATAACTTGGGGAACGAGGGGCCAGGTCAGGAATCACATTGTCCGAAGTGAAACAGAACCACCAGAAACGTTAGCCTCCGAGTCGCTCCACTCGTTGAAACACGCTCACTGCTTCTGACCAGTCTAAGATCCCGGCCAGCAATTGTCTCCGCTTCCAGCACTGATGGTAATTGCAAAGTCGAACCACTTTACCAAGCAGCTTCCTCGGCGACTTCATTGTTAGGATGCCCCTACCGTGCAGGCAGTATCTGTCACTTTACCCCAAACACAAACCATAAATTCACGCTTCTGGTTTCCACCTTCCACAGATTGAAGATGCCGCAGCAAGAGCTTTTCCGATGCCCCAGCCAAAATAAAGGCTTTGTCGTCACTCCACAGTGTCTATCAGTGCTCGTGTGAGTAGCCTAATTTATGTCATTCTTTAGTGCCATTTCAACAGTCTAGGTTTTCACGTGAGTTGCAAGGCACGCCATGCCCAAAAACTGTTGTGCACCGTGCTGAAAATCAAATGCAGCAAGAAACTCTGATCTGCAATACCACAAGCTGCCATTCAAAGAAAGCCTTCGGGATGCTTGGTTACGGAACGTCTCATGGCAATATAACAACAAAGGGAGCCAGTGGCAGCCAAGATCTTAGATTGTTGTGTATTC